ATAGGTTACTTATAATTCTAACTCTACCTAGTATAATACTATAGGCTTTATTAACGCTCTCTATAAGGTAAGAGACTTTTACGTAGTATACCTAGATAAGCTAGAGCCGCTATTATAATTAGATGCTTAGATTAAAGCGTATAAAAAAGAGAAGACCCTATAGAAGATAGAAGAGAATTCGAAACCTATATAAGTAGAAGAGGATAAGAGGGTAACACGTAAGCGTTACTAAGAAAGAAGAGCCTTAGAGCTTAGAGACAAGCTCTCTCTATAAGAGGGGGTAATGTAACAGTCTAACTTAGCTCTAACTTAGTACTTTAGCCTAACTTAGCTCCGCCTAAGTTATATAACTCTGCCTAGCGCCTTAGTATAGGCACTCTATGTATATAGAGAGCTCTTAGAGTATTCTTCTACTTCTTACCTTTAGATAGCTAAATTTAACCTAACCTACTCTGCTAGCACCTCTTATTCTTACAGCTTGTAGAGACAGTGCTACCTGTAGCTAACTTACCTAGCTAGGTGTTCTAGAGGCGCTTATAGTAGTAGAGACTGCGAACCTAGCTCTTATAGTAACTATAGATAGTAGTATATCTACTAAGGTAGTTAGGCTTAAAGTAGAGCTATTAGTCTCTTCTTCTATAAAGCCTTATACTTAGAATAGATTACCTAGTAAGAAGCTTTATAAAGAATAGAGGTAGAAGAGCTAGAGTAAATACTATAATTAGAGTAAATATAATAGAATTTAAAGAATAGTTTCTCGCTCTATTCTAGTTAGTTTAAGCTATCTATACTTAGTATTATTTTATTTCTTCTCTATATAGTTATTCTTATTATATTCTACCTACTTATAGTAGAAATAGAGGCCTTGCTAGATATATTATTCTTAGGTTAGGTAGTTATTCTAAGTTAGATTCTAGAATAGGCAGTAGACGTCTAATTATATAGTATTAGAGTTTATTACTATTATATTAGAGGGTATAGCACTATAGAAAGTTAGTAGCTCTTAGGTTTATAGAGTAGATTTAGCGCTAGAGTAGTAAGCTTATAGTTTATTAATATAAGCTTTCTTCTATAGGTTCTTCTAGCTTTTCTAGTATTACTTATACTACTTATTAATATTATCTAGTTCTAGCTTGTCTAAGCTTACTATAACTACGTTAGAGAGCTTCTAGAAAACCTTAATTTTAAGTAAATTAACTATCTACGTATTTATCTTTCTAGCTATAGTTATAAGATAGTTATACTTAGCTTTAAAGTTAGGCTAGAGTTTATTCTTTATCTAGTAGTTTTTAAAGTTAATTTTCGCTTACTATAATAGATTAACTAAGATGTAGATCTAGCTTATACTCTCTAGAATATTCTCTAGGCCTTGCTATAGCTAAGAAACTAAGTTATTAGAGTTATTAGTAATTATCTTAAACTTTATTTATAGTAGGCTGTAGGTATTACCTTTTAGATATCTTATAATATACTATAGCTAATAGAAGCTACTATTAAAGATATAATTATTTATCTTAAGAACGTAGTAGATACTAGACTACTATATCTTAAACTATTATTAGCGCTTTAGTATGTTCTTCTTATTACTCTTAAACTTTTTAGGTTCTTTAAAATATAGTATCTACTGCTACTATTAGTATTATTGTTTGCAAGGTTAGTAAAAGTAGTTATAATAGTTTTAATCTAGCGCTACTTCTAGTTATTTTTAAGTTCTACCTAATTAAGCTTAGCTTGCTACTTAGTACCTTTAGCCTCTACCTAATTTATTTAGTGTATTAGAGTATTCTTAAGTATAAAAAGAAGGGCTACAAGAGCCTTAGCTTATAGTACTAGGTCTTGTTCTAGGTCTAGTAATATAATAAGCTTAGTTAGGTTAGTGTTAATACTAGTAGCTATTATCTACTATATTAGTAGCTAGAATTATATATAGTTAGTAAGAAGCTTTCTCTACTACTACTATTACTAATTACTTACTATAGTTCTAGAGTCTAACTAGCTTTATAGTTTTCTAGAGGCGTAAGAAAGGCTAAGCTACGTGTAATAGCGGCGTAGTTCTTAGTTTCTTTCTAGGTCTCTAGTATAACACTAGAAAAAACTATTATAAAGTAGTAAGGCCTTAGGTAGAATAGTACAAACTATTATAAAGTAGGTAATATAGTAATATAATATATTATACTATAAGAAGTAGAAGACTTAGCAGGCTATAAGAAATATCTATATAGGCGCTAAGGCGCTAGCAAGACGCTAGCCGCTATTACGTAAGTAGTACCTAAACCTAAACCTATATTAGTATTATAATAAGTATAGTAGAAAAAGATAGAACTATACTAAAACTATCTTAAAATTATTACTTCTAAATATCTAGAAAGCTTATAATATATATAGGCTTATAATATATAGCTTTATATAGCTAGATTATTAATATCTATATATAGTTAGAGAAGAAAACTCTAAAAAGAATTTTTTAAACTTCTATCTCTTATTACGCTATACCTAGAAGAGCTAGCTCTATAAAAGTTTTCTAGAAACCTTTATTACGTTATAGATACTATATACTATAAGTTTTATATATTATTATAGAGATATAATAGTACTTACTAGAAGAAAACTAGATTTTTTCTTAAAAGTTAGTTAAATACGTATAGCTTTTTAATTACGTAATATATCTTAGTGTAACTTTACTATAAGGTGTAATATACTATAGAGAATGTATATATAAATTTTTATAGAAAACTATTAAGGTTTCGCTTAGTTATTTAAGAAAAACGGGTTAATTTTCGTTGATTTTCGTTGCCAAGAGAAGGTAACCAGCTCGCTTGTGTGACCAGCTCGCTTGTAAAGTACGTTATAAGCTGTTACTAAAAATAGATTTTTACTATAAAAAATATATAGTAAAGTTCGAATAAGGAATCTAGTACGTCTTGAGGGCATGGGCGTAGCAATTATCTGAGATGGGTCTCTTCGCGTTCACAACGCGAAGAGGTTCATGCGGAGAGTCGTGAGGGTGCGGCCTAGTAACATCCTGCACTGAGAAGAACGGGTAGCGTGTCTCGGGTGGAAGGTTCGCTAGACCGTCGTCACTGCGTGTTCCGGAAGCGATACAATTAAAGCCCCCCTCGGCCCGATCGTTTAGAGTTACGATCACTGGTCGTAATTTGTAGCAGATAGGTCCCAAGTCGGTTAGGTAGATTCCCGGTTTCCTTTACCATTGGGGTCTAGGGATTGCTCGGGGACGGATGCGACCAACACTGTTCCCTCCTCAATCTTGTCTTGTACTTCTGGATCCATGGGACCGAGTTTCTCCCACATTTCCGCAGTAATAACGAATTCTACCTCCCTTCTTGCTGGGCGGTTTCTTTCAGCACGAACTGAAGCTCCGCCGACCCTGGCTGCGTCGGAGATATTGGATCCATGAGAAATCTGAATGACAGCTTCTTCGATAGGTGGGCTGAAGTCTCCGTTCCTTAATGCACCCTCGGCTGCCGCATTCGAGGGGCACGCATCTTCATCCTTGTCCACTGTGCAAGCCTGCTTCTGGGGCTCCGTGTCTGAGGGGATGCGGAGCGTTTGCGGGCTGAGTCGGCGAGAACCGAAGGTCCGGTAATGTTCCGGTAATCTGGTGTGCTAAGATTTGGTTGTTCTCGAGTCCGATCGAGGCTGCGGCTTGGCGCCGATGGTGCAAAGCTGGGGAGCAAGCGGTTGGCTGAAAGCTCGGCTCTGGCACAAAGTCTCCGGAGAAACAGATCGAGTATTAAGCACTACACCAACCTTTCCGAGATTTTCGTGAGGCACCACAACAACAACCACATCGACGTCGACATCGACCGAATAAGTCGTACTCAGGCCCAAGTCTTAATATCCATACATTCAGTAGGCCCTTCGATAACGCAAGCCCAGCCGCTTACTCGGGTGGGAGCTGAAATCAATAATCTTTTCGCCGCTTCATTTCACCGAGCAGACCTGCCCTATAACGCGCTGAAATGGATTCTACAACCCACCCCAATTTTGACTACCGTTACCCTAAGGCAAAGGACATGGTCATGCGCTGCACCCAAGCGAAGGACAGATTTAGAGAAGGCGATGCCAGATTCGTCAGCGTCTCCATTGGCGGTGAAACCCAACCCGCGTTCATATTCACCTCCGACCTTTTCAAGAAGACTAAGAAGGCATGGGATCTGATGCAAGAAGCTGAGCAAGTTCGACGCGACGCGGAATTCGAGGACCGCGAACTGAGTCCAGCTGAGCGGAAGGCGCGCAGCAATGTCGTCGATGCGAGGGATCGCCTTGAAGAACTGATCAAGTCGATGAGCACTCGACGTGATGGACCTACGAATCAACAGAAGCGATTAGAGAAGCAATACTGGGAAGACTATGAGAAGGCGCAAGATGAGCTCACAAATATCATGGAGCGTAGGGACAAGCTGGGATGGAAGGTTGGGGATGCGGAACGACAGGCTCTAGAGGTCGTCAAGGAATTCCAACAGATCATTGCTGAAGCTTCCGTTGAAGCGGGATTTTGGCCGAGCGGCGAAGTGTTGGAGGACACACACTCAGACAGTGCAGGGAGTGTGACTAGCTACCGCAAGGTCAATCTAGGGAATGAAGGCCCGGGGGAGACCTCAGTGGAGCAGTCAGAAGGTCCTACTAGATCAGCAGCATCGCAATTAGCGCCCGATATGTCCCTGGCACAGGGCAATAACACGCATCCCTCAAAACGACCGCAAGACACCAGCCCTTCGGATACGCGGACTCGGCGAGTTATGGAGAGCCCAGCTGCGGCAGAGGTCCCTGTCAATCCAGATACAGAGCGCCCATCAAAGGCGCCACTTGCTACGTCCCAAGCGGGCGAGGGGATGATTCACTTAAAGTCCAACCCAACACGATCGAGGCCTAACGAACGCGATGACGGTAGTGACGCACAGGATACCTCCAGGACGGTGGCATTGAAGGCCTTGGATGTCATGTTGAACCGAGAGGAAGACCTGAGGAAGGCGAAGGACTATTGCAACGACCATTTCGGAACATATCATCAGCAGCTTCATGAGTTCCGTGTGATGAATGCTGCCCGACCGCATGAAGACATGGAGTCATCTTTCGGACCGATATTTTGTCAACGGGGCCAGATCGGCACGCAAAGGATAATACAAGCTGAAGAAGAGCTGAAGCAGGCGCGACTCGCAGCGAAGGATGCGGGCGTCCTCAATCCGAATTCTCCAGAACAGGAATCTGAGTTCTTGTCTGTTGTAGGAGAGGGACCTCATACAGAATATCTAGAGTTGCAAATTCAAAACTGCAATCGGAAACGCATCCAGGAGTAGATAGATAATAACCCCCAGACGAGCGAGCACGACGACGAAGAAGCGGCCTTCGCCCTTTCTGGCGCGCAAGTTAATTCCTGGGAGAGTCTTAGTGACTGCGAAAGAGAGCCTTAGAAGAAGAGGAGGATTAAGGAGAGAAAGAGATTAGTGCTCGAACAGCTTTTAACTCCCAAAGCCGACAACAAGAAGAGACGGAATTCGATTGAGGGTAGGGAGCGCAAGCGGTCCCTAACTCGCCAATACACGAGCAAGAGGAGACGTAACTCGACTAGAAATGCAAGGCCGCCGCCGGAGTGGTTAATGGAGGTCGAGCCTTCGGATGGCATGCTGCGGTTCGAATTCCCGTTTCGTGCGCCTTTGGTCATCAGCTTCTCGAATGAATGAGCTCCGTTCGAGAGAAACCCTTCACTCGGGAAACAATGCCCATGGATAGGAAGTCAACCGATCTCATATTTAAGCAACTCGGAAGGGAGCGAGTAACACCGTAGCCCCGGCACGACCCCGCATCTAAGCTATCCCAATTTCGAGCTTTGGCACTCGCTCGTGTGCCACCGAGAGACATTCCTAGAAACGGGCCGTCCGAGCAACAGTGTCGACTAAGCCACACGCCGCATATTCGTTTTCGACTCTAAATTGGCTACGAGATGTAGGGCGCACCGTGATCATCGGAAGCACAGGCCCGTCGCGCCTTGAGCATATGCCTATGGAGGCAGAGGCATCAATGCTACCCTCGCGCTATGCGAAACAGCACTACTACTCGCATGGTTAGTAGAGCAGAGAACGGTGCTTATATTCAATTGCTGTACTAATATCGACGCTAGAATACTTACTCCGTCAGACACGATCAAGTATGCTGCAGGGCGTACGAGGCGATTGAGGACACAGTCGGAGGCTAGATCGGAACGGTGGGTGGAGGCTTAGAGAGCGGACGAATGGAACGGAAGGAGCCTGGAAGGACTGCTCGACGATTGCGTCCGAACCAGATTCCTAGTTAAAGCAGTAGAAGAATGTTCGTTTTAAAACATACATTCTTTTGACAGGGCGTACTGCTGGCCGTAGTACGGCCCGTAGGAGCTCCGACATCCTTGACGCAACGCGGCGATCGATTCCCGCTGTGAAATCACTAGCGACTTTATTAGTCGGCAAGGCGAACGCACTTTGGTTTCCTGACGTGAAGATTCTGCCGACATGGGGCTTTGGTGAGGAGACGCGATGAAGGCCTTATCCTCACCTGTGCGTCGTTCACAGTACTCAATGCGGATGAAAAGTGTATATAGGACCAATAGGCTAATCGGATTATCGCCATCCATTGCATTAGGGATACATGACATTCAAATGAAGACAATCATGCTTCTTCGCAACTCTAAACCTTGATCAAAGGACGAGAGCTCAACCGTCGGGACCTCTGTGCGCTCATTTCTCAGCTCTTTTAATTCGCCGGTCACACCAATGACCCCATTCAGGTTTAAAACCGCACTAGCGTAGCATTCCGAAGCGCAAGATCGCTCGTAGCAATACGTCAAACGTAGACCTGCATACCCGGTCTTATAATGTATCCACTACGGCATGGTGCCGCTTGCAAAAGTGAACGTTTATATCCTCTAATGTGTTGAGAAGTTGCTGTGCGCTGAAATCGTGAGCATCATCGAGCTCGAGTTTCAAATAGTATCGGTGTAGTCAAGAGAGTTTGCCCGTGGTTCTGTGATACCCTGTTCTCTTCTCTTGATATTGGCGTCTTTTGAGTCCTTTTGTGCGTAGGCGTAGTCAGCATAACCTCTATAGGTTGGTGACTTAAAACGAGAAAAATCATTCAATCAATCACGCTTATGCTAACTTCCCTGAGCTGTAGAGGAGAAATCCCACAATAGATACGATCCTGCTAACCAGATCTCTCCAGCATCCAGACAAATCCGGCTTCAGCGTGTCAAAACGTTGGTATCGACAGAGAGTAGGGCGATAGAGGCCAAGGAGATTCGGGCTTTTACAAGGAATGAGTAACAGGGACCAGTGGCTTCTTTGTAAACAGCGACTCCGGCTAGCAGCCATGTAGGAGATTAGAGGAGGTCGCGTTGCAACTGCGCCGCTGTAGCGGGGAGGACGTGGAATCCGACCACAATACTCGGGCTCACGATTGGGTATATTAAGTCTGCCAGATGGAAAGCGCGAATCGTTTAGCTCCATGGGGGAAGCTCCATGGGTTGGATTGTGATCGGCTTGCTCCGATCTCATGGTGCGAGCAAGGGGCGGTGTTATGGTTGGATCGTCTTGGGTGTATTGAAATGCTAATCTGATTCGTAGAGCCTGCCCACGCGCCTCCCCCAGTACCCATTGTTGATGTAGCGGACAATCTCCTGTTATCCATCGCTTAGATACCCTATCTCTCGGAGGTCGCCATTGAGGGTCCATTCCTGTTCACCCTCCGCCCAGGCTTGATCCACTTTCCTATTTCGGCCTTGGCATCGAAGGCTACAAGATCCTCATAAGGATAGGGCTTCCCCAGTTTCCAAATCGCTCGAGCCGGAACTGGACTTTTCTCTCACTGCAGAATTCTCAGGCGAAACGAATATATGACTTCGGCACGAGTGTGAACTGGAATGTGTATCCTGTAAGGTTTGGGTTGTTCCAGTCGTCGGGACACCTTAGGGTCTGCCCGACAGCGTCGTACACAAAGAGATAAAGTAGCCGCTATTACGCTCGAATGTTTGCATTACGAGCATAGAAGCTGCCTTTGCACTTTCGACTGCAGCCGCATGTTCAGCGGCAAAAGGCTCTGCTCGAAAACTGAGAGACACCCATGCGCGGACCGGGCCCGAGACTCCATGCAAAACCTGTAATAATGGGGGAAGCAACTATCATTCTTGTCCCTTTGTACTATATCCAACTTTCCTGTAATATGCAGAAGAACCCACTGACTTTGGCGCATTCTACTCGACTAAAGGAAAGGAAATGCTGGGACAGCCCGATAGTTGCATACCCACCCCAAATGAGCTCCATATAATGTGGAATCTCCGCTGCAAGACACTAACACAGACCGCATGCCTTCCCCAGAACGGACAGATTACGTTGCTAGAAGATGCAGTATTCAATCCCGCACGTCGCTTTGCGATCAGTGATGTCCAGCCAAACAGAGGTGCTCAGTAGTCAGAGTCCTTTTCGCCCGGCCGATAGCAGTCGCCCCGCTAATATCCACTGTCCGAATGTCGAGGGCGGAAGAAGGGTGGGGGAGGTCGACGGTAAGACGAACGCCTATCTCGAGTAGAGGGACGAGTAAGAGCGGAGACATCTCTCATGGTAGCGTCCTCTCGTCGGCCGTAGTCGTCTCGCTCTCGTCGTCCGTCTCTATTGGAGGCACGGTCCCGATAACGATCTTGCTCTGGGGCCCTATCCCGGTTGGAGCCCTCCAGCCTAGGCCGCTTGCTCGGCACAGTGGAGCTGCCCCTCATTGAGCGATCCTCGGTGCGCGACGTTCGGTGGCTGATGGTTTGACGGTTGTCGGTAAGCGTATTTGTGACCGGTCCATTTGTGACCAGTCCATTTATGACCAGTCCATTCGCGATCGGTCCATTTCCGACCCGGTCGAGCCGCACATCGTGGATGTCCCTCGGAGATCTTGTGACTGGCAGAGTGGTGAATGATGGCACTTGAACATGGATTGGCTCCTCATTGTCTGAGTCAGCATCGGAGCCGTCATATTTCTTCTGCTGCACTTTTCGCCATTCCTTGATAGCTTTAAGACTTGCCCGCTCAAGCTTTCCAATAATCTTGATGTCCACAAGGTAATATACAGAATGAACCTTTAGAGGTTCGGCGTAGGAATACCTCGAGACAGATAAGTCGGCCCACTCAATCCATAGAGGCTCGGAATTCGGAGAATCATGAGAATGAAATCCTTTGTTGCGAAGTTGCAGCGAGAAATGGAAGTCGAGCTCGCCGTCCGGAACCTTGCGAGCCAGTCCTTCTCCACCGTGCGTGTAGATAGGTATGCACTCGAGATGCGTCGGGTAGACATGCAATACGATCATATTGCGGGTTTTGATGACGAACTTGCCATTCTTCGTTGGTACCATTCCGACCTTGCCTTGCGTGTTGGGGTCGAAGGAAGGCTCAGCAAACACTACCTGGATCAAGGAACCGCGTTTGAGCCCAGTCCGATTACGATAGACGAGTAGTCGTTGAGACTTCCACATCTCAGGGCTGACTTTGTAGATGGGCCTGCCTAGATCGTCATGCTCCACAATGTAAGTCTCTCGCCCGCCTGCTTCGGAGCCGAAGGCCGACGATTTAGTATCCTTATCGCGTAGAGTACTTGCGGGTGATGCACCAATCCCTCTAGAGCTCGGGTTCTCCGACGGAGTCTGACTACATTGATCTTCTGTACCGTCGTTCGGTGCTGGTCGCGCATGCTTTGGAGGGTCGGCTTCCAAGATAGGGCTTGCCGCACGCTTCCGAGGGTTTTGGCGACTTGCCAGACAGTGACTCGGGGAAGATATTTCTCGACGTTCCGCCGAAGATGATTTATTATTTCTCCCTACTCCGGCGCCGATAGGAAACTTCGAGGAAGGAGGCGATTCGGATACTTGAGCAACTGTCGCAATGGCTTCGGTATGAGTTGGGTAGGAATAGATGCCGGCTGTGCCATTGGCTTCTGCGCCCGACTCTGTAGTGCTCGGATCGGGTCCAATTGAACCAAATCGATTGGCTCGATTACGGTCCATATCAGGGGTGATGGCTGGCTCTGAGCTCATGAGACTCGATGAAGCTGGGGTGTGCACTTTTCGAATATTAGCGTGGCTCATGTTGAAACGCTGAGCCAACCTGCCCTGGAAAGGGGTGAGTTCTGTAGCCTTAGCGATTGAGGTTGAAGGAGTGCGAGAGGTTGAGGTTCCGAACTCGAGCAAGCTCTAAATATGGCACCGGACGGCGAGCCTTTAGAGCGCGTGAAACGAGGGTTGATATGCTAGTGCCGTTCCAGGGTCGGCACTTGTGGTTCTGTCACAGAACAAGAGGAAAGTAAGCAAGCGCACAATTGATGTTCAGGTGTCCTAGCTGGATACCTCTGCCGCACTAGGCTTACCGACGACTGTGCTATTCATATGAGCTTGAATTGTTATCTGAATGCATACGTACACTCCGAGAATGAGGTACCCTCGCTTCACAGCACAGGGCGAACGCCGGATTTCAGTACCAAGGCAATTTTCACCGGAACGCCAGCTGGAGTGAATGAGCGCTTCGGCGAGATGACTGAAATTTCGGCGCTAGTGCGAAACCCATTCCCCATCTCACGAGTTCCCCCAAGCACAGCCATTCTTGTCTTCCAGGCTTGCACCCGCAACCGCCCAGCAAGTTCCAACCCTTATACAGATTGCGCGCGAGCAAGCATGCCCAGCGCCATTACTCAGACAGAGCCGGACATCTGCCAAAGGTCCGATGGCACGAATTCGGACTGCGCGGGCTTGCATGTGCGATTAACCAGCCCTGATCAATGTGCCATTTTCAATGTTTACAACTTTTACTCTCCCGTAACGGACGCGGTTGCCAATGCGGTATTCGGTTCGAACGGTAACGGGAGCTCAAGAGCCCGGAACTGCAAGCGCAATGAGAAGGGCGAAGCTAAAGAACGAACGCTGCGGGAAGACCTGGACCGCCGACATCGTGTGGTTGGATGCGGAGTATCACACAAGGCAGCTAGAGAGGTGTCTGCGAATGTGCAGAACTCTTGGGATGCGGTGTTCCACCCAGCACATTCGGTCGACTATATTCCCCAGCCTCGCCAGCAGCGCAGTGCTCAAACGGAAGGGCCTTTGGAATTCTCTGAGAAGGCCGCAATGTCTAGTCGTCGCACAGAAGGGGTGACTCCGGACGCCAATGGGCATGTACAACATCAACGGAGGGGGTCAAACACCAGCGAGAATTTAAGGCATCCGATGACAGATCCAACTCCTAGTATGCGCGCTTCAGAGCGACTCAGCCTCTCGAACCCCAGTAACGCGCAGGAAGACCATCAAAAGAAGGGAGAAAACGATCAACCCAAAAACATGTCCACCTCCATTCGCCCTCAAAGCTACAATGTACGGTTCCCAATGTGCCGTGAATGGTTTCGCAATGGAGATGATCGTCCGATCTCCTATTCCGCCGGCTCACCCAAGTTGGTAGAGGTCTATGACGAAGGAAGAAAAGTGCCAGCCCTGCTGCTCTCACGCGTTCTGGCTTCCAAGGTCCAAAATGCAATCGAGTGTGGCCAGGACTATCGCGAGTATAGGGAAATCATCGCTAAAAAGAAACATGAACAAATTGCGGAACGCCGCCTGAATGCTGAGATTACATTGGAGAGCATCGAGCACCGCCTTGAATGGCTGGAACAGCAGATGAAAGAGGCTAGTGATGGTACTACAGAAGAGTTGACTCAGCGACATATTGGGCTACTGAAAGAGAGAGTTGGTGCTCGCAGAGTAAGGGACGCCGTGGAAGGGGATCAGAAGCAACTCTTTCGGGACCTTCAGAAGGCCGAAGAAACATATCGAAAGGACTGGGCTGTAGTGGACGAGGAACTTGAGAACGTATGGATACGTGCGGGGATTCTACAGAAACATCCAGCTTCCTACGAAACGCATCTACAAAGCAAGAGATCTCAGCAAGACGAACATTATAATCAAGGCGGCACAGGTGGACTAGCGGAAAAGGACCATCCTCAGACGAATGCGACGAATGCTCGAGAAGTCACGAAGCAACCAGATGCGGCGTCCTTGCGAGCTCCTAATCGAACGCAGAGGAGTGCAGAGCACGCAAACGATTCCGAAATGCCTGGCCCTCCTTTTGAACCCAGACTACGCGGTTCTGACGATGGAGAAATCAACGAGCTTTTGCTCAGGTTAGCGGATCAAGCCGAGTCTGTTCGCCAATCACGCCTGGAGCTTCTCGACTTTGCGAATGATTACAATTACCAGTGCAACAAATACATCGAATCTCCTGTGCACGCACGCCGCCGAGACACCACAAATCAGCGAAGAGACACTTTCGCCTCGTACTTCATCAAAATATGCAAAGATCGGAATGATAGACTTCAGGAAGCTAAAGCCGCCTATTGGGATATACAGCGCCGAGCAGCAGAAGTTGGAGTATCCCGAGAGTATCTGGATCATATTGGCCAAGACATCGACAGTATTGTGAGCTTTAGTGAAGAAGAGGTGGATGCGCGGTACATAGTAGGGCGCAGCGTTGAGCGAGTCCAAGATTGGCGTCAGGGATGGGAAGACGGGGGCACAGGATCAGAACTTCCACCCACACCTCCCACGCAGACTCCGTCGGAGATCGGAAACCTCGAGCAGCTGGACGCCAATATCGTGCCTGACGACAGCGGGACTAGTTGCAACGATTGGATGGAGGGTGGGGATACGCCGAGGCGGAATCCGTTCTACCATGTTCCCGCGGATGCCGGTGCCGGTGAAAATAAGGAAGGACATCACGAGGAGCTCAATGAGGCACACCTAGAGGCACGTGGCGGCGGCGGCAAGAATCCAGTCCCCCATGATCAGCATGTCAGCGAGCGGGCAACGGCAGCCGCCGAGAAAGAAGGGGAGTCGCCCGGGCGGCCGTGCCGTGGCTCGTGTTCACGGCCCGCGAGCGACTCCAGAAATGAATATGGGAGAATATCCGCCTTGGATGATGGGAGCGGAGAGGGTTATGCTGCCTCAATGGCTAGACATCAACAGGTCACGGGCGACGCCAACCCGAGCGCAGTACAGCACCAAAACCCTATAGCAAATGTTGAAGTTGACCCTGAAGAGCCCACTAAACAGGGCGACTTAGAAGAAGGGACAAGAGAGAAGCAGGATAATAAAGAACAGCACTGGAGCCGGAATACACTGGGCGATGAAATGCTGAACGACACACTTGACGACCATGCGCCCAGCGTTTCCCTAAAAGGGAGCACGCATCAGGAAGGCTTGGTTGTGGCAGTCGAACCAATAGATGCTTGCAATGCGCAAGCGGGCGAAGACGACGGCGGTTGTAGCAGCGCACCAAACGACGACCTGGAACTTCACCGAACAAGCCGAAAGCGGAAACGTTACACTGAAGACAACGAAAGCTTGCCTGAATGGAAGAGACAAAGACTGCAGAGCGAATCGAGTCGACCCACCGAAAGAGCTCAGGAAACGACATCTGCTTCTCCAGAGGAGCTTCCATCCATAGGCCGTTCGGGGACGGAAGAGGAAGAAACGGCCAGCATGGATCTGAGCTTACCTACTGAGAGCCCGGACCCTCTCCACGTGTGCAGGAAGCGAAAGCGTCACATCGCAGAAGACGACGAGGACCCACGCGAACGGAAGAAAGAGAAATTGGACGAGATTTCACCTTGTCCTACGCAAGCACCCCAGGAGGCTGCCTCTGTATCTTCTGACGACTGGATTCCTCCGCCTGATGTCCTCAAATAATATGCAACTCGACGATAGACACCGGAGAAAGCGAGGAAACAAAGAGTGCGGTGTCCAAAAAGCTATTCCCGCCGCGATGAAAACCTAGATGCTCGAAAGTCCAGTTCGCATTGGAGGGTGGGCAGCGGGGGCCGGATCGATCAGACCCACACCTGATCTCCGACCAGCTAGTCTACGACGATACGCAGCGCGACCATACCGTACTACTACTGAACCTCCTCATTCTAGAACTGGAGTAAAATAGAACCACCCACAACCGAATTTGATCGGACCAATCCTGATCTTTGGCGCATAAAGCATCAAACAGAAGCTCCACCACCTGATCGGCCAGCCGCAACGACCAAGAAATGTCAGTCCGCATCCTGCAAATCCTCCTTCGTCTCCACGCCCTGGTCTCAGCCTAACTGAGCGGAACCACCAAACCGAAGACAACGCAACAACACCAACTACCTTCTACGTACCACCCAGTCGGCCATCCGTAACGACTAGGGAATGGTGCAGAAGAGCCGCCAAAAGCGTGCCAGGGAATGATGGAATAAGAATGATTCGGATTCGCAAGTCAGAAATGTAAACTATCACCAACACGGGGATGCCAAAAGGAGCGGAAGATAAGGGCACGGTGGGGCAGGTGCGGATATGAAACACGCGCGGATGCTGCTAGCTAGTAGATAGCTCGATAAGTGGAAAATGAAAGGATTGTGGTGTTGCGGACCTCTAGGCGTTGTCTTGCATTTTTGTTTTACGATTGGGGTCTTTGCGAGAAGTCACCATGGAGAGTTAGCATGAAGCCTAGAGGGAAATAATTGCAGCATAAAATTGTATTTGAATCCCCGGTTCATTCAACCTCTAGCATGACATGACGCCAGATGACGTTCCCTTGTGTGTGAGCTAATGCGTAAAGAACGTAGAGGGGATATCAAACATTTTAAGATAAGAGTGGTGTGCCATCCGCCGTCAGTTCACCAATATTTCCCCGCCTCCCAACGCTAGGCGTCAACACCATTCTTGCACTCAGCCGTAGGCGGAGTCAGCATAATCTATAGAGGTTATGCTGACCCAAAACGAGAAAAATTAATCGATCGGGCGGTTGGTGAACCGTTCACTAGAGGTTTCCTGCAGACGCTCTGCAATCCCGAACTTCCACTCAATGTGCCGGTACGTTGCAGTTTACTGGCCTATTCCTTCGGCCTATCCATTGCATAGCCATGCCATGACTTTCCTCTAGCGGCAGAAAGGCAAGAGACGATTTCTTACTTTCGCTAACCCCGTTTCCAAGTAATAACAGGAGCTCAAACGGAGTCTTCGCCTTGCTGAATCGGGGCTCGATCGAAGATCCCGTATTCGGCGTCGCCCTCGTAGAAGATCTCATTAAGGATTTGGGGGGTTTTTTTTTAGCAGGGGCTAAACCTTTCGCTAGTACTACCGCTCACGGCTGGAGATTGTATTGGAATTGTACGAAGGTTCAACCAAAATTCTTCTGGAAGAGCGATCGTCGGAGGGCTACAAAGTCGGCGATAGGGAGGTGAATCAGACTAAAATTTCAGGCCTCAAGGCTGAATGTGCTGTGGACCATCGCAACCACTTTAGCCTGACGCCGTCATCTGAATCGCAGAGTTACGTTGCGAGCAGCAGACCGAGCACTGGGAAGAAGCCTGACGGCTTACTGACAAAGTACTTGCGCTTTTACCGCGACCATCTACTTTCTTCCCCAGACTGAGCTTTTCGCGGATATGGGTCCGTAGTAGTCATGTCCCGTATGCATGTCCCAATTCTGATGCCTCCGCTGGCCTGGGCGTATGGGTGAATGCCAGCTTACTATATGTCACGAAGCATATCAGCGACATCATGATGGAGAGACAAAGGATTGATGTGAGAATGGCATCCATTGATGGAAGAGAGGAAGCCATCTATGTACGAACAGCAGCAGCTGCAACAAGGACCCGAAGGTCAGGTAGTATCCATAAACCAGCCGAACAAAGACCTTGTCTGATGTATCCTGCATCCAAGCACCCGTGAACCATGACTATGTTCCTGATAGACCCAAGACTAAAACACCAAAGAAGATTCATGACCAGCGTCCAAGCACCAAGGGACCCTGTGGCCTTTGAACCACACCCTGTACCAGAATCCTTGATGTTCAAACCGATCGAGCTTAACGTCGTCACATCCGCAGATGTGGGACGCCCAGAAGCTTTGTCGTTTGTCGAAGCTTCTGTCCGGTGCCCAGTGTTTTCGCACTGTTCGTTCGGTCGGGGTGTCAGCTCGGTCCTAGTTCATACCAGCATCCAACGATCAATTCCTGGGAGGTCAGACACCGTTCTGTCAAGCTTCGAAAGGCTCGCTCAAAGACGTGAGGCCAGGTCAGAGACCCTCAGATTCCACGCGCACGACTTGAGGAGAGGCCAGGTACAAGACCTTCAAATTCCACGCCCCTAACGAAGCAAGCCAGACCGGAGCTGAGGAAGTATCGGAAGGTCTCAAGTTTGTCCCGAACCAAACACCGAAGTGGATGGCATGCCTGCATGAGACCGACGTCAACGTCCCTTCAACCCATCCTCAAACCAAACATCAAACATCCTTCTCTTCATGGAGCCGAGCTGACATGTCGAAAGCGGAGGGAGGTCGTAGCGTGTGAAGGCGGAGAAGAAGTGGGTTGGTGGTGCCGAGCGTACTCTGCTGCTGCCGTATGGAGAAGAGAGATATGATGGTGAGGCGAAGGCTCTCAGTCGGTATCGTCAAGGTCGATAGCGAAGTGAAAAAGTGGATAGTCGGTGAGAGCAAGCAGTAGCAGAGCTGAAAGTGTCAGCAAGTAGGGGAAGGAGTGAGAGAGAACCTACAGCTCGGCGATGAGAGAAGGGCTCGGTGGTCGTGGCTCATAAAGATGAGGTGAGACGCCGAAGGTGACTGAAGATTGTTGTTGAGAAGGAACAGTCATATGAGGCGAAGTTATGTCGATGACATGTCAAGACATGATGTCAAGTGACTGACTGATGTTGATGTTGAGCGTCGACCAAGAGGTAGGTGAGGTAAGGTTGAAGTGACATGATAGATATAAGTCACAAAGGATGTGAGTGACTGAGACATGTTAGTAAAGGAAGGTTGAGGTGAGAGGTGACATGCCTGAAGGTGACTTGAAGTCGAAGTGGAGTAGAGGTGAAAGGCATCTTGAGGAAGGATGTATGATAGAAGGTTGATGCCAAGAGAGAAGGTTGTAGAGTTGGGATGGTTTGAACGTTGAGACGTTGAAGAATTGGAGTTGAGGGAGAGTGGAGAGAAGGAAACTTGGTCGGGGAGGGGCGAGCGAGGCCTTATATAGACGTGCGGGGCGCGCTGGATCACAGCGGCACGTGATGCGACGCAGGGGCCCCTCGCTTAACGCGTCGTTGATCTGGCGACGAGCAGAAGGCGGTGGAAGCGCGGGTAGGTGAGGCTCGGCGCGGATAGTCTCGGTGAGAGTGTCATCTCCGAGGTAGTAATCGGCGATGCTTTGAGCTAATTTCCTCTCACCGACGTCACAGCCGTCACCTGAGCGCCGGGCGGAGACAACGGAGGAAGGAGCAAGATGGGATGAAGGTCGGTCGGGGCGAAGGCGGTGCGGTGGTCGTAGAGGCCTTGGAGGCTATATCGAGGGCGAGTGGAGGCTCAGATACGTGTAGGAGATGGAGTAGACTGTACGAATCGATAGAGCTGTTGTGATAACTTCCTCAATGATGACTGTTGCGCGCGTTAGGGGCTGTTCGGTTGTCGTGAGCTGAGAACAGAACCCAGGCGAGAGCGCCCAGATCAGCCAGGCCTTTGAGGAGCGGCAATTGCCTTCATAATAGGCGGACTACCTTCCAGTGGCCATAATTTGCAACTGATTCGGGGAGTAGAAGGTCTGGGTACACTCACCTGGAGCAGGTTGCTCGATTGTAGAGAAGGTTGGACCTCATGCTTAGGCCGAGACCTCCACAGTAGAGACTGTTTCGGACACCAAAGACCCTGAATATATCCCAAGACTCAAGGGTGACAGGGCATACTTACAAGGCCGGAAGGCCAGGGAGGATGGTGACGCCTATGCCCTCTTCCAAGCTCCTCAACGCCCACCTCGCCATACGGGGAAGTCAAAGCGCGAAACCCACCTAGATAGACTCCAAATGCCACTGATAGACATCGAATACATGGCCTTCCACTTCCACTTCTCAGAACCGTGACCGTTGCTCTGAAAGCCGAGCTGAACCTGAGCCGGCCTGTCCTAGTGTTAGCTACTCGACACTCAGTCAAGCCCTGCCTCACCAAACACGGCTGAAGAGCTGGTATAATGAGCTTCCCAGTCCAATAGGCTCGCGAAGGAACTTTCAGACGCGCTGCTTCAACCCCCAAAGCCGCCAGGTGAGGGAGGTTGGGAATGCGAGAGCGTTGGAGACCGATTAACCTGCCTACAGAGATCCCTCAGCAGCCTCACCTCACCAGTATAATCCAGAGAGTGCGAGGACTCATCATATCCTCATTTGCGAGTCCAGAAACTGAAGGTCTTGTCCCCATCGCCACCGTTGGCTCAACACCAGACGCAGGCACCACGACCACCTCACGACAACACCACGCGCACAGCAGGGCTCCTACTCACCACACAGACTCACAAAGGGCATGAAAATTACCTGAAACCGTGTAGGCGAAATCCCCGACCGGGAAACCCGCGTTACAGCCCAGCCCAGCAGACGGCGCTGCGCGCTTCCCCAGTCCCAGCGACACCAAGCCCCGCGATGAGCACCTCCACCTCACCATGAACGATCCTAAGCAGCATTCAGAGCCATCTTCAGACACGCCATCCTCTAATCCTATCGTCAGGCTCGACAGCGCACCGCGTGCTTCACTACCTGCCTGGGGACCGGCGCGCACCAAGCCATCCACAACACGACGAGCGACACCCACCCCAAACTCCCACCCGCCCAGCCGAACGTATCAGCCCACCGTAGTAGAACCGTGAAGAGTTGGCCGCTCAACAGCGGCGTACAAAGTACAGCTTCGACCCTCCACTCCAGACGGCTTCTCGCCGCAACGCGCTTCACAACCCTCCCTCACCACGCCAGAATGAGTAGCCAGCCGCAGCACGGAAACCGGGCACCGCCAACACCTACCTACCGCGACATAGCTAGCTGTCTATGCAGGTGCTCGCTCTCCCGCACGATCCGCTGACACGCATATAGACTCACTGAACGGACGCGGAAGGCGCAGTGCGGTCGCTCTTTCCCAATCGGGTCACCAGTCGCCATCCACCATCCACCATCCGTTGGCCGTGAAGCGTTGGCAGTTCGATCTGTCGCCCCACACAGTATATCACTCCTCCTGTGATGCAGCAACTCTGATATCTGGCGATGGTGTTATACACGGCGCACGCAATGGCCGGGATAGAGGCGGTCGCGGAATCTCGGGAATCGGGTCGCGGCGAGCGAAGGCGTGGAGGAACGAATACACTCAAGGGAGGCGGGGGTGTATGCTATGACGGGCGGCGAGACGGTGACCTGTGCTCTGTTAGAGGGGCTTTGGGAGGATCATGTCTTGCTATAGATGTGCCGCTAGGGATGAACGGATATATCACGATGTGAAGGCGCGTGCCATGCACCTGGGTCCAAAGGAGCGTTCATAGATAATGACGGTCGGAGTAAGCAGTGAGACGTAGTTGAAAGAAAACCTTGACCCGCGAGAACTGACAGTAAGAGCGGGATGCTCGGAAATAGCAGTACTATCATATGCTAGCATGCCAGTCGCATACCCAAAGCACACAGAGAACAAGGAAAAACCTCACCCATTCCCACCTCAACCGTATCCCTACTCCGCATCCACAGCCCTCAGCCTGATCCTCAACCCACCCTTCGGCCTCGCCGTAATCCCACCCTGAATCTCCACCTTCAGCCCCGGATCCTCCAACGCCATCTCGAACCGTCCCACCAGCGCCGCCATAAGGCACGCAAACTCCGCTTTGGCAAAGTCCTTCCCGATACAGCTCCGCGGCCCGTGTAGGAAAGTCGTCACCGCATAGTTGCTATCCGCGCCGCCTGTATTCGCCTTGCCCGGCCCCATCCAGCGATCCGGATTGAACTCGCGCGCGTCGTCGCCCCAGAGCTGCTTGGACGTGTTGATGGCCCAGGGGCAGATGATGACGGTTGTGCCGCGCGGGATGAAGTGCGACTGGATTGTAGTGTCGTGGTCGGTTTCGCGCATTGTGAGGGGCACGGGGGGAAAGAGGCGCATGGTCTCGTTTGACACGGCGTTCAAGAACTGCAAGTGATCGATGTCCGTGGACGAGATTTGCGCGCTGGGGTCGTTGATGGCGGGTAGCGAGGTGCGGATTTCCTCGCGGAGCCGCTGCTGGACCTCGGGGTGCTTGCAGAGCAGGTACACGGCCCATGTCATGGCGGAGGCGGTGGTTTCGTGGCCCGCGGCGAGGAATGTCATGAGCTGGTTGACGAGGTCTTCATCGCTGAAGCCGCCAGATTCGATGGCGACGGAGAGGATGTCGACATCGGTGCGGCTGCCCTTTTCGAGCTTGGCGCGCTTGGAGTGGATGAGGTCGCGCGATACGCGTTGGATGGTCGAGATAGCGTTTCGTAGCTCGTCGTTACGCTTGATGGGGAGAGCGCGGAGCAGCCATTCAGGCAGGAACATGGACATGACCTGCATGAGGCGCGCGCCGCGGCCTGGGCTGAAGATGGTGCGGTAGGTCACATTAAGCTCGCTCTCCGGATTGGACAGAGCATTGAAGTCCTGACCCATGCCTGCTACGCCAATGATATCGAGCGTCGCACGGGACGCCCACTCCCGGATTTCCACGACGGAGGATCCATCGGGGCTCGTCTTGATGACTTCAGCGAGTTTATCGGTCATCTCACGTGACTTGCTCCAGAAAACCTGGTATAGGTCCTTAACGTGGCGGAAAGCAAATGCAGGCATCAAGGCCCTCCGTTGGCGCTACAAGGCGTTAGTGTTAACAAATCAAATGCCTCGTCCGACCGATACATACCTTGTGCTCGTCTCCCTCAGCAAGCAGAATGCCCACACCAAGCAGCCTACCAAGCCCACTCCGGATACGATACGGCTTGATAAAGTCATAGTTCCTCTGCACCAGCACCTCCGCCAGCGCCTTCGGCGTCGTAACCAGAATCCTCGGCTCATTGAACAACCACCGATAGTACAGCACGCCATCATTCGGAATCGAATCAATCCAGTCCCTTTGCGGTTCGCCCGACGGGTCCCTGAAAATTCTCTTGAAATGTCCAAAGACGATGCTCGATTCCTGTGTTATGGTTAGCGACGTTCCCACGTGATGCACGGAAGCGACGAACCGGAGGCGAGGGCAAGTGACGCAGAGGACTCAGGAAGAACGGATACACAAAGATACGCCACCCCGACTGCGCCAGGATCTGGATAAGAAGCAGCGTGGCGGCATTCCAGAAGAACGAGCTCTTGAATATTGCGAGCTGCGGCGTGTAGCGAAAGGTGAGGAAGGTGATGGCTGCGGAGTTGAGCAGGAGGTATCGTTTCTGTATCGCCATGATGGAGCGATGGCCGAACAACAGCGCGAAGTGAGAACAAGGAGAAATAGAGGCCAAGAAGTGAATAGATGAGAAAGAAGAGGTGTACAAGATGTCCCCAACTTAAAGGTTGAATGTTAACACGCGCGTCGTTTCATCGCAGCCTTTTCGATACGGGTGCCATGTTTCCCTTTGGGACTAGCGCGGATCGGCGCACGGAACAATTTATTGCACCGACGAGCGACCGGACGAAGGTCGCTCAAAACACGTCGACTCCTACGTCTCGGCGAGTTTAAGGAGACTTTCTCCAAAAATATTCTTTGGATATGTGCTAGAATCTAATCTCGCGGACGCAATTCGGGGCTCTGTCATGGCTCTTCATTTCCAAGATTGCCCGGTCTGTTTATGGGGACTCGGAATAGAGGTGAGGTTTGATATAGGCTTTCAATTAGCCTTTAAGCGTAAGTAGTATACTAAACTGATCTTGCTCTATTCAGTCCAATATGGAGCTATGGTTCGCGCACACAAGCAATCTATCTAGAAGGCCGTACCTTCTCCGCAGCGCCGTATGCATGTATGCCCCTTCAGTTCATTCTATGGCTGCAAGTGCCACTCCAGTCATCTGCTCGCTGTCTTTCCCAACCTCAACTGTTTTGAATATCTGGCAAAAGAAGGTGCGTACGTCGCCTCCACATCCTAGTCCGACCGATTGCCGCGCGACTACACCAACGCTACCTCTGCGAAGATCGATAACCAAAAGAGACAGATTTGCCACGAAAACCACCTCCTAAACCATTCCGATGCGCAGGCAACGCTGTTCCTTAGCTCAGGTTAGCTCCTATGAGAGTGCCATTTTGGCTTTGTTGATGCTTTCTCTCGTCCATTACAGTTGTTGCGCCTATCTCCGTCTCTCAACTCCGTCGCCCTCGTCTCCTTTCCTGCTTGTCGTCTTACCCTCATCTTCTTCAGGCGGCGTGATGTCGATCAGCAGCTGTTCTTTTGGATCGCCGCAGACCGATCCCTCCTTGGATCCCACCTTGGATGGCACAGTTGAGTGGGCACCTGCCGTCTGCTTGGTCCACAACTCGCAGTACTTGCCGCCTTGCTCTAGCAAGTCCGCATGTCTTCCTCTCTCAATGATCTCCCCCTTCTCCACCACGAGAATCTGATCCGCCTCTACGATTGTACTCAGCCGATGTGCGATCACAAAGGTAGTGCGCCCTTTGCTGAGTTTTCTGAATGCCTCCTGGATCTGCGCTTCGATGGCCGAATCGATGGCCGAAGTAGCCTCGTCTAGCATTACGATCTTCGGGTTCTTCAAGAGAACGCGCGCAATGGCGATGCGCTGTAATTGTCCACCTGAGAGACGAACGCCACGCTCACCGACTTTGGAATTGTACTTGTCCGGGAATGACATGATATCGTCATGTATGGCTGCTGCGCGACACGCATCTTCGATTTCCTCATCGGTGGCATCGAGGCGGGCATAGCGCACGTTTTGGCGAATCGTCTGATTGAAGAGTGCCGGATCCTGAGGAACGAGACCGAGAGATTCACGGAGACTAGAGAGTGTAATCGAACGCAGGTCTTGCCCGTCGATCATGATAGATCCATTCGTGACATCGTAGAAGCGGAAGAGCAGCTTCAGCATGGTTGACTTTCCCCCGCCCGTTTCCCCTACGAACGCAACGGTTTGGCCTCCTTCGGCTGCGAAGTTGACGTTCTTGATGATCTGCTTCCGAGTGTCGTACGAAAACTCCACGTCTTTGAATTCGACCTTTCCCTCTTTGACGACTAAGTCTCGGGCATTTTCATGATCGGCGACGGTGGGCTTCGTCTTGAGGAGCTGGAGAAGGCGCTCGGCGTCGATGAGGCTGGACGAGATGTGTCTGTAGCTGTAGGACATCATGTAAAGAGGACTCATCATAGTTCCCCAGTACATGATGAAGGTGATGAGATTTCCAACAGGCTTCTCTCCGGTGATGATTCGTGAGATAGCAAAGGCGCAGCACGCCGTGAACCCAAAGGTCATCAACAGGTCTTGCGCAGCGTGGCCTCCCATCGATCGGAAATAATACGCGTAATGTGCGAGGATCGTGCTTCGAATGTTCTCCCGGTACCGTTCTTGTTCGTAGGAAGACCGGTTGAAGTAAGCCACGGTTTGCCAGTTATGCACCGTCTCATTGACAGTCGTATTCTCCGTCCGCTGCTTCTCCACGTAGGCTCTGCGACGAGGTTGTGACAAAGTCGTGAAGATAAATCCAAGCCAGACGTATGCCACCCCCATAAACAAGATAATGAAGGCCATGTAGGCGTCGAACAAGTGGGTGACGTAGTACATGGCAATGACCAAATCCACAATGATCGGGAACAGTTCGAAGAGCACCAGCTCAATAAGCGAGTTCAGCGCTGAAGCTTGCTCGACAGCTTTCAAGACTTCTCCGGAATCCTTGGCAGTGTGGAAATCCATTGAAAGGCTCATAAGGTGCTTATAGGCCAGTAGGGTGATGCGCTCGTAGGCTGAGTTGGAAATCACTTGCTCGGCAAAGCCGTCGAGGATGCCAAAGCCACCATAGCTGTTTATCCAGCGATACAGCATCCATAGTCCAAGCTCTTTCCAAGGCATGGTATGTGCCCCATACGTCAGCTTGTTCGTAATGATTCCCAGTTGACGGGGCTCCAGCAGGTTTAAGAAACGTCCTTGAACGAGATGAAGAAAGCGTAGGAAGAGGCAGAGCATCACTCTCCAGTCATCCTTGGGCCAAAGATAGGGTAGGAATACGGCGAAGCTCTTAAGGTAGCCGACCCAACCACCTTGCTCCTCAAGGCGCTTGTCCCGTTGCTCCTTGATTTCCTTGTTGGGGTCCACTGACTCTTCGTCGTCATCGCCCGAGGAAGCCTGCGCGATGGAGCCATAGCCTGAATTTCCGTTTGGTGCTGCGGAACCGTTCGCTTCCGCTCCGAGCAATGATTGCTCTTCGTCATCCGTGGCCTTTTCGCGCAGCTTCCGTACGAGAATCAGAAAAGCGTCTATGACGAGGACGAGGGACGCCAGAGCTCTTGCGGAGCTGATACTTAGTGGAATGTTCCTGTAGCGGTCGTCCGCGGGAAGAGAGAACCCGGAAAGGAGACAAGTGGTCGTTTCGAACACGAACTGGATAACAAAGGATCCGAAGTAAGGGTGCCACACGAAGTCCTGTCCTTGCATCAGGGATGCGCCGAGTAAAATCCAGACCAGAATACACCCTAGGCACCGAATCGCAGCGTGCTGCGGCGACTGGTACTCCGCATCTGCGAGTGATCGGCTAAAGTAGTAGAGGACTTCGGCGATGTAACCAGTCAGGAGACTGAGCGACAGAACTACCGTGAGGCGACGTCGTTTGAATGATAATGGTTTCGGCTTTTGAAGGACGCAGAGGGCAAATGCGACAGCTCCGAGATGGTAGAACCCCACAATAGGTGCATGAGCGTACTCGAGAAGTGCTATGGCTGATAGCTGCGCCTCCGAGCCTCCTGGAAGCACCATGATGGCGGTTGAAAAGATTCCTTCGTGTCCTAATTCTGCAGATGTGTTGGGACCGGGCGGGCAACGATGGGAAAATGTAAGATACTGAAAGTTGAACAGCACGCCGGACAGCAGCCTAAGACAGAAGGTTTTAAAGCGCGTAGTTCTCAGCAGAGGCCGGCGCTTACCGAAGGTCCATTGCCCGCGTCGAGCTAGCAAGCTGCCTCTAAGACGGGATTTTGTCGTTGCCTTGGGATCTTTGTGGGGGAACCTTGGAAGGATGACTGAGTGTGGCGGTGCGACCTCCCCGCCACAACGTCGCACTAGCCCAATGGGAGATGGCGAGAATGGAATGCACGAAGAAACCAGCTGAAGACGTGGCGATGAGAATGGTATGAAGAGGATGTAGCCAAAGAAATGCCAGTTTGAATCAAATCAAACATTCAAGAAAACGTGGAAAAAGGAAATGGCAGCATGTTGAAGCGCGCCCCGGCCTGGCCACGCCGCGATAGCGTCGCAAACATTTGCGCAAGCTCCGCTGCCTCGACCGCATCAGCACGCCCATTACTGTGTATGCGCAACGCAGCGAATACTCCGCCCTTAAAACACCCTGCTAGCCGCGAGTAGCTTGGCTTGGTGGTGATAAGCGTCACCGCTAAACGCTCGTCAGCCCTGTGTCCACTTCAGCCGCCATCTGCCGCCCCAAGCAGGCGGGATCCGCCCACGAACTTGATTACTCCGGGACTCGCTTGGGGCGGATTATGTGGGTTCTGTGCTTGTTCGGTAACCGGTGAAGGGATGCAGGTGATATCTGGTGATTTCTGCTGATGGCGCGGGAGCGCAGTACGGCGGAGGGTGTCAAACATGAGTCTTCGTCTCGGTGAGTCAGGAGGCCGTACATCGCTTTCATGGGCGTGGGTGAGTCACGAGGGGTGGGAAGGGACGAGAAAGATGAGAAAAGCGATCGACGATAGCGAAGGCATGGATGAGAGATATTGAAGACGAGTTGAAGTTGATGCCTGATGAAGAGGCGGCAGGTGCGACCCTCGCGTCCCAATGCGGCTTAGCGCGCCCTGCACATGCGCGGCGCTTTACCTGCACTCGTCCTCTGCAAGCTGCCATATCAGATCTTCGGGCATATACTCGCATAAAGAGACGGAGCCAATGATCGAGAGGCGAAGTGCTAAGTCGGACCGATGAAGCTTGAAACGGCATATCACGATCTTCGCCACTCTACTCTACGTCAACACAACGTGCGATCTGAAGGCCCGCTCAATGTTTCATAGCGACATATTTCCTTGTATCTCCAGATCTACAAGCGGCATACAAACCGACTCTTGAGGAGACACATCTCAAATCCGATCCGAATTCACGATTTTCGCCTCTCCTCGTGCAACACCAACACACAGGGTCTTCGTCAGGTACCGGCCTACGCTCCATGCTCACGCCTCTATTTGGAATATCACAGCCCAGATTCGTGATCAATAGTAGCAGCAAGAACAAGTTCAGATTCCAGTTGCGCAGACCCTGGCGATCATTCTGCCGTCTCTCGTACCTCTTCTCTGGGCTCCATCAGCCAAGCACCTCTGCCAAACGCCCACGCAGTCGTACACCGCGTTTGTTCCCCTTCATTCCGGCCATCCCAACATCGCCGAGCTCTCATGAAACCATTCCCATACACTTCTTCCCCTTCAATTACGAATCGAATCGCCTTCATTATCATTGCGCCCATCGCCGTGCCGCATTCACGTCCACGCGCTCCCTTTGCCTCCGCGGACTGCCTCCGCGGACTGCTTGCACGAGACGTTCTCACATCTCCCCTCTCGTTCGTAGCCTCACACCTCGCGGGTAAGAAAAGAAATGAAACACTGTGACTGCGAACCTTCATCGTGACGAGAACTCTTGCCCAAAGCGCGTTGCGTCCCCCCCCTCGTTTGCCATCATAGACAGCACTGCTCGAATCCCCCCAGGTGCAGTCACAGCCATATGCAGTGCTCTCCTCCACGAGGCCAAGAACGCAATGCCACACTTCACGCCCCCTTCCCCGCGGGTCCAGCAAAGCGCACTGCAGTCGCACCAACGTGTTCCTGAATCCTGCTCCCCAATCTTGGAATTCCACAGCCGCCCCAAACCAAACCCCATCGTCACATATCACACCCACAAACGAGCAGTCCCGTGCCCACGCACTGATTCCGCTATCGGCGGCACACCCGCCTGCGGGAGAGCGCGAGAGCGAGCGCTCAGAACGCATCCCGCACCCCGCGCAGACGATATAAAACGGCTCGTCACTGCGCTCTGCCCTCCCCTCCATTCACGCCTGCGACTCACTCACTCGTTGTCTTTCGTTCGCGCGAACATCGTGTATAAATATTCTTATCTCTCTCGCTGCTCAGTTGTCTCTCCCCTGCTTCCCCTGTTCGCTGTGTTGAGATATATATATCCTGTACCATTGTCGCTATTATTAGTTCGTTGCTCGTTCGTCGTGATCGGACGACGAGGGTTACTGTTACTCACCGATCGCATTCGCCCAGGCATCTTTGGAGCTTTGAGAAGCGGTAAGTATACTTCGCTCCATTCCCTCGGGGTCCTGAGAAGCTAATTATATCAGTCCGACTACACACGCTGTTGCGGGGCGTACCTCGTTGTTCTCCCCCGATTGAGCGGCGACTAGACCGCCAGACGCTCGTTCCGAACTCCAGCCTCAGCCGCGCGCTCACCCAGAGCATTCACGTGCTCCCATTGTTGCCATTATTGTACAATACTTGTATTCTTCACCTCCTGTACCATACCTTCCAGTCCAAGCCCCTCCAGGCTGCCGCCGTCACCGTCGCAACCGGTGCGCTATATAGAGACCAAACCCGCAGGTCCGAGCTCCCAGCACAGTCCTCCCAACACCGACTTAAAGACCCATTCATCCTCTCTCACAGCAGTCGGTACGATCCTCCTATTTATTCGCCCCTCGACTCACCCGGCCAAGTCAGTCAACTCACACCCACCCCTCGCCGGTCCGCACACCGCTCGCAGCCCACACTCTTGAGCTTCATTAAACTTCAGCCAGCGCACGAGATCTCTCCACGTAACACGACACAAACAGCGTTTGCAAACATGTCATCCCCGCTCTGCCCGCCAACCACTCCAGCAGGTCCCAGCCGCCGCCTCACCCCTAGCACGCCCGGGACCGCGCGCTCTGTCACGAACTGCACCGATGACGCCGCCACCTACAGCGAGGTCATCATCCACACCGCGAAGTGCTCCGAATGCGACGAGCGCAACAAGGCGACCATGCGCCGCTGTCCGGGCTGCACCTTCCAGATCTGCCAGCCTTGCTTCGACAAGCGCCTTGCGGCGGGCAAGTCTCTGGCTCACGGTAACTTCCGGACCCCGTCCATCGCTCCAATACCCGTCGTCCGTCGGCGACTGTTCACCGGCGCTGGAGGAGCGCAGCCTCCGGCACAGGCGGTCAAGGAGGAGGAGAAGAAGGACAGCGCGCAAGAGGTGACGCCACCGAAGACGGATTCGCGGAAGCGCGATCGCAAGGCGAAGAAGAAGGCCCCTGTCGTAGAGTTTTCTTCTGAGGATGAGGATGACTTCGACGCCGACCGAGATTCGCCAACTACGACAACGAAGCGCCAGAAGACAGCCGAGGGTTTCCACTCTCCGGGCAGCAAAATGACGGCCAAGTCCCTCGCCCGTGCAGCGCGACAGACCGCCTCGGAGCAGCCGGCCACTCGTGCGGATCCGCCATCATCGCCGTCAACGGGCATCGACATAAGCGCTTCCATAGGACGCCCGCTCTCGGAGCATTCTGGCGGGGATCTCTTCCAACAGTTCGGGATCGAGGCGAAGTACGACCAGCATCCGCTCGCGCGCCACAACCCTATCATGAGCAACCGGGCTGTTGCATCGCCTCCGAGCCTGCGGTGGGACGCCAAGCCTCGCAAGTCACAGGAGGAGATCGAGCGGGCTATTCAAACCAAGACCCGGGAGAAGATGGGCGCTCAGCAGGGGGTTCGCGGTGAGGCTGGCGGTGAGGCTGAAGCTGCTCGCGTAAGTATCCACGCGGAAGGTGCGACCGGTGAAGACATACTAACACACCTGGGCAAACAGGAGCCCACTGAGCCGAAGCAGAGCGGGACCACCATCCGCGAATTCATCGAGACCGAAGCGCGAAACCTTCAACAAGGCGTCAGGCTACACCGCGATCAACAGGAGAGCTTGGTATCGGCCCTGAAGGAGGTCGGTCGCAACTTCGGTATGCTTGTCTACAGCGCGCTTCCGGAAGGCTTTAAGCCATACGCTACGCCCGGTCTTGACCTACAAGTCGACAAGCTCCATGCTGTACAGAAGCAGGAGCTCGAGAAGCTGGTGCGAGAGGAGGCGATGCGAAAGTTGAAGGCGCTGGAGGCGGAAGCTAGCCTGTATGCCTCCTCGAGCCCGGGCCGTCAGGCAAAGTCAGCGCCGGCCGCCAAGACGGGTAGCCCGCCTCCTCTTCCGCCTGTGGGCTTCTTCCGAGTGTCCCAGCCACAGCCTGAGTCTCATTCAAGCGTTGGCGGTATGCCTTCTTCCTCCTCCTCCATTGCCGGTGCCCGGCCATCCTCACACTGAGCGGATGGGCATCTCACCTCTGGTAGGTTACAACATGCCAAGGAAGAGTATCAAATGTTGACGAAATTGCCAGGATTGTGAGCTGTTCTACCAATTGACACTGTGGGGTATCATGTCTATATTGTTCAACGTTTGCGCGCTGTAACATCTCCGTTCAGCGCGCGAGTATTCTTCGTCTGAACGACCTCCTGTCTCCATGTTCACATAGTCTTTATGCTCTTGGTGGCGCTAAAGCGATCAACGGCGCGGGTCGCAACGGTCGGCAGAGTCGGTAATGGGGCGTGGCTGGACTTGGCTTCTTTCGATGCATCATTCTCTTTCTGCATGCGTGTGGAGTATTCAAGACAGAGGATCAATAGACGAGGTTGAATGATACCCCTGTTACCCCCTATATTCCTTGTAATTAGACAGCAGTCTTTGTTTGGTGCGAGGGGGAAGGCCCTTACTGATTTTATTTCTTCTCTGAGGGTGAGAACCAGAAATCACTTCATTGAATGTACCGAGGGATGAGCATAGGTCTTGCGTGATATCATGTGTAACGTTGTATGAAATTGGATTAGATGCAGAGACCAGACAGCCCGACCGATGCTGATACGACAAAGGAAATGAAGCCCCCAGGACATGACCCCATAGAAGGAGAAAGAAATAATGATGGGTATCAACAGAGCCCGGGATTAAGGCGCATAATGGAACAAGCAATACAAAGATGTAACAAGCCTTGCCACACGGGCATGGCGACACAACAGGACGTTACCGTGCCTGACGCCTGTCTGAGCCGAGGGCGTCGCCGAACTGGATCGTCAATGCTCCAGAATCGATGGGTTCGACGCGCTCCCAGCTGCCCTCGGCGTCGGCAGAGTCGCCAATGACGTTCCCCAGCCATGTAGCTTCGTCTTCTTCGGCATCAGCATGGGCGGAGGTGGGGCGGCTTGACTGCTTCATGGGCGGGAAGCGCTCATTGAAGAGGCGAGGGTACTCGGAGTTGGCGCCATCGTCGGTGTAGGTGGCTTGGGAGACGTGGATCAATTTGCTGGAGCGCGGGATGAGCGCTAGGCGTCAGGGCAGTGGCAGGGCGGGCACTCACTCCGATGTCTGGGCGCAGATGCGCTCCAACGCGTCCCGCTGGCGTCGAATCTCTTCTGGGTCGGGCTGGGGCACGCTGTGCGAGCCGGGGCCGTTGATGCTGCCGTAGTGGGGCTGGTAGGGGTCTCCAAGGAGATGCGAGCTGTCAGAGCGCTGCAAGGGCGGGCGGACGCGTTAGCACGGTGGAGTGCAGAGGCGAGACAGCTCGGCGATGCGAGGGCACGAGAAAGAAGCAGCGGCGGTAGCGCACTCACCTCAGAGTCCGAGGGCCGCCGCCCCAGGCCTAGGCAGGATGCGCAGATGCCCATGGAATGAGCGCGTCGGGCCGCAGCCACAGCCGGCGGAGGGAAGCGCAGTCACCTCTAAGAATGCGCGGTCGGAGGATTAGGTCTTGCTAGCAGGCGTCAGGCGTGAATGCACCGAGAAGCGCTGGTGGCGGTCGCTGGGGCATGTTGCCGCAACGGGGAGGTTGGTGGTGAGCGATCTCCATCTGGTCATCTATTGTTGTGCCGAACTTTTGGCGGTCGGCGGTCCCGGCCTCCGACGGCCTCTCATTCGCCCGCGGCAACACCTCTCCATCCCTAACCACCGTCGTCGCTCGTCGCCCGCCATCATGCCTCAACCACCACCTAAATACAGATTGCTCGCTCCTCCGACCCGTTTTCCAAGACACGACTCACCCATGACCTCACAAGCCCATTCCAGCAATCAATCTCCAACCCAGTCGCATTCTCAACGGCCGATCCACGGCTGAGCGACGAGCGCCTGCCCACTGCATGCTTTCCTTCACAACGTCGCTATCTCAAGTCTGTGACTCTGATCTCGATAATTTCGAATGTATAATCATCTGCAACGAGTCCGTCGCCCCTTCAATATTCCTGTCTCTCTCCAACAGTGCAGGTGTGACCATTGCACTCTCCTCTCCTCTGGTCCTTCAGTCCAACTCCCCAGTCGCGTTTTCGTGTCTCTGAACGCGAATCATCCCTTCGCATCACCTCAACATTTCTTGAAATGGATCTGGGTGGGGAGGAAAATGTTACAACGCGACTCTGACAGGGGGCTTGGCATCTGCACTCGCCATTCCTGTCAACCAGGAAGGGCATGGCGGCTGCCAAGCATCCCAGAAGCCGTTCAGATGAATCGGGAGGCTACCAGAATTGTATCTTTGACACCAAAATCGCGAGATTTCTCAGAACTGGTTCCACAAAAGGTCACTGTCTTCAGTCGCGCTTCACGCGAAACCAATCCAGCCAGCGGGCCCAATCCGAATCTGTACCGCTGGTCCCGTCTGCAAGGCGCATTCTCAACGTGGGAATAATCTTGATGGCTGTCAGGATGGCGAGGAAGACCGCACCTCGGCGTGTCTCATCGCTATTCGCCCCTTATAAAGGTACTATTCGTGATGCCTGGCTCCCCATCTCCTCTCAGGAGCCCTGTCGGGATAAGAAGTCTAGTCGCTTGATCGGAGCGTCTCTCACTCGCTTGAGTGCTCCATCATGTTCTTCTCTCGTTCGTTGTTGGCTTCGGCCCTCGTTCTTTCGTTTTCCACGTACGCTGAGGCCCGAGTGGCTCAGCACCGCATCGACCCAGCGAGCGGCGATGTTTCCAAGGGGAAGAAGTTTCACGGTTGGACGTTGAGGAATATTCTCGGCAAACGGCAGGAACCCCAGGTTCTAGATTGCTCTACGCCGAATCTCTACATTGACATCCTAGAGGACACAAACGGCGACAACGTACAGACGTTCTGCAACAAATGGCTCGACCTACCGCCAATGACTACGACTACGGATTACACTCCCATATTGTAAGCAGTTATATCTCCTTTGAGAGGTCCCACTAACCACCTTGGCAGAACCACAACCACGAGCAACAACGCCACCTCCACCATCACCAGTACTATACGAACAATAACCACGGAAACTGTGGTCAAGACCACGACTCCAGCAGCAGTGCGTCCTCGAGCAGCAAATATCGCGGCCAAGGCTGCAACGGCCAACCAAATAATCTCGTCCGTCATCGACAGCGGAACCGTGTCGTCGACTCTGCCCGCACCGGAGAATACTGAAAGGGCTGAAGCCGAGTCGGGGCTATCCAACGCCTGCTCCTGCAAGAATGTTGATCCGACATCGACCGATACTGTTACTTTCACGGCGCCGACTTTGGTAAGTAATACGGGAGCTCGAGCCGGTCCTCGCTGACCCCGCAGTAGCATATGACGGCGGCGAGATTTTTCGTGACTTATTCGACTTCAACATCGACGAAGATTTACACGGAGACCACAACGATGATGGAAAGCGTCAGTGAGACAACAAGCCCCAGCGTGTCTACTAGCGGCCCTAGCACAGAGTCTCTGGGATCTAGCTCCGTTGTGAGCGGTCGGGCAGAACCCTCTGCAAACTCCACATCCGCCAGCGCATCGAGCACAGCAGCTGTGTCAGTAACTCTCGTCTCTTCAGGCGTCGTTGCCCCTACAGCCTCGCCTTCTGGATCCGGCGTACCCACCGTCATTGGTTTGCCCTTCGAATGTCCCGGAGCTAATGAGGCAACCCCGCACTTCATTGTGGGAGACCTGCGATATGAATACTCCATTCTTTGCGACACGGCCATTGTCACAAGCAACGAGATCACTACCCTTCAAAACGTCACCAATGCCACAGCATGCGCTGTGGAGTGTTCTATCGCAAACAATGTCGCTCAGAAGGAAATATGTCAGGCTGCAATGTTCATCACCGTTCCTGGTTCTTCTGGCGGCTCTTGTCTCATTAGCGGAGCTACGACGAACTATGTCAAATCTGCAGGATCGACTACTATCATTCTCACTGGCGTCTCATCTAAGGCCGACAACTGTGCTTCCGCTGACTTCACGAACGGAGCGAGGAACGCCACCATCGACACCTCAGCCCTTGTGGCGTCCGTGACCTCGGCTGGCTTCTCCTTATCTACTCCTGGTTTCGTAACGAAATCAGAGGCTGGGGGGGTAGAGAGGTCTTACTTCTCAAGCAGATCCACTGACTCGTTAGGATATATCCACTGGAGTTGGTTTGAGGTTTATGCGTCATCTAGCGCATGGTGGGCGGTATATGCTACTTCATGGTCTTGCACATGGAATGTCCCACAAACAATTGTGATCCCGCAACCCGCAGTCACTGGCGCTGCAAATATAACGTCTGTCATTTCCGACATTACTACCATCATCAACAGTGGTGTCACCACGGTCATTTCAGGGACATCGACAAGGAGCTTTACCAATGGAGGAGGTGTGCTCTCTCCGACAGCAGTCCCAGCATCCACAACCAGCGGTGGTGGCGCCTTCACGACGGGGTTTTCGACCGCGACCTCGACTGGTACTGCCGGAGGTGGGGTAGAAGGTCCTTCAGTGACGTCGATCTCTTCCGGCGCTATGAGCTCTCAGATCGGGGTCAATGGAACTTCCGGTACCGGCATTCAAGGCTCCGCTGCCCTGACGGTCTCCGGTGGAACTGCTACGTTTAATTCAACCGGAGACTCAGGAGTCGTCACTCCATCTCCTACTAACGGCTCTTTAGTCATTCCTGTTTCTAGCGCAACAGCTACTTCCAATTCCACTGGCCTAGTCGGATCCGAGGGCCCGTCTCTGACTTCCGGCGTAGCAACTTTTGTGACTTCCTCATCGACTGCTACGTCAAACTCTACTGGAGGCAGTGGCGGATATGGATCGCAGACCAGCTCTGCGGAGATCAGCCTACCAGCGAACTCCACAATCTTGCCCGCAGCAGGTACCTCGGCAGGAAGCCTTGGGCTAACTGTGTCTGAAGCCACAACCACGTCGAACTCCACAGGCAGCGGGGGTATTATCTCGCCAACTCCGTCTTCGAACCAGACAACCCTCCCGACCGGGCCATATGCGTCAGGAGGCGTCTCGCTCACTTTCAGTGGGAACACCTCAGCGATCTTCTCGACCGGAGGTGCAGGCTCGGAGAGCGGTGTTTCGGTTACTTCTGGGGGCTTTACGGGAACCCTCGGCGGCGAAACTCATACCGCCAATTCCACCGGAGGCCAAGGTGAGATTCCAACGTCACCCACGTCGAACATGCTTCTATCGACTGGCACCGGCGCTCCGAGCCCTTCATCAAATGAGACTATTGCAGGCTCGTCAACACAAGGCTCTCTGAATGCGACTGTATCCGGAGGTACAGCAGTTACATCTGCGACTGGAGGTTCCGATGTGATTCCGCCGACTCTTACCGCCAACAGCTCAATGATCACTGGAAGTGGTAGCTACTCTACTTCCGACGTGACCTCAAGTTTCTCCAGCTACGGGTCCTCTGGCGTCGTTCCACCGCCATCGATAAACATTTCGGAAACCACCTCGGCGAGCATGGCACCTACACCAATCCTCAATAGTTCCCTTCCCGCGGGCACGGGTGTCTTCTCAACATCAGAAGGTACAACCATGACCTCCGCCACCGGTTCCCAAGGGATAATTCCACCTTTGTCGTCGAACATGTCTGCAACAGTTCCGGCAAGCAGTACGCCAAGTCTGAGTTCCAAAGCCTCTGTCTCCACGGTTTCTGGTGTGTTCTCCACGTCAGGCGGAACTGCTGTGTCTTCCTCAACTGGAGGAGGTGGAATAATTCCCCCGTCTGCGTCTCCAACGCTAAGCACGAACGCCACATCAACTCCTATGGGTACTGGGCCTAGCTCATCCGGAGCTTTGAACGTCACCGTTTCTGGAGGTACGGCTATCAGTCTTTCAACGGAATCCGGGGGCATTATTACTCCTTCTGCCAACTCCACCGCCACGCTTCCGCCCAGCTTAACTCCAAGCCCGAGCCTTAATGCCTCCTCAACTTCTGGCGATATCTCGGACATGCCTCGGACGGGCGGGCTGTCCTCGACCACCGGGTCAAACAGTACCATGTCAGGTACGGCTCCAATCGGAACTGGCTCTTCCTCCTCCATGCCTGCGAACTCGACTGCTCTGCCTGGAACGGCACTTTCAAGCTCCAGCTTCACGGAGAGCAGCGGCTACGGCCCGCAGCCTACGCCAACCCCATCTACCAACATGACGTCCATGTCCGGAACGGGGCAGCCTTCCATAACCATGCCACCGATGTCGGCAAACTCGAGTTCCGCTTTCCCCACGGCGAACAGCACGGATCTCGGCACCTATAGCTACGACACTGGTGACCGCTTCGGAAGCTTGAAGTCGCGATCTTCGGGCATACCTACGACGAATATCACAGCTTCAAGCTTTATGCCCACGGCGTCGTCTAACTCCAGCGTATCGGTTCCGTTGACCACCGCTATCACGACGCCGATCAACTCCACGCAGTTGCCTGTTGAGACTGGTTCCTCTGGATTGCCTCCGGTTTCGGCGAATTCGACCTCGCCGGTAGACACTGCTTCGGGGGGCCTTCCTACTCCTTCCGCGAATGCCTCTATCCCGCTGTCTACTGGAGCCACGGTATCCCTTAGCATCTCATCCGCAACTGCCAACTCTACCGAAACACCGGGCACAGGCTTTAGTGCTGTTCCGACTCCTTCCGGCAACATGACTGTTCCGCTCTCGACTGGCGTCACAGCATCCGCTAGCTTGCCTACAGGGTATCCAAACTCAACCTTACCCGCTGCCACGGGATCTCTCTCGTTCTCGAACTCAGAGGATAATCGAACAGGGATCTTCTCTACGAGTGCATCGCTCGGATCCACCGCGATAGCTCCCGTAACGGCGAACTCCACGAGCCTCTTTCCAACAGGAGGAACCGGTTCAATCGCATCGACCAGTCTCCCGACCCCCTCGCTGAATACAACCCTCCCACCACCAGTTTCTAGAAACACTTCATCCGTTCCCTCCGCTTCACCAACTCCCTCCCTAAATACCAGCGCAGAGGCCTGCCCTACTAGCCTCCAATTCTCCACCGTTCCCCGCACGATCGTCATAACAACCGTCTCTTACGAAACCATCCCCGTCGGTCCCTCAACCTGCCTTCCTACAACACCCATCTTCCCCTTCCCCGCCAATGCAACCACGATCCCTACCGCTACTGGCGCATCTGCCCCATCCATCCCACTAGCAACCTACTCAACGACCGCCCTCGCCGCCATCCCACCCTCCGCCTCCGCCGCCCTATCCCAATATCGGCGCGCCAACGAGACCGCGACCCCAGAACAGATCGCCGCCGCGTGCGCCAACACGGCGAACCTCGTCTTCAATGCAGGCTTCGACCTCGGCACAGACAGCAATCCCTTCGGCTGGACCGTCGTGCCCGACGATGCCTTCATCAGCCTCCGCACCTTCCCGTCGCCAAACCAAAACGGCAGCGAGAACAACGCTGCGCGCGTACTCTCCGCTGCGGCGGGCCGCTACATCACCATCTCGCAGCCGCTGACGCTCTGCCCGGGGAAGCAGTACGCGCTCGCTTCGCGCAGCAGGCAGGATAATCTGCTGGCGGATTGCACGGTTAAATATGCGATTGGGGACGATGTCGTGTATACGGCGAGTCCGCAGGAGGGATGGTTGAGGAGGAGTGAGTTCTTTACTGCGGGGATGACGGCTAAGGAGGTTAGTAAGGATCTTGTGGTGAGGGCGACGTGTGCGGGCGAGGGAGGCCTGCCTGCCGGGACGGATGAAGCGGGGTATATGGTTGTGGAGCTTGATGATGTGAGTGTAGTGCAGGATGTCTGAGAAGGCAGGGAAGAAAGTTCTGGGGACGTTAGTGTGGGCGGAAGATGAGTTGCAGAGGTAAGACGTAGATCGGATCGGAGCAGATCGCATGGGGGTGAACCTTGGAAGACGTGGGGTAGGCGCTTTCCTTTTCAGTCGGCGCAGGGCACGTCATGTCATATCCTTTTACGCATCATCATTAGCATAGCTAGCTAGTCACGTTCGGTACTCCAGTTCAGTTCAGTTCAGTTCAGCTTAGTTCCTCAGTATAATCAAATGCAAAGCGATTTCCTCGTTAGCGCCTGGGTCCATGCAATAGTCCTGTTGAGGTACCTCGGCGGCTTCGCGCTTTTCGGCTGTGGCTGCTCGGCCCTCTGATTGGCCGGTCTGCGCTCTGGGTGCCGAAGTCTATTTTACGTCTTACGACGTCCGAAACCCAAGCATTCCTCCTGCGGTCGCTAGAGGTGATGCGCGAGCATTTGGAATAAGGCAGGAATGGCTGTTGTCGCGGTGTGATTGGTTGGTGGAGACGCTGAGCAGCGGGAGCGGGTGAGCACGTGGTATTAGTTGGCGCAACTATAGCGCTAAGGTACATAAATGTACGACAGCAAACTACTCATCTGAGAAGACGATGCATGAAAAAAGACGATCTTGGGCTACGACGGGCGCCAATCTGAAGGGGGATCGTACGGATAAGGTGTTAGTTGCTGGCGAGACGCTTGTGGGTCTCGTCGACAGTGGATGCCCAACAGAGGGTACTCAACAGGGGGTATTCGATGACTGCCTAGGCCGTAAATGATGAACGTACGTGCGCATTGATGTTGCTTGTTTGAAGCGAAAAGTGAAGATTCCCATATTACAAAACTCGATATGTGTGAGGGTTCATGACATCGCGGTCGTTGCCCGTAGAAGACGACAGAGCGACGGGTGTCAGGATTCCCCGGCCTTAGTCTGATGACCTGCCTGGATCTTCGGATGCCTCGCGTCCGTACCGAATATGCACATAATTCGCGGAAGCGGTTCGAAGCAAGACGAACTGAAGGAGGTAAAGTCGACGGGCGAGTGAGATCGGGCTGGGGCATTGTGCGCCATGATTGGTCGGTCGATAGCCCTATGCATCGCCGAGAGACGCGTGTGATGCGTTGTCGCCGGGCTCAAGGCAGGGAGAAATGAAAAGGGTAATGGGCGAGATGCGCGGATGGAGCTGGATGTGACGTTTAGCGATCTTATTGGTCCGCGGGGTGCCTTACATTTGTCCCAGATATGCGCACAAATACTGTCTCCTGCCCAATACATCCGTGAAGGAGCCTTCGGTCGTGTTTGTCGCCCAGTAGCATGTACTGATGATGCCTCGACACCCCGCCCAGAACACGTCTAGTCGTCTCATTGGCCCCGCGCTAGAAAAGTGGGCTGCAATGTACCCTGTCTGCGCTGTTCGAGCCAGACTTGCCTGTCGTACAAGAGCGTCAAGGCTGTGGTAGAGGCTAAGCGCTGGCCTGCTCGCGAGGTGGAGGTGCATGCGGGACGTGTTCATAAGGTGACGGTCGCCCACACCCACTTCCTGAACCCTCTTCGCAGACCAAGGAGAACCGAGAGACGGGCAGCAGTGGGAGGAAGAGATTGGCGGATGAGGTCGACATAAAGTGTGAGACAGGGAGGGGGTGGAATCCTGCCGACGAGCGGTCCGCGAATGAGTGCGGCGTGGGCTGCCAAAAGGCGATCGATTGCGCGGGTAGGGCCACTCAGAGACCGCCACGTGGGATGGGAGCTGTCGACATTCGGTTCGCCTCTCGAGGGTTGATATGGTGCGTTCTCCCGTCCTGCGAAGGCCTTTGTTGCGGCCACGACTCCATTCTGACTCTGAAAAGACATGAGAGGAAAAGGGAAAGTGCTACCAGCACGAAAACACGATGCGACACAAGCGACACGACGGTTCTACAACGAAAACACGCGCTCAAGGCATGGACGACGACAGAGAGGGAATACAAACCGCTGCCCACCGCCCGCGCCCGGCAATGGCACACGAGCCCGGCCTCGTCCCCGCGCTCCTCGCCCAGACGCTCTGAGCCGAACGCAGCTCGGGCTGGAGGCACGCTGAGCAGCCGCGGCGGGCGCTGCAGGGACGGCGGGCAGTCGTGGGCGGGCAGACGATCGCCGGCCCGACGGCAACGCGGCGGCGGGCGGCTCGCGGGATATATTGTGTGCATTGCCGATGCAAGGAGGAGTGCAGGTGTGTATGCACATGTGGTGTTGAGGCGAAGGGAGCGAGGTCTGCGTCGGCGTCGGGGAAGAGGGAAGACTCGTCCGGCGGTTCCTCGGGCCTAGCGGTCAGTCATCCCCGAAGCGTGCTAGCGCCATCACGTGCGCGCAGAAGCGAGAATCCCCCACCTCACCCGTCGGCCGCTCACAACAAACACCTCAACACTCACCTCCCGTCCGCCAGCGCGCCGCTGTCTTCGCACCCCCCCTCATATATCGTCGCGCGCTGCCGGCCGCTCCGTCGCCCGAGCATCCAGCGCATCGCACGAGGCGCCGCGCTGTTGCCGTTGGGCCGTGCGCGATCACCTCCCCACTTCTATTTGCGGCTACGCGACCCTCACGGATTGGACAGCCTCAGCCCCCATTGCACGGCACAGCGGCTACATCACCACCAGCAAAAACACGGCCAATCATGAGGAGTTCGTAACTTCATTGCATCATATCACCAGAAGGTTAAGCTATGTGAAAAGCAAGCGACTGTAAGAGGTAACGCCCGGCCGTCTCCTTCTCCGTCATCCCTTCTCAGTATCAGTCTTTCCGTGTCATTCCGTTCCCAAACTCCAGAAATGAGTGGACTCTGTCCAAATCCGACCCCAACCCGTTGTACATGAAACAAATTCCCAGACGCCCGCGCAGTGGCCACGAACTCACTCAGGCATGGGTGCTGGTCAGGGCACCAATGCCCTGCAGCCTGCGGTTGCGCTCGCAGCTCAGCTCATAGATCTCGCTATCCAGACCCCGGATCGTGTCCAACGACTTGTCAATGGACGCTCGGAACTTGGTCCCCTCGCGCTGCCACCGGTTGATGCGCTCCACCTCGGAGGCCCGGCGCCTCATCTTCGTGTCGATCTTCTCGCAGAGCTTGCACTTCGTTTGGACAGGCACCGTCTGCATGATGAGCTTCATGCCGCACGTTTCGCCAATGCGGTACTCCTTGGCGCAGTGCTGGCGGAAATGGCCCCACTTCCAATCGCCACAGGCAAAACGGTGCTGATCGAAGAAGCACATGTTTCGACAGTTCAAGAGCTGGGACTGGCTGGTGTCTGGCTTGGTCAGCCTCATGGATCATTCGTTTGGATGCGGGGTCCTCTCGACATACCTTGGGTTGGTGGTTACGGACGTTGGGCCTTTCCGATTGGACCAGCGATGGTTGGACTAGGATGGATCAGCCTCAGGGGTCACATCGATATGGAACCCTCGACATGACATACGATGGTTGGGTGGGAAGCAATAGTCAACCAAGGCTGACGTTGATGGAGGACAGGAAGAGATGGCACAAAGGGCTCTAGTGTCTGAAGAGATGGACGATGCTCAAGAGTTGTCGGCTTTGACTGGAGCGTCTGCTGGAGTTGAGCTTGATGGACTGAATCTACGAGAGAAACCGCCGGTATTTATGCTTCGCTCGAGGGCACCATCGCCGATATCGACGACAATGTTTGGATCCCGCCCTCGTCCCGCTGTCAGACCATAGATTGATGCTATGGTCCATTCATCAACCGACGTGGTAGTGCCCCACCCGGCCGTGTCCAACGATATCGCCACGATCAACGGACACCTCTCATTCTGCCGCTAGAGAAGTGCGGAGACCGGCTGCAATGATACCCTAGGCCGTCCCGGCGTTGCAGCTGCAAAGAGCCATCACATCGTGCTAGGGGATCAACGCGTCGTGGCTTCGTGGACCGCGTAATTTCTCCCTGTCAGTGGAAAATCCCTCATGCTCCCTGTCGCCATGTCTCAGCCGAAGCCCGCAGATGGGGGCTGGATGCTTTGTTTTCGAGCATTTCAGGCCTTTCATCTACGGTGAGGTTGAAAATTGCGAAGCGAGATAGAGTCACGTGGCACGTAGCCGATGCCGAACCACAGTCCGCTCCACGAGTCGTTTGTCACTACAAACAAACGATTGGCCAATGGCGTCCATTGGTTTTCACTCCTCATCAACTCGGAACAGAGGAACTCTATGGGCCAGTCTTCGCCGCTGTCTCTTACCACGTACTACCCTGGAAGGCTTGGGTCCAGTTCGTGCGCTGCGTTGGCCAGTGCCCGAGGAAACGCTTGAGACTTGACAAGCATCTTGGTTGGACTCGTTACTTGCTTTTGGTCTCTCCGAACGTCTGTGTTCTTGGGCTCTCGGGCAAATCCCGGCTTGCGCTGTTCCATGAGTCGTCTCCAGTTTTCCTCATTCGAGCACAGCTAATCAACGTGTGTAGCCTCAAGCACGCCCATCGACGTCGTCTCGATCACCCTTCGCCTCTCCAAGACAGACATGCCGCCGCCCTTGGCTGACACGAAATATGCCAACCCCTCTTTCACTGGCTTGAGGCATTGTCGTCCAGTCACCTTATCTTCTCATGCTGCAACATCCGGTCTGGGGCATCACCTCCGGTCATACCATCCCGCCACCTCTGTGGTCCACTGGCTATCACCGCATGCATGGTGCATGGCCCGGTCGGTTCCACTTCATTCAGCTGATCAACTTCCCGCTCGACGTCTTGGTTTTACCGCATCCCGCCTATTGTTGAACTCTAGGCCATGCACGCTGACAAGCATGTGTCTCTTAGATAACAAGATGGCGTGAAGTTTATGCGGGACCTAGCCCGCCATTGCATATCGAAGCAATCATATGGCCTCCGGAGAGACGCTAGAACAGGCCAAAGCATGCCCCATCGGAGATCCTCTGACGTGGCGGACGCGGTTTGGTTGATCCATGATGAGAGCATATAGCCGGGCATCCGTCTCGCAATCAATAATGGCTTTTACAAAGCCCTCCGCGTCGTCTGGCCCCTCTGTTGCTGCGGACCGAGCTAGGAAGGCCTGCCCACAGCTCGCAGGAAAGGCGTCACAGGATGGCAAGATCAGACGTTTGTCAAAGCGTCTTCACCGGTTACCCCACCGCGGTCAGGTTTTCGTATGGCACAACATGCTTGCGGGCTTCGTCGTCAGTCAATGCGGTGGCGAGATTCTGCAGCATGCTTCCGTCAATCACCCACCCCAAGTCTGCCTCACGCTCCAAGAGGAAAACGGCATCTTTACCGAGCCAATACCCCTTCGCCGATAGATTGTGTCTCACCTCTCAATGTTCTCTGTCTGACATCAGGCATCAAGCGTGGTAAGTCGAGGGTGTCGGTGAGGAAATCGTTGCCGTGTTCTGCAGGAGGCAGTGCGTTGTTGATGCTCTCACACCAAGAGCGGCCTCGCGTGGAGCACAGCTGGCCACGCCAGGCATGAATAGGTAAACAATGAAAAAGCGACCTCTGCTGCGGCCGGCCAAAAGCAACCGCGCATCCTGCAAATATAGCTTTGACCAATTGAGCCATTGCTGGTTTTGCCTCACTCCCTCTCCTTCCACTCCTCTGTGATTCCCCGCTACGTAAACATCAACATAGGCCGCAAATGCGGTCTTTTGGCCACCGTCCGGCGGCCCAGCGCGTCTCGTCGCCATGGCAAGACGTTGAAATTTACTACCTGCAGCTCCGCGCAAAAAACCATTCACGTGAGATTCGCGCGATGCTGGGTAAGGCGGGCGCACATGGGGGTTGCGAGCAGAAGGTAGCAGGTCGCACGTAATTTTGATCCCTTGACGAGCTCAAGCTGTGCGTTTTGTGGGCCCGATTTGCGGTCTCGGTGGGCTGGGCTCGGCCGGGGCTCTGGATTGGTGGGCTGCGTTGCAGGTGCAGATGCAAGTGGGTCGGAGGGCGGAGGGGCCTGGCCAAGTCGAAGGTTGCATGTCCCCGCGCGAGGACGGAGGTGGTTGGCTGATTGGGATGAGGGACGTTTGTGAGCCGAGAGGAGAGGGCTGGGGATGGAGAAAGCTCTGCCTTGCACTCTCCTCCTACATCGGATAGAAGCCACCACCCTCGGTGGAGCATCAAGCAAGTGGGTATATAGAGTGGAAATTGGGGAACATGAAAGCGGGGAACGAAGCGGGTTTCGCTCAATGAGGCGGGAGTGGCGGGAGAAAAGGCAGGCCTCAGGCTGCGAAATTTTGCACTGCTCGGCCCCTCGTCTCTGAGCTTGCGAAGCTCGGCATGGCATTTGGGACTGCTGCTGCAGAGTTTGGGCTAGCTGTCTCTAGGAAGGCTCTGTCATGCATCCAACTCTAGCCGCATATGCAGGGTGAGGGATCAGGGGACGACGTGGCGATTGGTTGAGGTTGCGAAACTTGTTTGGCGGAGCGTTATGCGAGGCTCGTCATTTGGAAGGCTGCGATGGGGAGTGTCGGTGGGTGGTCATGTACGCGCTAGCGTTTTGCGCGTTTGTGTAGGGAGTGGCTTTGGGGCAGTTGTTGAGGGCGGTGCTCGTGGGAGGTGTGTGCATGGGTGTCACGTTGGATGGTGGTACGGCAGCTGGGAAGCAGGTGGCTGGGAAACTTTGATATTGATACGAGGGGTACGGAGCCAGCAGGAAGGCTCACAACTGACGCACGTGAAGGTCAGCGTTGGCAACAGGGCCTCTTACTCAGTGGCCAAAATGTTCGGCGGACTCGACGACCGCTACTGCGCTCAATGACGCAAAGGGCGGCGCTTTTCAACTATGGCGTCAAGGTATTCCCCTTCAACGTGCTGATGCAGGGTTCCGGATACGGTTGGAACTGCTCGTGAGGGTCTAATCCGAGGTGCCCAGCTGTCAACGTCCTTGTCATCCGCTGCTGCCCGAAGCCCGGCAGTCTGGAATTCATATTAAACACGGTATAGCCTCACATTGAATTCGCACCTCGGTTGTGTGCGGCTATAGTGAATAGTTGACTAAGGCGCCAAGCCCCATGGTGGAAGCGTTGAAGCGAACAACGTATCCGCCAGGTAAACTTTCGCCGCCTCCGAATGCGCTGTAGACGGGATAGAGGTCACAAGGTTCAACACGCAGGGACGTTTTCCGCGGCTACCGCTGACGAGCAGATGAGCGGTGACGGACGATGAGCAATAGGACCGATATGGTACGCGCGCAGGAAGCATGGGTATTAGCGCAGATGCGCAGTCATCGCGGGGTATGGGAGATATTGAAACGGAAGGACCAGTATCAAGAGCCTATCCGAAGAAATTGGAGCTATTGGTACAGAGTCCAAACCAACGGGCCGCACGGAGTATCCAGACGCGGCGTTGATACGCACACGACAATGGTCGCTTGGGAAGACGAATGTCAGCACGCATGCAAGTTTCCGATGGAATTGGACCTATGCAAGGCATGGTGCTGTAGGGCGTTCAAGCGTTGACGTTGGATTGTGGCGTGGATCCATTACCTAGGTAGCCTAGTGGAGACTCAAGCGAAGCGAGCGCGGGCTATACCTTTGTCCGATTCCGGAATCCTTCCGATCGAAGGACACTTTGCTCTGCACCAGTAGTGCACGGAGGGTGAATGCTGCGCTTGACCGACTGTTAGGAATGGCATTGGACGAGTTGCATGTCGAGTGGAAACGCGCCGTCTATGGCACTCAAGGGGGCTAGGGGGAAGTATAGAAGGTTTCCTGGGAGCGGCGAGGTGGCAGAGGTCTTTTGTGGAGTATGCAGCAATGTGGGAAAAAACTATTCGAGGAAAGATCCAGACTCTGGAGGCTAAGCGCTCACAAATTTAGCCATACCCGATCATGAGAGGTCCGTCGAAGTATCGTCATTACCTCGATACTGGGAATCTAAGGCCCGAATAGTATGTGCGTTGGAATGCACCATGGCTCACATTCCAAGAATCCGGAAACCTAGTATCGGTGAATATACACATTTTCAGATACCGTCTTGGGCCAGAACACTTGCTGAGTGAAGGGCTAGATTAGGATCTCCCATGTCGTCGTTAAGCGCGCATGGGAGAACGCGTACGGACACGGATGAAAATCCAATATCCGGATCAGCTGGACAGGAGCAAAGGAGGGTAAAGAGGGTATGTTGGCGGTAGTCCGATCATACATCGAGCACAAGGCTTTGAGAATGGATTTCCACGGCCCATGGAGATCACCTCGCGCCTACCGCCTTCTACTGCGGCCAAATCCGACGGCTTCCCCTGCACATGGCCATTCGTCGGTCTAGGCTCGCGCGAGAGCCGCATCTGAGCTGAGGCCTTCGCAGGGACTACCGCTCACATGACCTTGGTGAATAAGCGCCCTTCCGGGGCGGGGCTCGCCTTGTGGAAGAACTTTCCCGCTGGGGTGTGTATATCCTGCTTGATATTGCTGGTCGTGGACGTTATCCGGCTGTTTATTACTCGAAACACGACCACACTTGATGTAAATAGCCACGTGCGACTTACCAGTGACAGCTCCAAGGTTACTTTGCCGCTTACCGCTTCGCGCCAGTTCCCCAAAAGCGAAAGAGGAGCACTTCAGAGGGTTATCCATATCCACGCGCCTCCCGGAAAAGCCACTGAAGGTGTTTGGGCCCATGATGTCCTCTGTGGTCCTGACAAACACTCGCTTCGGTACATATGGCCACGAGAGACTGAGCCAGAAAAGAGAGAACCCTTCGAGCGCGTGTTATGCGCGCGCTCAAGCCAAACGACTCAGAGACACCCTTGTACTCTCAATCCTTTGACGCGGGGTGAGCTGTTCCGGCCCGCAAAATGTGTTGGTTATAGAGAAGGTGAGTGTTCAGCAATGATGTCGCAGGACAGGATGGCGTGCGGAACGGTGGATTTCCTGGTGTGGCTTCAGACGGGAAACGGAAGTGGCGGTGCGTTTAGTAATCTTCCACTAGCCACATCGTCTGCGCACGTCGCGACTTGATCTCGTCTTCACTTTTCTGTGCTGGATACAACAGCGGAATACGGACACGGAGTCTGCCACATTTGTATTCCGGCTGGGATTTGCGCGCATTTTTATACGCACTAATGTCATCTTTATTGTCCACTTCCTCTGTAGTACCGCGTCGTAAGAGCCGTAATCCCGAGACACTGTCGACCTGTCCCTCGACTCGCGATTGCTGACATGAACGCTGATTGAACGATGTTGTCAATTCTAGATAAAATAAGATAATTCTATGAAACTCCTTCCACGCGATCTCCGCCACGCTAGCTTCGCCGGACTCTCACGGCCCCCTTTCCGGGTGTCCAAGCATACGAACCCCAACAATCCCATTCCAAGCTCAGTATTCAATGCGCCTTTTCCGGCACCGCTATTCTCTATTCATGCTGTCGACGAGCATGTCTTCTCCCTTCTTCAATACCTCATCTCTCCCTGACGCCACTTTCTAGCCGGCGCTAATGTATATTTCGGAACGAACATCCTTCTGCTACTTTTAACCAGGAATCCGGTTCGGACGCTATCGTCGAGCAGTCCTTCCGGGCTCCTTCAGGAGCCGTCATTTACCCGTACAAGCCATCCTGATCTAGTCTCCGTTCATCTCATTCATTTGCCCCCGCCATCCGTGGAGGAAGCTATCGGCCCCTTCGGCGTGATCGAGTCTCGGATAGCGGAATGAGCATTCTAACTTAACGTCCGTATATGATCGAGTATGAGCACGAATTTCCAGGGTGCTGACCGCATGTGTGCACCAACTTGATGCTTCAGAATTGGAAGTCCTCGCAGTGCTGCCTCGTATGTCGAGGTGGAAACGGCGATGTATAGACCTGTACGTACATGTGCCCTTGAGGACTACTGCCTGCGCCATGTCGCCGTACGCTTTTGAATTCGATGAACGACCCGCTCTTTCTGGACTCGACTTCACATCTAGCTGGCGCGAATCGTATTGCTCTGATACTCGTCTCAGAGCTCGAACAGGCGATTTCGGGGCTGTGGTCCAACCTTTTCGCTGCGTCGCCGGATGGCCTTTCTGAATAATTAGCATTGGTTTGGAAGTCTGGAAGCTTCAATACGCTGCCTACCTTAATATAGTGAAGACTATTTATCGGCAAGGCTGATGACGGATGGTGCACGGAAAGCGAATTTGAACGCTGCTATAGCCTCCGCAGGTGTGATCGAGATTGGGCAGTCACATTCCTGGGTCGGCTTTGCACCTCCGGTGGAATCGCGTCTCTTCCTCGTTTTCTGCTTCAGCTTCGGCTTCGGACGCGGACTCGTCATGCGCTGCTCGCTGTTTCTCTTCTCGATCTTTCTCTTTTTTCTTGGATCCCCTTCGTTTTCGCTGAAACTACCCCACGGCGAAACTTCTCCTGCAGCGGAAAGAGCGAATTTTATTTCTTCTTTGTCGTGCCTACTCGTCTTTTCCGGATCTTCCATCCACTGCTGGATGCGTTTCCGGTTGAAGTTCTTGATCATCAATTCCGGATGTTCTCTGTGTGGCCCCTCTCCCTTGACTGAAAAGAAGTCTGATTCCTGGTCCGGCGAATTCGGGTCCAGGACGCCTGCCTTCTTGGCGGTGGCCTGCGCCTTTTTCAGGGCGATCTCGGCTCCTCTAAGTTGTCTATAAGCCAGGTCTCCTCTCTGGACGTGGTACGGCCCGAAGAAGTTTTCGAGCTCCGATTCCGATCCATCAGGATTTACTGCGCGGAATCGGTCGTACTGTTGCTTGTACGTCTCATAATGATTGGCGTACTCGTCTTTCGCCTTGCGTACCTCTTCTTCGCGTTGCAAGAGGGCCTGGAACGCCTCGTCGGCGCCATCGCCAGCGTTGTCCTGCATAGACGGGCAATTGCTGTGTTCGGAAGGATCGGTCGCATTTTGCCCATTGAAGGTATTGTGCTCTTCGACTGTCAGGGATGTAGGATCCACGTTTTGGGATGCGGTCTCCGGGTTCGGGTCCGGCTTGATGAGCTGCGAGGGTACCAGGGGGTTCTCGATTTCGGATTTTGCTTCAGCCTGGCTATCTGGCTCGTACTTAATGTTTCGAGGAGGGGTGCTCCCGGCTTTATCGTCTTGCGCTGGATCCACGCAGCTGTGTCTTCCTGGAGAATTCAGTAGCTGTTGCGAGCCTTTGTTCCTGCCGTCAGGTGCGGCTGCATCGATACTGGATCGACAAGGAGCTATATCCGTTTGTTGAACTTCAGAGGAGTTCGGTGAGTCCGGATGAATCTCATGCACCATAGCTACTGGCTCATCAAGCGGTAGGCCTCCGGCGGCGCAAGCGCTTCCGATGATCAGTTGGATATCGTCTAGCGCGTCCGTCCATCGCTGCTCTGCCTCATGCACCTTTGTAGTGAACCGGAGTTTTTCGGCCTTGACTGCTTCCCACATTTCCTCCGCCTTCTCCTGATCCTCTCGGTACTGTTTCCTCAGCTGACGCTGCTCCGGAGTGGGTCCTTCTAGCTTTTCCCCTATTGCATCTTCGAGCTCTCGCAAGCGAAGCTTAATGCCCGCAACCTTGGCTTTCGGCCCCGTCTCCGCGACGTTCAACTCTACCTCCCGAGCTCCCCACTCCTGTTTCAGCTTCTCGAGTTTCTCTCGCAGGATCCAGGCTTCCCTATTCTTTGCGTAGAAGTTCACCGTGCATTCCAAGGCTAGTCTATTCTCCTCGTCCTTCTCGAATGGCACTGATACTAGTCGAGTCTGCTGGTCGTAGTACTGGGACATTTTCTCGCGTGGGCTTGGTGATCGAAGTTGAAGACTTGACGACGGAACGAAGGCAGAGCTGAAGGCGTCCGACATTAGGTGATCTTCGGCAAAGACGCCTTGCGATGAGCTAGAGCGATATAGCCAAGGCAGGCACGGACTCTCGCAAATGAGTGTGTACCTTCAGGATAGCTACGCTCAGTTATCTTAACCGCTTCAACAGCTGCAGATCCCTCAATTGCGCAAATTCGATAAGAGTTACGGTAGGCCAACGAGCAATATCGCAATCGTCTAAGCTCGCGGTTGATGTTGGTACTCTTGTAGTTGGTTATGAGTCGGTAGTAGGAGCTATTTCGAGTTTTATCGTGAGGAAACGATTTTCGTGAGCTTTAAAATGTTTCACCTGTTACTTTTTATATTCTTCATAAAGAAATTTGTGCTCCATTTCCAAAGTTATATTCACCAACACTTCCGCCCGCACCTCTTTCCTTACTAGTCCACGGACCGCGGCACATTCTTCCGTTATCGTACGCCTCCAACGCCGACACCCTTTCCTCACCGTCTTCGACCACTCCCGGCTTATGAACTCCACTGGCGAAATGACAGAGAACGTGCGACACCTCAATCAAGAACGGCGAACTACGCCATCGAACCTCGGCAACGAAATGCAGGTTTGCCCCTCCTCTTGCGCCCGTGGTTCTCAAACCGCCTCTGCAGCTTCGCAAGAGCCTGGACCTCCTGGCGTCCAACGTAGCCATACGTCTGCTCCCGCGGCCGAACTACTAGAGCACCGCGGCGGATTGACTGGCGAAGCTCCTGTGGTCTCCTCTCCGGCTCATGCCTTCGCGAACAACTTCCAGGAGAACCAAGAGCAGGGTGCTGACCAATCTGGCTCGGGCATGTCTGGTCCTGCTTCAGGCGCATCTTCTCCCGGTAATGGTATTGACCAGGCTACACAAGTCACCGCGGATATGCTGGCCAAACCTCCAGGACAACAACGCTTTGCCACTCATAGTGCTCTGCCAAACGGAGATTTCAAGCTCGGGGGAATCATCAACTTCCCGATCTTCGAGATGGGCATGGACGCGGAGGCAAAGCATATAATGAGCGAGTTCGGAGAGATCAATGGCAAATGCCGGTATGGACTCATTCTCCACAAGTCCCCCAAGCACATGGCCGTACTTGTGTTTGGCACGAGCGGCGGAAAGGGACCGGATAACCAGCCGGAAGCCAAGAGGCGCAACTGTGTCGGTGTCACTCAAGAGGGTACCCCGTTCAGCCACCGATTGCCTAATAGTTGGGTGTTGAAAATTCCCAAGCATTCCAAGTACCAGTCCATTCCCGGGGTGTACTTCGACCTTACCTTCGTCGTCATGGTGCCGTACGACTCGCGCGTCGTGCAGTATGATGTTCTTGCCTTCGCCGACTTTCAATGGCTTCTAGACCTCTACTACGACAAGATGCTAGATGCTGCAGGCTCTAACATGGGAATGACCATCTATCGTAGCCCTCTTGGGCGTAACTTAGAGAAGGCGCAAGCACAAATCGAGGAGCAGCAGCCACGCGAGCAGCAACAATCTCGGAGGGTTAACGAGTCAAGAAACCATCAGGTATGTTACTTCCTCTTGCGTATTTCCTCACTCCCTAGCTTAATTGACTTGCGAAATTCGATGCTGCTCATTTGCCTCCTGCACTAGCTAACCGTTGCATAGGCGCCTCGTACGCCTTTCGCAGCGCGTGATGAGAATAACTACCTTAAACGACCAGCAATTACAGCAGCACGTCTGCATCCCAGCACCAATCCAGCAAGCAACAGCGGTCTTCCCGGAACTCCTATGCTCACCGTCGAAGGGAATATCCAAACCGCACTAACTACTATGAACCCTCCCGCGGTGTCGACCACTACACGCCTCCCACGCAGGATTGCAACCGCTCCCGCCATGACTCACATCCCCACCATCGGCACTCCGACGCTGACTACTATAGCCACCAAGGCTCTAACCGCACTGGCCAAGATAGTGGTTTCGTCTTCTCGGACGCGAATTCCACTCCGCTTGGACGGTCGCGCATGCGATAGCAACTCTCCCTCGAGGGTCCCTAATCAATAGAGCAATTTCCCCAGTCATTTCAGCTGCTAGTTTGTGCGAGTTTGCTGGCCTCTTCCGCAGAGTGCTCACTACCGCCTGTTTGCTCCATCGTCCGTGGTAGTAGTGGCTGCTCGCTTTCTGTGCTTCCATGTGGCTGTGGTCAAACCAACGTTATACTCCTAGCGGAGTGTCACTCGAGCCGTTTTGCTATGGCGCAAGGGTGTAAAGATCTCAAGGCTGTCTTATGAGGCATTGTATACGGATTGTACCTGGTTACAACTTCTCCAACTCGGTGCGAGTTGGTTTGGCACCGGAGCAACCACAGTAGCTGCATTATTTCGCTACTCCATGGATTCCGTAGCCATCATAACTCACCAATCTCACATTCTTCCCATCCGGTTGCAATTGTCTGTTTTCTCACAGCTTTCCCCTATTGCTCCAGTCGAAGCCCGGCTCACGGTCCTTTTCGACTTTCTACGTTTGGTCTAGCTCCGACCCTCCGGCATCTGCAACAAAACTAAATGTATATGTCTAAGATGCCTTCCTTGGCACTGGCTAACTTCAGTGAGCCGCCAAGTTGTCGGCAATCCTCCTGCTTCTACAAGAAGAGGGGACCGCATCTTGCCAGATCTCTTCCGCCGCCCATTTCGTCAGCCCGGCGGGCATTATGAATTCCGGTCTAACACTGCACCTAGTTCTCTATTTATCCCTTTCAGACCGTGGGGTGCTCTTCCTTCCTCACATGATTCCCCAATCAGTATCCTTGCACCCAGTCCCCTATACCCCTATTCCGAAGCATAAGCACCCTAGCAATGAAATATCTTATAGCAGAAATCCCGGCATCCTTGTGCCCCGAGAGCCTTATACCAATACAGGAGCATGAAAGCAGCCCGGCTCTTCACTTCGTGGTTGCGATCTTGCGTGCTAACACACCAGGACCATTCGAACTCTGGGAAAATTTACACACTACCTACGTTCCTCGCCTATGGAGTAGCAGACTTGAGATGCAGTCAAGCCTCCTAATCTGGCGAGCTCGGTACTTACGCAACCATCTAAGCCGTGCTTTGTAGACGTATCAGTAGTTCCGTTACCCCTTTGCATGATACTGCGATATCAAGGCAAGTTCAAGACGCGTTCATTCGCAGCTGTTGAACTTTTGTCTCGCGTTCTTTGTCGCACGCACTATATAATTTTTTTTTGGCGGCATTTAGACACGTTTTATACTCCTACATTTGAGTCGACCTCCACGGAGAGTTCTACAGCACAGAGGGCGAAGATGATGGATCTGGGGCTAGAAGGGGCCAGTCTTAGCGCAGTCCCTCATGCTTGACGTACACATTGTACGCGTGCCGCCAGTGAATAAGGTCACACAGGCTTGCGCTGCGGATAAATCGTTCACCGCATTGCGATAAGGTCGGTACGCGGAAGCACGTGAGTCTCAATTCACTGATGGAGCGCCGTGCCCCGCATAACTGCTGTTGACCCTTCCATCATCTGTCTCTTCCTCACCACACTGGCTCATCTGCACGCATACTACGCAACCTCAACCACGCTTACGAACTCAGCTTACAAAGTGCAAGCATACCACACCTATCGAACACCAATCTCCCGATATCGTCCAAAAGCTACAATGTCCACCACAGAGAACACTTGGACCAGCTCGCCCGCCGAAGTCGCCGATTCCGCAATGGCCGCGACACCCCGTCCCACCACGCGCGCACAACCCTTCCAGACTCCCGTCTCCGCCGGCGCCATCACTACCTCCTCCAGCTCGCCGGAGTCGTTATCAAGCTCAACTCCCCAAGCTGCGACCGCCACCAACACCCCCGAAACCGACCTCTCGTTCTCCCCAAATGAGCACAGCTCCACCCCTGACGCGGCGGAGTCCAACAACACCGGGGGATCACAGGAAACGCCAGAGCGCACGCTGGAGGTCTCCAACACGAAGAAGCGCAAGCTCGAGGATCTAGAAGAGCAGTACCGCGACGTTTCCGCGCAACGCGCGAAGATGGAAGAGGAGCTGCATAAGATGAGGGAGAAACTGCACGCTGCGGCGAAGGCTAAGGGGGAGTGGGTTCCGGATCCGAACTTTGTGCGTCCGCTCGTCAAGGTTGTGCGCGGAGTGAACGCTACCGATCCCGACGTCTGCGCTGCTACTTCTCCCGCCCCCGCTAAGGATGATGAACCACCTCCGTCTCGCACCGTGGTGTACCAGAGCACCGGCGTGCAGACTCTCCCTCCAGGAGACGAGGATGCTTTCGAGAAGTGCTATGGTCGTTTACCTGATGACGGTGAGGCCGGTCTTGGTGCGAAGGGTCGATATCTACCCGGCAAGGTAGACCCGCATGAACTTTGCTACGGCGAGGCCTTCATCGTTCCTCAATACGAGGCTTCAGAGGAGAAAGCTTCAAAAGACGAAGCCTCGAAGAGCTACACGTCGTCCCTCTTCCAGACAATGGAGTTCAAGGACAGGACTGGACCCATCAGGAAAGCCAAGGCTAAGGCGACGTTGATCGCAAAGAAGTACCAGAGTGTGGCCAAGGAGGAGGGTTACCGGATCTTCGCGGAGACGGACAACAGGATGGTGGTGCATTCCGAGCAATTTCCTATCAAGGTGAAGCTGGACAAGAACGGCATGGCAAAGGGGTATGTGGGCGATGTGCCACGCTTGCCGAATGTTGTGGGCGAGAAACTCGGCGTCAAGCGCGCTCTGCCTGCCGGACAACCTGGCGCATCGAAGGTCGTTGCTGCCTCCACCGTTGACCCTCCATTCCCGATCGGCCACCGGAAGCCAATCCCAGTGATCGATCTATCTCCGGAGGAGAACCGCATCGTCAACTCCGCAGAATACGGCATTCCCACGGCGAGGTGCAACACAGAGAAGGGTACGTACGTCAACTCGAAAGGGTATGAGGTTAAGTACACTTTCAACGAGTATCGCAGTTCGGCCCAAGCCGATGCTTCAGCTGGTCGTCCGGCAGGGCAGAACGTACAGCCAGCTTCAAAAGACGCCGTTGACGCCGGCCCCGACACCGACGGAAAGACATCCACGGCTCTGCCATCGAACACCCTTAAGCGCAAAGCCACCGACCAGGAGACGGAAGAAGACGCGGAGACTCAGCGGGACGTGAAGCGCGCCCGTTTTGAGCATGGAGAGACCTGTTCCAGCAAGAAGCTTGAGACTCCAGCGGTGACCGCGGCTGCAACCGCCACGCCATCAAAGACCACAGAAGTCTCGACCAAGCCCGTTTCAATGAACAACCAAGCAAGCACCCCAGCACTCACCGAGCCAACGCTCTCCGTCAAGCAGCCTGTGGGCGGTGGGTTCACCCGTGACAAGCCTCGCTTCCCGAAGAAGCCTGCCCCGAAGCAAGTGAAGGCCGACTCACCTCCAGTGCAGAATGTCATGCAGTACTCCACGCCAACTGCAGCGCAGACAAAACCAGTCCTGGACAAGACGCCTCCGCGGTCCAACCCTCTTGCCGGCCCCGAAATACGGCCCAATCCCCATTCAAATGCTTCGGCGATGACCACGGGCCCACGGAATACCTGCAAGCGCACCCGTGCCGACGTTGAGGAGGAGCGTAACAATATGAACGATCATGAGCAGCAATACCCACAAGCAGACGATTTCGCGATCCGGGGTGCGGCGACTGCAAATGCTGACCGAAAGATCCTCAAGCCCCGTGGTCAGCGACGAGCTGAGTCCCACGAAACTGCCAAGGAGTGGGTAAACGACAAGCCCATGTTCACGTGGAACCGCTCAGAGGATAGGAAAACGGAGCGTGAGGAGAATTTCAGGAAGAAGCAGCGCATGAAGTAGCAGGCGCAGCAAGGGCCAGGCAGGCCTCGCAATGGTATAAGGAGGCCGACCTGGTACTTTGGGATGTTTCACTCCCGGTGTTTTACCATTTTGCTGTGCCGTTTCAAGGCACACGACCAAAACGGAAAAAAGGAAAAAAAAAAGACGAAAAGGACAAATTTTCGAAAACAACACGGAAAGAACGAAAACCCATAACACCAACATATCGCGACTGCCAAGGAAGCCCACAAGGAGCGCGACCCCGGCTCGACTTATGCTGCCCACAGCCCATCGTCAAGGCCACAACGAAATTTACAAAACCATCGAAAGAAAAAAAAATAGAAACGACAAAAAACACTATAAAGAATTTGAAAACCCTCAAAAGAAAGAAAAGAAAAGTGCAGCTCAAACACCACAACAACAGGAAGAAAAGGGCAACGGATTTCGAGCGGCCATTTGCTCTCCCAAGCTAGACAGACGGCAACATTGAACAGGAGTGAGTGTAGGTTTCCATCGTAAGAGGAGGATCAATCAGGCTTTGGCAAGTGTCGAAGCGATGTCGAGCAGGCAGATTTTTGCGCCGAAGATGCGCAATGGGTTCATGGCCTCGGGGATGTTATGTCTCTGGGTGCTGTGGATGATGGGTATTGGGGAAAGATGGAACTTTGTGATGCGAAAGTGTAGTGGTAGTGAGAGACATGAACTATGATATTGGGCGAGGGAAATGGAATTGAGAAGAACTTTCCGATTCCAAGATGGAGCCATGATAGACCTACATATATTATACAATTGTTCGGATGGACGCCAAACCGCGATAATTTGTACATGTGCCGTGTGAGGGCAATGATCTAACTCATACAGTTGCACTATTACAACTTCTTCTGCTCAGCGTTCGCAGACTCGATTCGCGTTCGTAGAGGTGGCGTAGTGGGACTCCGCGGGGCGTGGGTTTTGAGGATCTGGCGCATGATGGCCCGGCGAGGCATCGATATCCTGCTGTAGAGAACCACGGCACCGGTGAGAAGCGCAAGAGCTCCAGCTTGATGTGCGGCAGCCAGCCAAGTGGGAACCATGTAGATCAGAGTGCTGATACCGAGCGCGGCTTGCATCCAGACCAGATGGACCATGCCCATGACACCCTTCTTAGCGTCTCGGGGGATCTTGTTGCGGACAGCACCAGAGAAGCGGGTGTAGGCAAAGAAGGCCAAGACAGCGGTGAATGTGGTGGTAGCGAGGATACGGTGGTCAAGCTGCACTAGCGAAGGGTTCTCGAGCATGTTACGCCACCACAAATCGGACTGGTCTGGCACGTGGCTGTAGAAGGGATCGAACAGCTCCTTCTTGGGCGGGGTAAGGCCAATCCCCATGTACGGGAATTCGTTGTAGATGAGGCCGGCATCCAGGCCTGCGACCAGGGCTCCGGACATGGCAGTGGTGAAAACAAGGACGGCAAGAGCGGCGACGGAGCCTCGGAAGATACGCAGAGCAGGATGTTTGAGGGCGCTGATCTTTTCAGCGGCTTTGGCAGGATCAGCAAGCATGCGGTGCTCCTTGAGGATACCAAGGCCCGTGAGTAGCATGGAGCAGTAGACGGCAAACGCAGCCCCGAGATGGGCAGTCAAGCGGTATTGGCTGACGCGAGGATGGCTCCCGGGCGCGAAGAGGTCGTCCTTCAAGCCGCTTGCAACCATCCACCAGCCGATGAAGCCCTGGAATCCGATCATGCCGCATATGCCAGTAAGTTTCCATGCCATTGAGGGGGTCACTCTGCGCCGGGCGATGAAGTAGACGGTCGGGAGGAGGAAGGTGACGCCAATCACTCTGCCCCACAGGCGGTGTGTCCACTCCATCCAGTAGATCTGCTTGAACTCGGGAAGCGTCATGCTCGAGTTGAGCTGGGCGAACTCCGGGGAGGCTTTGTATTTGGTGAACTCGCGCTCCCACTCTTCCTGGTTCATGGGCGGGAGCGAGCCGGTGACGGGGCGCCACTCGGTGATGCTCAGGCTGAAAGTGTGAGCAATTGACTTAGTTTTGAGTCTGTAGTGGCATACCCAGACTCTGTTAGTCTTGTTAAGCCTCCGAATATCACAATGCCAAAGACGCTGGCTGCGCTCCCTAGAAGCCAGTACGCGATTCCTTTGGAGCTTGTGTTTGGCCAGCTGCTGGACTTGCCTCCGCTCTTCGCAGCGGCCTCCGCTAGCATCGAGCCTTCCACATTTGTCGCCGAGGCAGTCGCGCTACTCCGCAGAGGCTGGGTCGATTTCCATCTCACCGATTGCAGGACGGAGGGACGGGGGGCGGACGATCGAGCAGGACTGGCGGCGCGGATGGGCGAATTGAGGCACGGCCGGCACACGAAAAGACGGCGGGTGAGTCGCGGCGCAGCGGTCCGCAGCTGTGGGAATGCCTGGAAGATGGAGGCCATCACGGCGCGCGATGGTTGAGGAGTTTGAGGAGTTTGAGAGGAGCTGCCGGGCGACTTTTCGGTGGAACGAGGCGCGGCTACTGGCGCGAGGCTTGGCCGAAGACGGCAGGTTCGAGCGGTGGCAGCCGACAAGCGCGGAAGGAGCGACGGACCCCGGACCCCAAACACGCCGACGGACTCCCGCACGTATCACACGGCCGTCATCTGCGAAGATCAGCCCTCAGCAGGGCCACGCAATGACGCCCGCCCGCCGCACTCCTCGTTGGCGTGTTTGCCTTGCTCTCTTTCCCTGATACCCTTCTTTTTCTGCTTTTCGCCGTCCTTTGTCGCGTCCTGTGAGAGATCAACTCTGGTACCCCGCCGCTAGCTCAACGCCGACACGCATCACACGGAGAACCTCATGCTGCCCCGTTTTCGCTGCAGACGATGAGCCCGCCGCACCGCGCCGCCGCCGACGAGCACGAGGACAGCAATCGCCGTCATGCGTCGTCTTCGCACGCTGGCGAGTCTGGTCACAACGCGGCGTGGACCCTGAATGCGGATGAGGCTGCAGCCGGCGTGGGCTCCAGCAGTGCTGCCCACGTCAGTCTGTTCTCCCCAGGCGTGCCCGCCGTGCTGCCTGAAGACTCGAGCGACCGCATAGCAGACGCCTCCCCCGTCCGTGTGGGCAGCTCACCCAGTTCCAACTCCTCACGCCCGCTAGCCACCCTCGCCAGCGTCGCCAGCCTGAAGCGCAACGCGAGAATGAAGGTCTCGGACGAGCAGCCCATCGTGCAGTTCAGCCCTCAAATACCGAGCGCCCAGAAGGATGCCGACGACCCTACGACTCCGCTGGACAGCAAGAGAAGCAGCCGAGGCCGCGAATACACCACTCTCACAACCCTCAGTCGTTTGTTCGCCGGCGATGCCACCATGCCCAACTCTCGCACGCCGTCATACAACCATGCGAGCGGGCCGCTCTACGTACGAGGTACTCAAGACGAATGCCCGCAGCTTAGCGTACCCTTGTGCTGACCGACCCCAGCTTCGAACGAGTCCATATCCCTGCCCGACCACCTGTACACCCGCGGTCTGCTCGAAGGGCGGCATTCGGACATCACCGTCACTGCCTTCAGCCAGAGGTACCACCTGCACCGCTTGATCCTCGATCGCGCCCCGTTCTTCACCAGCGCCCTGTCAGAGCCGTGGATTGAGAGCCAGTCGAAGGAGGTGAATCTATACCCGGAGGATATCGACAGCAGCATAACGCAAGCCGCATTCGAGCTGGCCATCAAGAAGCTGTATGGCGTCGACATATCGAACGAGTGCGATGCTGAGGCAATCGGTCTGTTTGCCACGGGCTGCTGGCTGGAGATGCAGGACTTGATCGATGGAAGTATCGAGTGTATCCTACGACAAATGACGCCCGACTTGTTGGCGCCCTTGATTCGCCTTGTCACATCCAACTACTATGGCCGCTCTGGGGACCGCATACTGGAGTCTGCCAAGGCGATGCTCAGTCGCAACGGCTGGGAAATGCCCTTGAAGTACTGGGACGGCATGCCGGGCGACGTTATCCGCGAGCTCGTTGCCTCAGATGGCTTCTACGTGCTCAGTGAGTGGGACCGATGGGTGCTCTCTAAGCGCATCCTGGACCGTCGCCTTAGACAAGCCGCTGTTGACGCTGGCCTGATGAAGCGCGGACAGAAGCCCGTGCCAAAGGCGCCGGACTCCCTCTCTCTGATGGCCGTTCGCTTCGATGGCGTATATCGCCAGAATGCTGCGACCGTACCCCAAGCCCCTTCAGATTCTCACAGCGAGTGGCTGGCTCTGTACACGAATCCTGATATTGAGCGTATACTAGTTCTGCTTGATGAGGGCATCCATTACATTCATATGGAGTACGAACAGCTGGAGTTTATCAGGAAGGCGCGCGATGTGTTTGGTCTCCCAGTCATGCCCGAAAAGGTCATCTCCAATGCCCTATGGCAGCAATTGGCTCTTCGCCAAAAAGTGCTAAATGCGGCCGACTCTGCTCAAGAGTTAGGGCTGTGCAAGCAACCTCCGGAACCGGCTACCACGATTGCAGGTGCGAATAGTGAAGGGCAGACCCTATCAAAGGGCAAACAGAAAGCCATCATCTACACGCCCGAAGAGGAGGATCTGGACATGGAGTCGGGTAGCTGGGATGGTAATGGGAGGCCTCGCAAGTTCTGGATTCCCAGCTCAGACTGTAACATCGTGCTCGGGAACGGCGCAGACCCGGTCGTTACGACTTCCACTTCCTTTCAACGACATGCGACTCGCCTTTCCGCGACAATGCAGCCTGAAGATGCCCAGTGGGCTACCGATTTTGCCTCATCTCCAGGGACCTTTGCAAATCCGAATGCTCGCATAGATCCAGTCCGACCTATTTCCGCGGGAGGAAGCAACGCAGGGCAGCCGAAACCTATCGCCTACACCGAATTCCCCCCGTTTCGCTTCTCGGCCGAGTTCCCCAATCCACGGTTCCTGAAAGAGAAGAAGAGAGTATATTCACGCACAGTGTCCTATGCCGGTTCACTCTGGAACATCTACATCCAGAAAGTACGCTCAGCAAAAAATGTCCAGCTCGGTGTCTATCTGCATCGCGCCAAGGAGCGCGAGGCCGAAGACACCATGCATGGCAACAGTCTCAGTCAGCAGAATGCTGGTTCGGTGGACGAGCGGATTGGTCAGCTAGAACGGGAGATGCTCCTCCGCAGCGAACGACGAGAACGTCGGCGCAGCATCCGTGCTCCTGTGAATGATCAAAACAATGAAGACGATACTAGCGGTAGTGGTGGTGACCCGGATGCCACACTCGTCTCGACTGGCTCCCGGAATCCTCTCTTCTCGAGTAGTTCGTTAAGCGCTCGCCGGAGTGGTACTATCCCCCGGCTTCCCTCTATTCGTGGTAGCGCCCAGTTTCAGTTCCAGTCCCTCGCCGCCTCTCCACCTACAGACGGTGAAGGGGCTGCCGACTCACCGTTCTTCCCATCGACTGTCGATGTTACCTCGGAGCGCTCCGATGAGTCCGATGACGACGACGAGCCCGAAAGCGCATATCCGAACCCGTCCCTTACGGCAAAGCGCAAGACCCGGGCTTCAATGTCGACCCTTCCGCCCTATGTTGATGCGCGTCCGACCATCAAGACGTACTTCAAGATCTACAGCCCTTCGAAGGGCGGCAGAATGCTAAGCATATACGAGAGCGCTCCCGATCGGTTCAACTTCAGCCAGAGCTGGGGCTGGAAGAGCAGCACACTGATGTTGGATGAGGTCGCTCTTACTGGAGGGAGCGACGAGACTACAAGCGTTGAGGAGCAACTTCTGGGCAAGAAAGGAGACGGCAAGCTTCGATTTATGGTTGTTATCGGAAACTTGTGAGAGAGGTATGGATGCAGTCGTTATCTCGCGTGCTGGTGCCAGTACTGGCGTTTATGTTGGTTAACCAGGCGCCATTTGAGGGGAGTCATACTATGGGAGCTCTTACAGATATCCAGATTGCGCTCGGGTCGGTTCGTTATACCTACGTTTGGCGTATCGGTGAGCGCATATCAAGAGAGATTCGAGCACCTACGACATCTTTATGATAAATGATATCACGGCCTTTCCTGGGCTCAGTATATATGTACATCTGTACGAAATGGTCACAATTACACCTTCACCTTTGAGCCACGATCGGGAAGGGGGAAGCAGACGCACGGTTTCTGTCAATGCAGCGTGTACCAGTCACGTACTGAGCGACTATGTTTTAACAAAATAGGAAAGCCCGCCACACGGCACTTTGGAACCCCATGGAGACGTGGAGAAGGGCACCTAGCACGATCGGAGGGAACCCCGCCATCTCCGGACTAGACCCTGCGTCTGCATCCCCGCATCGCCTCAATCTCTAGACGTTGATGTCATCCCAAAAGGGCAATCCGGCGAGCCTTCTGGTTCTCAATGCTTCGTAGTTGAGACTGACGTCGGTGAGCCCATGTATTTATTTACATTTATGACCGCCTTCGCCGCTTTATACAATTTTCTACCCAACTATTGCTTTCTTGTTTCCAATATCTCAGCATCACTCTTGTTTTACAAAATGCCCGAAGGTAATGGTTCCACCGCATATGGGGAGGCCACCGTCAATGGCCTGCTTCAGAAGGAATCGAAGCTCTCAGCCCCGTCGCAGACGAGCAAGGAGGATATGCAGTTGGTGCTCCAGAGCTTCCGACTGCTAATTGCGGATCTTTGTGAGCAGTTTGGCATGGGTAAGTCTCGAAGCGCTTCGATCACACCGTATACTGATAGGTTTATAGGCCATCCGGGCTCCGCCATCGGCATGGCCGCCCTTGGTGTTGCTCTTTGGAAATACATTATGCGGTATGCACCGCATCAGCCTGACTGGTTTAATAGGGATCGGTTCCTCTTATCAAATGGTATCTCTTCCATTTCCCGGATTATCGAGGGAGCTTTGGCTAAGTATCCGTGCAGGTCATGCATGTCTCTTCCAATACGCAAACCTCTACCTATCTGGCTACGAGGCTATGACTTGGGAGCAATTGTTATCGTACCACTCCGAGCGGCCTGATAGTCTTTGCCCAGGTCACCCAGAAATCGAGCATGAAGGCATCGAGCTTACAACCGGACCTTTAGGCCAGGGCATCGCGAATGCGGTGGGTCTAGCTATGGCTACCAAGCATCTAGCTGCCACATTTAATCGCCCTGGGTACGACATCGTCAGTAACCAAACCTGGTGCATTGTCGGTGATGCATGTTTACAAGGTGCGCATTCCATCCCCCATATTATTTCTGATAGTCCTCCGACCAACGAGCCGCAGAGGGCGTCGGCTGCGAAGCCTTCAGTTACGCCGGCCATCTCAAACTCAACAGCCTCACCATAATCTACGATAACAACCAAATCACCTGCGACGGCAGCGTCGACCTCACAAACACCGAAGACGTAAACAAGAAGATGGAAGCCTGCGGCTGGAACGTGATAGACGTGCATGACGGCGTCAACGACGTCGAAGCCATCGTGGCCGCGCTCGAGAAAGGCCGAGACCCAAATCGCACGAAGCCCCTCTTCATCAACGTGCGCACCATCATCGGTGTGGGATCCGCCGTCGCTGGTCAAGCCGTCGCCCACGGCGTGCCGCTCGGTGCAAACAACGTCAAAGAGATGAAAAAAGCATACGGCTGGGATACCGATAGAAAGTTCCACATCCTGGACAAAGTCAGGACTTCTACGCTAGTCTCCCTAAGCGCGGAGACCACTACGTTCAGGAATGGAAGGACCTCCTCGCCGCCTACACAACAGCCCACCCAGACCTCGCCGAAACCTTCAAAGCCCGTATGGATGGCGCACTCCCGCCAGATTGGGAATCTATGATTCCTTCCTCCTTCCCCTCCGACCCTACACCGACTCGTAAATCGAACAATCTGGCGATGTCAAAACTCCTCGCCGAAGTCCCTAGTTTCATGGTCGGCACGGCGGATCTCACGCCCTCGGTGAACTTAACATGGCCGGGATATGAGATCTTCAACCCGCCGGATTTGCAACCAATCTCTGGAAAGAAGGGAAGTTATAAGGGACGATATGTGCATTTTGGGATCAGAGAGCACGTTATGGCTGCTATAGCGAATGGGCTTGCTGCCTACGCCCCTCAAACCATTATCCCCATTACTTCCTCCTTCTTCATGTTCTACCTGTACGCCGCGCCTGCTGTGCGTATGGGCGCCCTGCAGAAGCTCAAAGTAATACACGTAGCTACGCACGACTCCATCGGCGCAGGGGAAGACGGCCCCACACATCAGCCGGTCGAGCTCGCAGCGCTTTACCGCGCCATGCCGAACATACTCTACATCCGCCCCGGCGACAGCGAAGAAGCAGCCGGCGCCTGGCAAGCCGCCCTATCCCACTCCGCCGGACCCTCAATGATCAGCGTAAGCAGGCACGCCATCCCGCAGCTCATGGGCCTCACGAGCCGCTCCGGCGTTGCGCGCGGCGCATACATTCTCCAAGAAGCAAAAGACGCGGACGTGACACTCATCGGCGTCGGCGCCGAACTCAGCTTCGCCGTCGACGTTGCCGTAGCCCTCACCCAGCAATCCATCAAAGCAAGAGTCCTGTCCTTCCCAAGCCACGCACTCTTCCGACAGCAGCCGCTGGCCTACCAGCGCGAGGTGCTGAGAAGGAATGAGGGCATTCCCGCCGTAGTGCTAGAGCCGTATGTGAGTCTGGGTTGGGAGAGGTGGGCGGATGCGGGGGTTTGTATGAGCGGGTTTGGGCATTCGCTGCCGGGGAAGTATGTTTATGGGTATTTTGGGTATACGGTGGAGAGTATGGCGGAGCGGGTGGGGGGTTTTTTGAGGGAGTGGAAGAGTGGGATGGTGGGGAGGGGGGAGTTTGTGGAGCTTTAGGGGAGGGAGGGGTGGATGGATGGGTGGATGGTTCTAGGGCGCGTAGGGCTTGGGAGTGTATGTAGAGTAGAATTAGTTGTCTTGCTGCTACTGTAAGGCACGTGGTAAATATGCCTCCGCACTCCTGTTTACTCTGTTTATGTCCATGTTCGCATGTATCTTTCGACCAGCGTCTCCATATTCCTCGCGGAAAAGCGCATGCGCGCTTCCTAGCTTGCAATCCCGCTGCAAAAACAGAACCAAATTGTCAGAGCACTCTCTATCTCATGATTCTCGCTTTGACGCATAGACCTACCTACTACCCTACATATAAAAGTTCGCCGTCACAGATCGGCACAATACCCCCCGAATCCAGGCATTGTGCCTCTGATTGCCCGTTTCGCTTCATCGCTGACTCGTCTTTTCGGCAGGGTTCAGGTCCTGCCAGTCGGACGATTGCCAATGACCTCAACATCCCAGCCTTACTCTCCACCGGCTTGCCCAATCCAGTAAAGCCCGCGCATGACTAAGCATTCAAGTGGCCAATTAGCCATCGACGTCATCCGATCTCCACACTTGCGTTCCCCACACAAGGACTGTATCCCCAGAAACCCCATTATTTCCGATGCGCTGGTCAGCTCACGGCCGGATCCGCAGCGTTGTCGCGGTGCTAGCGGATGGCGAAGGCGGTAAAACTACGCGGCGCTCGTTGTGTCATTGTGCCGGAGTGGAGTGGTGAGGGATGTGATAGCCGAGGGAGGAGGGAAGAAGGGTGGGAATAATGAGGCTAGTTTGGCGACGGGGATAGATATAGAAACTTGGTTGATCCGATTATTGATGAGCGTTTGAAGTTCTTTCCGACCCCCTCCCCTTACACTCCTCACCACAAACCCGTTCGTCGGTCGGCCCTACTTGCCCTGCCTCCTCCGCCGTAACCAACCCAACCTCCTCCCATCCCATCCCAATGATGAAAGCCCCCCACTTCAACTGGTACGGGCGCGGCTTCAAGCTGCGCGCCGCCATCACCGTCGCGTGCCAGCTGGCCTTCGTACTCTTTGGCTACGACCAGGGCGTCTTCAGTGGTATCGTCGGCAACGCGGATTTCCTGGATACTTTCGGCCATCCGAGTCCCGGGCTTGAGGGCATCATCGTTAGTATATATAACTTGGGATGCTTTTCGGGGTGTATACTGGCGTTTTGCTTTTGTGAGAGGACGGGCAGACGGCTGGCGATGTGGATTGCTATGGTGTGGATTATCGTGAGTATTGTTTTTTTTCAGGGGGTTGGGAAGGAGGAGGAGCTGGAGGAGGAGCTGGAGGGGGGGAGATTGAGCGTGTTTGGCATACGATTGAATATCGCTGTGGAGCGCACCAAGGCAAGGAGCTGACCAGCTTACAGGTTGGAGCCATCCTGCAGACGACTGCGTACTCAGTCCCGCATATTATGATTGCGCGATTCATCACCGGGATTGGGACCGGGATCGAGACGTCGACTGTTCCGATGTATCAGTCTGAATTGTGTGAGGCAAAAAAGCGCGGGCGACTCGTATCATCAGAGCCACTCTTCGTCGGTGTGGGCATTGAGATTGCATATTGGTTCGACTATGGGATGAGCTACACGACTGGCTCCATCGCATGGAGGCTTCCGATTGCTTGCCAAATGGTCTTCGCATTCGTAAGTTCTCGAGTATTGTTTGTGCTGGAGGAAGAGGAGTACTGACCACGTTAAGATCGTTATCGTCCTTGTATTTGGCCTGCCCGAATCACCGCGCTACTTGTACAAGCACGGCAGGAGCGAAGAGGCCCTCGCCATACTGTGCGACGTCTACGACGGAACGCCCGACGATCCCAAAATTGCGAAAGAGAATGCTGAGATCCTCGAAGCCTTGAAGGTCGAGCAAGAGCATGGAGAGTACAAGTGGAGCCAGCTGCTCAAGAAAGACAAGGTGCAGACCGGGAGACGTGTGCTACTTGCCTATGGGATGCAGTTTATGAATCAGATGGGCGGGATCAACCTAGTCGTGTACTACATTACATCCGTACTACAGCTGAACGTGGGCCTTTCGCGTGACTTGTCTCTGCTGCTCGGCGGCGTCATCAATCTCATGTACGTCCGGCAGAACACCTACCGGCGAGAAAACTGCACGCTGACTTCGCCCCAGGTTCTTCATCGGCTCGCTCTACCCCACATTCTTCCTCGACCGCATCGGCAGACGCAAGCCTATGATGTGGGGATCCTTTGGCCTCGGCCTCTCCATGATGCTGATCGCCATTCTGCTGAGTTTCCAGCCCCGTGGAGGCGACCTGGCAAAATCCACGGCTTCGGCCTCGGTTACATTCTTCTTTACCGTGGGTATCCCATGGAATACTTTTTGGGGACGTCATGACGCTAATGTTAGGGCTAGTACATGCTTATTTTTGGCGCGACAGCCAATTGCGTGAGTACCATCTGCGGTTTCCCTACCTTATTTGTAGTGATATAGGACGTCTGCTAACCCGTGCCCGCCACCGCCTAGATCCCGTGGGTGTACGTCCCGGAGATCTTGCCGCTCCATGTTCGCGCCAAGGGAACTGCAGTCGGTATTTCTGCAAACTGGATTTGGAGTCGGTGTCCCGATAGCGAGAGCATATCCAGTGGGATGATGGGCTGACAGCGATGCAGACTTCTTCGTCGTCATGATCACGCCGACGCTTCTGAATAACTTGAAGTGGAAAGGGTATTTGATTTTCATGGTGCTGAACTTCGCGTTCGTGCCGCTGGTGGTACGTTTTCGAATTAGCCGGTGGTAATCGAAGACGGTTTTGCTCACTGTTCTAGTACTTTTGCTACCCGGAGACGTCGAACCTGACGCTTGAGGAGATCGACTGGCTGTTCTACGAAGGTGATGTCGTAAAGAGGAGCCGCCGGGTCGCGAAGGAGGGCTGGGCCGCGCACGAAGGATGGGGCAGTTTTGCGCGGCAAGGCGGACAGGGCCCGGCGCCAAACGCATTGGAGAGCGGCAGCCTCTCGAGCGGGAGGAAGGTGGATGTCGTCGAGAAGACGGAGCACGGCGCGTCGTAGGATGTTGGAGGACTGGCGCGACGAGCAGGACCGAGTCTCGGAACAGATGTCGGAAGGAGCCGCCCATGGCGCATCATGAGACTAACGCTATATCTCGAAATAACTCGCAATTCACCAACGAAAAGCTGAGCACTATGATGAGTTGTGTTGGGAGGAGTTGAGCTGGCACGAAGGCGTTCTCATACAGTCTGCAGGATTCTGAAACTATCGGTTTGGGCGACGTGGCTGCTTCCGAGCTAGCTCCCATATCGGTGCCCAGGCCCGACTCGGTGGGTGCGGGCAAAAGGTGTTGAGAATGAGTCTCTAATAAAAATGCCCTAATGAAGGCGCGGTATGCTGATTGATCGCCTCCCGGGTGCTGGAGAGTCGCGTGCACCGGAGACCTGGAATTGAGGCCATGGCGGCTAAGCGCGACATGCTCGCTAGTGCCTGCCCCTGAATATGGAAGAGTTGATTGCCTGGGATACCCGACCGTGGTGTGTCCGGGTTGCAAGGTGAATGTTGCGTCATCACGTGCCTCATCTCGCCCGGGTGGCTGACCGTGTATCTCCGCCTTAGCGAGGCTTCAGAGCGCCACCTTTCCCCGTCTTCTGCAGCCGTTTTTGCCGATGGCGCCAGCCCGCCGCTCTTTCGTCCACCTCCTCCATCCTCTGCCGGTTTTTGCCTCCAATATTCACACGCTTCGCGATTCCCTAGCCGCTCGTGGCCAGCGTGACAGCCGAACTGGTTCACACCAGGTCAGACGGTCCCGCGCCATCAGCCAGCACAGGACTGCCTAGGTTACATATCGCAGAGTCACGCCTCGCTATCGGAATCGGGGCGGCATTTCGTCCCGTCTTTCCACCTCCACCGCACGCACACGCGCGGAGACGCGACGCTGGGGCCGTCTTCCAGAAGCACAAGGCTGCTTCCATCGTAAAGCACTCCGCTTAGTGCACGCGGCGAGCATCGAGTATAGCCATGGATGCGCGATCGTACGAGTCCTGCCTGAGCGCCTGCACCCGGCGAGACCAAATGAAAAACCCAACACCCAAAATTGCGCCCTTTAGCTGTTCATCTACCGCGCTTCCCAACCACCACCGCCCTGGAGATGCGGTGCCTGGAAGCGCTGCATGCAATTTACCCCCGTGCGGCGCCCTAATCTGGCTCTCCTTTGATCCGGAGGCGCGCCATCAGCACCATCTCACCCACTGGATCTCGCTCGTATCAAAAACCCATTCTCGAGCCGCCTGCAGAACGCCTTCAGGCGCACACGTCGTGAGTCGCCGCCTGTCCCTGCGGCGATCACAGCCAAGTCCGGCGTGCGGGCCATCCAGTCGACGGCTAGCGCCACAACTCCAATTTATCCGTCTTTAACCATATCATCCTCCCCGGTGGAGCCGCCCCCATTGGGCCCCACCCCCGGCCCCTCTAACGATGAAGCTTTGATGTTTGCTGGAGATGCGTGACGGGCGGGGGTGCCTTCAGAGCTTCCAGAATGAATCTGCACTCTCTCGTGGCGGGCCAGACGGTCCACGGATAAACTCCCAGCCTGGCTAGGCCCGATGCGCCTGCTCTGGGTACGGCAACATCTAGTTTATATGAGGCCTCATGCCGCCCTCTCTCACGCTCGACAGCTTCGTTCAACCCCTCGTTTGCGTTGACAGCCATTCGCCCTTCTCCCAGGACCCAAGCCATCGTCAATTGAAGCACCGACCGCTGCCATGGCTGACACGTCTGTGACCAAAGGCCACTTCAAGGTCTGCGGCCGCGAGTTCCCCAACGTTACCTGGTACAAGCTGCCGCACCTGAGGAGAACCTACTTCCTCCTGTTCTTCGTTATCTTGACCAGTGCCACCAACGGTTACGATGGATCTATGGTCAACGGTCTCCTCTCGCTCGACCAGTTCACCGACTGTAAGCAAGCCATCATCTGTGCACGTTGAGTAGATTAGTTCGCTGACTATCCGCAGACATGAAGGACCCCTCCGGTTCTATCAAGGGTCTCTTCTCCGGTATCATGTTCCTCGGTTCTCTGCTCGCTCTGCCCATCACTCCCTACATTGCCGACGGTATGGGCCGACGATGGGGTATCTGCATCGGCTCCATCATCATGATCTTCGCCGTCGTTCTCCAGTCCGCCTCGGTCAATTTCCAGATGTTCGTCGCCGCCCGTTTCTTCCTCGGCTTTGGTGTCGCTATTGCCCACGGCTCTGCTCCTCTCTTGATCACCGAGTTGTGCCATCCCCAGCACCGTGCCATTTTCACGACTATCGTAAGTTTCAGGACCATGCGTGGTTACTTGGAACAGCGAGCTAACGGCAGCGCAGTACAACACCACCTGGTATATTGGCTCCATCGTGGCCGCTTGGCTCACCTACGGCACCAACCGCATTCCCAACCAGTGGTCGTGGCGTATTCCCTCCATCGTCCAGGCTCTGCCTTCCATCCTCCAGATCTCCTGCGTGTGGTTCGTCCCGGAATCTCCACGTTGGTACATCTCCAAGGGCAAGCCCGAGCGCGCTCTTGCCGTCCTCGCCAAGGTGCATGCCGAGGACAACGCCGATGACGAGGTCGTCCAGCTCGAATATGAGGAAGTCAAGGAGACCATCATGATCGAGAAGGAGGCTGAGTCAACCGGCTGGCTCGAGCTCTTCAAGACCAAGGGCAACCGCCACAGGCTTCTTATCCTGCTCTCTGCTGGTCTGTTCTCCCAGTGGTCCGGCAACGGTCTCGTCTCGTACTACATCACCGGTGTGCTCGACAGCATCGGCATCAAGGACCCCGACATGCAGCTCAAGATCAACGGTGTCCTGAACATCTGGAACTGCATCGTTGCCACCACCATGTGCTTCTTCGTCGATAAGCTTGGTCGCCGCCCGCTCTTCCTTGTCTCCACCGCTGGCATGTGCGGCTGCTTCGTGATTTGGACCATTTGCTCGGAGCGATTCGCCGCCACGGGCGTCAAGGCTAACGGGAGCGCCGTCGTCTTCATGATCTTCCTCTACTACACCTTCTACAACATCGCCTGGTCTGGTCTCCTGGTCGGTTACACCGTCGAGATTCTGCCCTTCTCCATCCGCGCCAAGGGCATGTGCTACATGTTCGCCTTTGTCGATATTGCGCTCTTCTTTAATACCTACATCAACCCCATTGCGCTTGACCACATCCACTGGAAGTACTACATCGTCTACGTAAGTTTGCCCGCCATCTCCCGTATGTTAATGAGCACTGCTAATGCCGCTTCCAGTGCGTCTGGCTCGCTGTCGAACTCGTCTTCGTCTGGTTCTACTACATTGAGACCAAGAACACGCCTCTTGAGGAAATCTGCAAGCACTTCGATGGCGATGCCGCTTTGGTCGGTGGTGCTGCTGCTACGGAGAAGGGCCGCATCCTCGAGCACGAGATCCACGAGAAGGAGCACAAGCACGGAACTACTCAGGTCACTGAGGAGCACGTTGAGTCCAAGATCTAAGTGCGATGTGATGCTTGTGTTGGGGTAGAGTAGTAGACGGGCTGTTGTGTTGTTGTTCCGGGAAATCCCTTTTGTTTAGATGACGAGATGTGTATATCCATTTAATGCCGTCTTCTAGCAAGCATGCCTGCAAGCAGAATGTGAGCGTACGGTGTTCACAGTCAAGTCCTCGCTTTCGCTTTTCCCCGTGAACAAAGCGCCTCACCACCTCATCAGCTCACCACCACTTGCCAACAACAACCCGGAAAATTCCTCCCTCTGCCTTGTCACAAAGCACAGCTGTCCTCAACCCAGTCATCAAAAACTCCAACCTCCCATCCCGCGTCCAAATTTCTCCAGCAAGGATATGCGCCCTCTACGCAGTACATACAACCTTACCCCACCCCTCCTCACCCCAGTCTCGAGCCGAAAACTTGGAGATCAGCACTATCCGCGAATAAACAACACACCTGCACCCTGCATCGCCGCCTAATCCTGCCCTGCTTTCCCCCAAACGCCCCCATATTACCATTTACCGCTTTCCGCTCCGCATATTAATCCCTCTTGACGCGTCTCGATATTTCCGAGGCTCGGCCCCCGGAGGCTCTGCAATCATTCTGCTACTCTAAGTCCAACAGCTAGTTTATATTTGCATTGCATAGCATGCGAGAAGGGGTGTTGGGCTGCGCTTCGGCCCGGTGCGATGCGATGGATGGAACTGTGCTCCCGGCTAGGCGCTGCCGGGCCGACGATGCTGTGCACGAGTGCGGCGTCGAGCGCCACATGCAACCAATCAATACCGTGATAATGCTTTCCTACGGTACGCCGCACACCCGATCCTGCCGAGATGTTCTAGAAGCCGTGATCTATGTGATCTTCAGCCCTCTCTCGCGCCATCACTTTATCGGCAACGTTCAACCTGTACAAAGGCACGCCGTGCTCTCGCTCCGCTCCGCGCTGACCTGGGAAAAGATTCGCAGGCCGCGAGCGAGTAGAAATTGCAGGGCGATGAAGGAGGGTTTCCGCTTGGTTCCGTTTATTTCTGAGGTGCAGGTTGCCACGTGCTGAGAGATTGGGTGTGGTGGGGTGGTAATATGGGTGCATGGGTTGGATAGATTGATGGATTTTTTTCTCGTTTTGAACCAGCAACCTGTAGAGATTGTGCTGACTGACTAACAATACAGCGGAGCTTCTGCCTGTGCATGAAGGGCGCGAAAGACGAGGAATTTCGGAGACGAGAATTGGGATAGATAAAGGGAGGGCACTTTGTGTTTGAGGATTATTGACTAGGTCGATGGAGGGAATCCGAGCAGAGGAGGGATGGGGGCCATTGGGTTGGGGATACTATACTGGCGTGAGAGGCGGATGCATAGGGCTAAACTGGGTAAGTGGGGTGAGGATGGAAAGCTTGAAGGTGCCTTGGAAAGGCTTTTCCTCTCCACGGGGTGAGACGGACTGGGCAAGCGGGCGCGTGCTTGCTTGCAGTATGTACAGTATGCGACTGCCAATAACCAAACGTCCATGGATTGGTAGTGTGGAGGATATGCTTCGGGCTGCATAAAGTGCCCTTGGCCGCGAACGTACACAGTATACCGCCTACTCCATTCTTTTCTTTTCGATGTAGCACTGCCGTGCAGCCAGCCATCGCATTCTTTCTATCTATCCTCTCCGCTGCTCCGTTGCCGTTGTTCTGGATCTCTACTCATACTAGGATCGAGATTCTCTCATATTTCGTTGCGGCACAGTACTGCCCCACTGGTTCATCAGCACGGCGGGGGCAGCTGGAGGCCTTGTGTACCACCAGTATATATGGGACCCCGCAGTCCGTGTTCGGCAGTGCGAATCGATGCACGCGGGAGGCGTGCCCAAGCCTGACCGGAACATTGAATACTATGGACTAGGCTAGGGAAGAGACGGTAACACAAGACATCGCTCCGAGAACGAGAGGAAAGGAGGTGTTCGTCTTGACCTATATCATGGTGGTGGTCAGAGCGCTTTCGCAACCTCAGAAGTTATGGAGTGCTCATTTAGGATTTGCCAAAGCCAATGAAGACATCTATCTTGGATGGAGAGTTAGTGGATCGCTGCCTAGGGGTTCTGGGACGGTTCACCAAGCTTGGGAGCTCTTCTATCGGCCGGAGTCTTTTCTCGCCCTCGAGTTCGAGCACTCTGAAGGGTCAAAGTCCGGGAAGATGCTGCTAATCCCGTGTGCGATGCGCCATGCCAAAGGGAACTCATTTGTATTTGCTTGGATATTCTGTCCGATATCAGGATCTGAACTGGGGGCAACGGCGTCCAAGTACCCATCAACCTAGTTCTCCATAGCGACGAAGTGGGTAGACAATTCCGAGGATGTCGTCTGCGCTGCTTAACCTGCGTAGAACAAACCGTTCGCCTCAGCCAAATGTGCAAGATATTTATGCAGGAGCGGACCTTCTTCAGCGGTCCGATTTACGCTAAGTCCGGCTTAAGACGGTGCAACAACCGCGTAGCCTTGTACAGCGAGAATAGAAGGTGCGGAAAACTGGTACTAGAGGTTCCGGATGCGGCTCGATATACATTCTCTGGACGCCCCGCTCATACCATGAGACAACGCAACCACGAGTACGCCGGAGACGTCGATGGAGAAGATTTCGAAGGGCTTCGCCCGCCGTAGCCAGAGAATGTATGCCGATGCTGGGACGGTGGAGCCGTTGAGATTCGAGGATGCAAATGAGATGCGCGAAAGAGCGACATTGGGTGGAAGCGTAAAATACAAAATTTTCGTAAATTCTTCGACCTTGAGTGAGCTCCCGGGCGAAGTTAAGGAGTTTGCTGGCGGTGCACAATAGAACGAGTCTGTAGCAACCGATCCGGGGCCCAATTCGTGCGCTCAAAGTTAGCGCCATCTAAGCGTTTTGTGCGGCACTGTCCGAAATATTTGCCGATTGGATTTGAGATACGGATAGGACGTTACTGGAGTTGAAGTTTTCTGGACGGAGAGGAGCAGTTACTGCGCGTTTAGCGACCTGGTGGAATTGGAGAAGAGGAGCAAAGTAGAGCCATAATGGAGTTATCCAACGTGAAGGAGATATTGTAAAAGTCTTTACGAGGGAGTTTTGCGGCGATGAGATGCTCACACCGGAAAACCGCTATACGTCATAAACCCTGCAGGGGTGGGCCACGACTGAGATACGGTGCTGGATATGCTGAACATACGAAGCCTTGTGTCTGACAAGAGCGAACTTCACAGTAATTTCTAGGACTCCGCCCAGGAGAGATGGAAGTCTTACTTCCGATTCCGAAGTGTAGAAAATGTTACTCCAGGTACCTGTAAAGCTTCAACAATAGATTTCTCTTGAACTTGCAAGTTCCACTGCCTCGAAAGTCAGATTCGATCAGTAACAGGGTTGAAGTGCGGGGTGTATTCCAATATCGCCATTATTGGTCTACTTCGTGAATCTCGACCAAACCATTGCCGCTTGAGAGAGTATCAAATCCGTCAACGCCCACGCCGCCTGCGAATAAAACTCAAATTCAACAGTTCGACCCAAACCGGCCTCTGCCCCGGCCGGCATTACTGCTGCAAGACAGAGAAATGCGCTCACTATCATAATGCGACCCTTTGTACGGCTTGTATCCGCAACGTCTGGCTACTTCCACCGGAGGGAACTGGGAATCATCGAAATCAAGAGATTCGCCTTGCCGGACAACATAGACGCCTCGTGCCGCTATCTCTGGGGGCTTTCTGCTAAGCCCATGCTTATCCGCGCTGGTTATGAGATAGCCCAGCGCAAAGTCCTCGTACTTGTCGGTAATGAGAACTAGATATTCCTTCGCACAGAAGTTCGCAACAAGGGACCCGAGGACATGTTTGCAGTTAGGGTCCCTAAGCAGGTCAGCAACCGGCCAAAATCCGATATCTCCTACTTCTATATCATCCGGGTTGGTATTTCGAAAGTGGATGAGACTTTCCTCGCTTCTTCGGAAATCGATGCTGCAACATTGCGCACGTGCCTAAATAACTTGTGAACACCACCGATCGTACGCGCTGAACAGGATTATACATACTCTTGTGCCTTGGGCGACAAGGAAGATGTAAGATCGTCCAGTGAAATTCATCCACGGCCTTATCTTGAAGAAGGCGTTGTGCTAACAACAGTCCCACAATCTCTTTGATGTGTTTGATATCCTTGGCGACGCCTAAGAGATGCTCGGTTTTATCGTCGGTTGTTGCGCCAGGAATATCATTGTTGTCCTTCAATAGCCGACGCAGTAGGGCCCGGAAATCTTCCGTACCCGTAGCAGGAACGTCTGACGTCGTATCTCGATCCAGATCTTCTCGAGTGGTCTGATTTGGATCGGGAGCCTTATTTTCTCCGCCGCGATCAATCGCACCCTTGAAAAGCAGTCGCTGCTTCTCGGAATCGGTGTTCTCCTTTTCGCCATTGCTCTCCACTCTAGCAACTTCTGAGCACGTCGGCTTGAGCGAGTCTGAATACTCGTGAATTACTGCCGGATTCAGTTTGTTAATGCGGTCACCTCGAGCGGCAAGTGGTGTTGCGGACATCTTGGAGGTGTTCTTCCGCGGTTGCGGATGACAATCTGAAGATTTATCGCCCATGTTGGACTTGCAGGTCGAGATGCCGCTCACCAGAAGAAACAATCTGGCTTGCGCGCTTCCGCTTACGGCGTAATTGAGGGGAGGAGCAAGTGGTTGAGTGGGGTTTAGTCAGGGTCGAGGCGCGATAGAACGATGAAGCTGCGGTGTGGGGGGTTTTTAGAGCTTGATATGAGGCTCCCTAGCAAGAACAAAATCAAACGGAAGAACTACGAGTGCTGCCTAGTGCACTGTGGCTGTAGGCTGTAGGCTGTAGGCTATCCATATTTCCATTCCTGGGGAAATCGTATGGCTTGGCTATGACCGAGGTGAAAGGTGAAACTGCTACCCTGCCGACCCTACTTTCCCACTTTCGCTTCGAAAATCTCCTACCTACCGACTGTTCTTAGAATTCAACCGGACAAGGGCATCTATCAGCTTGTAGAGCGGCAACAACACTTGACCAGAGAATCAGCGACTGTCGAGTATCACTTATACACGCAGCTAGCGCCTGATCAAAATGGCTGCCGTCCTCAACAACCCGCCTATCCCTCCAGCTACCTTTTGGACAGATCTTGAAGAAGGTCAGGTGCGAGCGTTTGCAACAGGCCCGGTCCTGATCATTGCAGCACATGATGGAGAGAACATTCGACCGGCTCTGCTATTAAGCACCGACATGATCTCAAAGTTTCAGCAAACGCCAGACATGATCCGAAAATACGAAGAGGCCCACATACGGCTTCGTGAAAACCGACGAGATATCGAGCGAGAGGAGCAAGTTGCGGCGATGAAGGTCGGCAAAGCTGACATGCGCTACGAGGAAGCGATAAGAGAGATAGACAGACTACCAAAATGGACCGACACCGGAGCTGAGTAAAAAGATCCTGTGCCGTGAAAACGAGTATGAGGATGCTGTCAAGCGTAAGTAAGCTGTGCACGAGAGGAAGGCCAAGCTCATAGGTGCGGTGGAAGAAGCCGAGCGGCAGCATTACGAGCTTCTAAAAGTCATTCAGGATGCTTGCGTAGGTGCTCTGAAGCAAGCTGGAATCATGGCAAAGACGGTCTGCCGAAAGATGATAAGGATCCTAGAGACGGCTCTCCACCAAATGCAACAAACTCACCAGTCGGTCCAGGCCGGTTGGCTCGTCCGATGTCTCCACCAGGCAACCAAAAAGTGTCTCCGCTCAAACGACAGCTGCCACCGTCGCAAAGGAATCCAGAAATCCTAATGCTACGTACACTCTCGCTATCACAGTCTCTCCAGACGATGCCATCAGAGGCAGTGTCAAAGTCTAAGTCTCCGCACACGCCTGCAGGACCACTTGATGCAATGTTTAAAGGCCGCGAGGCGGGTTCGTGAGGAGGACGAACGCTTGAAGAGTGGGCTTCGCAAGCTCGAAGCTTATGAAAGGAGCTACACTAAACAGTATCACGAGTATGTTCAGCAGCAAGGAAAGCTAGCGGATAATGTAGCCTCCGAGTTTACCGAGGTTTATTTCCTACGCGGATGGGAGATATCCCAGGCAGTCACTGAGGCTGAGAAAGGGTTGGAAGAAGCAAGAAAACTCGCAAAGAACGCCGGCGTACCCAACGCCGACGACCAAGAGTCCGAGTTTGCTTCGGTGCCTGGTGAGGGGTACGATGACGAGTACCACGAGGCATGCATAGATTCGTGCGATCGGGGGCTTGTGGAAGGGTGGCTGAGGCGCAATGATTGATTGATTTCTCTCGTTTTAAGTCACCAACCTATAGAGGTTATGCTGACTACGCCTACGCACAAAAGGACTCAAAAGGCGCCAAAATTAAGAGAAGGGAACAGGGTATCACAGAACCACGGGCAGGTGGCATAAGTCGACAGAAAAGAACAGTTTAGGCGTGGATAATAAGGGCGTAGCCTACTACGGCGCTACAAACTATAGCACGAAGCTACTAACAAAAAAGAAGCCCTAGAAAGCTCCTTAACAACAATAATAGTTATTAAAAAGAGCGCAAATAACACTAGCAAAAGGGTAGTAAGAGCGGACAGCTATAAACGCTGCGCGCGAGGCCTACAGGTATAAAACAGAGTCTCTTGCTCCTAGTCTACCACATCTTGCATAATATTTAATTAAGCAGCTTACACTACATATAAATAATAGCACCTCTAATTCTCCTCTCTATTAAAGAACTAGTAAACTCTTTCTATTAGACAACATAGAACTTTTAGGCGAGCCTACAGGGTATAGACGTAGCTATATTTAATAAGCTCTATAATAGAAGGCTAGAGAGAGCTAGTAAGAATTATAAGCCTAGCTCTATTAAGCATAATACTACAAGAGTATTATAGTTCCTTAAGTAGCACCTTAAGATCCTAGAGGAGCAAGCTAGTATAGATACCCCTCTATTCTAAAGCATTAACTAACGCAAAGTAGAGAAGAGAAATACTCTAAGTAATATTAACTATATTCTTAAATGGAAAGAGTTTGTTAAAGGTCTACTTTAGAAAACGTAGAAGGACAAGAGCTACAACACTAAGGAGAAGAAGGCCATTAAGGGCATTAGCGAGTGGAAAGAGGACTGGATCCAAGACCTCTTGGATCTGGAGAGGTAGAGCAACAACGGCAGACTGTAGCGAGTAAGTCCCTACAACACTAACCACGAGCTCAGACTCACCAACTTAGGTAGCAATACGCTGTCAACTTATGCCTATACACCATGTGTAAAGACTCTATATGTGAGACACTACGGATCTGCGTCGAAGATCCGAGGCGCAATGAAGAAAACCCGACAAAGCGTAAAAAGCCGACGAAAGAAGAGGAGGCGTTTCCATTTGAATTGAGACCGCTCGAGGTTGGAGACAGTCTCAGCGTTGTGGAAGAACTCCCGAAGATAAGGAAGAAGATCAAGAAATGGGACGAACGCTGCCAATCAGTGAGGGCAATGGCCGAGGCAAGAAGGAAACAACGACGCAACTCTATTGGCGACCCCCGAAGCCTAGCAGAAATCGAGAAAGCTGCCGGTCCTTTAACAGATAGGCTAGCATGGAAACATGTTACCAGCAACATATTGTGGAAAGAGACGGAAGATTATGACCTTAACATGGATTGGGAAGTCCCATTTGTTCAACGCGGCGCCCCGTTTGCGAATGGCGACCTGAAGAGACAGGCAACCGAAGCATTGGCTCTGGATGAAACATCGGAAAGCGTCAGAAGGCTCGATAGTGCATCGCAGATTCCACAGACATGATGTAACGCTGTCGCCGATCTCATTACATGCTTAGGGGCACGCAGCAGACCATGCGCCATCGCCAGCAAGCCTAAGTGCCGTCCGCTGATAGCACCTCTAAAGAGACGCTAGAGGTTATCTTTAGTCCTACTCTCATTAGTAAGAGACCCAGTAACAAGGGCGAGGACAGAACCATACAGGTCCATCCCGAAGGGGTCTCAACTACCAGAACAGCCCCATGAGCGCTCCCATGGCATGAGCTAGACACTGATTGCTACGCGGGTAAGAGGAATGCGCTCAATGTACGATACGTCGACTGACTTTTGTCCTAGAGTCACTACAGCGCTTTAGGATGCATCTATTCCACAGCGGAATGTAGATGCCTGAAGTATACAGAGGGAGCTTGGGTCGGAGGATTACCGGTAGGATGGGACTTACTTCTCGAAACCGCAAGACTGTTGGGCTGTGCCACAGTGTCTGAAACTTAGTTTTTGGGTATCAAGGTCACGAAATGTTTCGTCCTGTGTGAATTTGGGCTTTTGCCCCTAAACGTAAAATCACCCCCAAGCCATTTAAGCCGGATAAAACCCTGCAGTTCAAAGCTTTGTAAACAAACTACGAAGGTCTCGTGATTTAATAGCCCACATTTATGGGCGAGGCGCTACCGAAAACAGAAACAGAAGGGCCACTGTCGAGCCCACCCCAGTTTTTCGCATCTAACATTCATCACGAAAACCACCAAAGTCATCGAGAGCTACAGCAGCCACGCAGGCCATCCATCCCGAAAGAGAAGCATATCCATGTTCAAAGCATCTCGTCCGTCTCCTCCGCCTCGCGCGAGAGCCAAGTCTGCGGCTGCTGCCACGCCTTCACCTCAGCAGGCAGGGAAGGCGGAGGCGTCGCCATAGCCGCATTGCCGAACGCTCTAGATGGCCCATGTGTAGCAATTCTGGCATTGCTAGTATGCTGTTCACGGGTTAATGCTGAAGTGTAGAAACCAAACGATCAAAAGAAACCTACAGGAAGGATCGGGCCATGCTGCTGGAAGTTGCGGCCAGTTTGGCGGCGGTCGCGGTGGCGGTCGCGGTGGCGGTCGCGAGCAAAACGATCATTGCCGCCGGTGACGCCGACCGGGATATTGGGTGACGCATTTTGGTCATGTCCGCGCACGTTGATGCCATGGTCGCGGCGCAGGGCTTGCTCGAGCTGACGAAACATCGGATTGCGAGATTGGGGGCCCGGGTTTTGCGCGCGGTGTCGACCATTGTTCTGGCGGTGACTAGGTCTTGGGAACGTCATATAAGAGTGTTGGTCCATCAGTGTCCTGCCGTTGCGACATTGACCTCCCTTTGGAGGCTGCACCGTGGGCACATGCAAAGCCATTGGGCCGTTATAAAACCTGAAGAAGTTAGAAGGAAATCCATCATCGGAAGATTCATCTGCATCGTACCCTGCATCCGTTCCTCCCGCAGCGCTAGCTTCATCGGTACAAGGCCGCTTCCGAGAGATTATGGCGTCAAGGTCCTGTTCAACCCGACTGCCAGCACCATGTTCCTCGAATCGGGCATCCTCTCTGCTGGCAGCGAGCACCAATCTGCTCGCCTCGACGGGGCTGGCGTTCATGTCGTCTAGGCTCATGTCCATTTCCATTACCTGGAGCCCGGCCGGAGTAGTGAGCGGAGGAGGTGCGGGTGCATTATATCCGTACTGGCGCAGGTGCTGATACAGTGCCTCAGGTGCAGGCTCGTCTCGGCAGAGACCTGCTTGTTTGAGGTAGGCCCTCACCACACAGTTGGCTCGGGCTAGTCGGCTTGAGATCTCATAGCCTTTAACTAAACCCTCCATCTGCTCCAGCGTGAGAGGCTTGTATAGCTTTGGCGGTCCGAAATAGTCGCGCACGACTGTAGGACGCTCGGGGACCTGCGCATGGGTTGGTAGGGGAGCTGTTGGCTGCGGAGCGGGCTCCTCGACTTCAACGATCCGTGGAACTTCTCTCTCTTGCACAACATATAATACCTCGAGATTCGCGGAAGTCGGCTGAGGAACCCCTGTGGCAGCAGCAGCGACCTCCGTAGAAGGAGCTGGTGATGAGACCGCTGGCGTGTCGTGGTTATCCTTGTTCTCCGTCGAAGGGCTGGTGCTGGATCCTAAGACCTGCTTCTCTTGCATCATCTTCTCCAGAGCTAGCACCATGTTCGTAATTGTGTTCTGCATTTCAGTGTTCGCTTTCTGCATCTCAGCGTTGACCTTCTCCGAGTCGGCAAGTGCTTTGCGCGTTTCAGCGATCGTTTCTAGCATCTCTGCATGGATCTTCTGCGAGTTGGCTAGTGCTTTCCGCAGTTCAGCGACTTCGTCCGAAGTGGCCACCACCTGAGCCACGGCGGCAGGCCTATCTCGGCACTCTTCGCACAGGACTTCCGCATTGACGGCTCTATCAGCGTTGCGGTCATGCTCCTGCTGTGCCGTGCGGGCTACGGTAAAAGTGGTCGAAGTGGTGACTCTCTCCTCAACGTCTCTCTCTGAACAGCTGGCAACACCCGTTTCCGTTATTGGGTCAAGGACAAGGTGGACCTTCCCCTCCGTTTTGTTTTCATCAGCAGCTGGCACTGCGCCACGGGTCTTGGATTCAGCCTTGTCCTTCTTCGAATCGTTGATATGCTTCTGGCGCTCGTTGGCGCTCTGGTTTCGGCTGGCGATGTCCGGAATCAGCAATAACTCCTTAATGGATGGGCCTGAACCAAAGATCGACGCTCGGCCGTTCTTGGTTATGCGAATCTTCGTTCCGGGGTAGTAAGGCTCCTCGATTTCATGGGACGGGGAGGCCGGGGGTGTGATCAAATGCGAGGTGAGTCTCGTAGGGTGAGAAGCAGCGGCCTGCTGGACATGCCGAAGGGTGTCTTCACCTGAAGGAGCGCCTGGTGTGGGATGCTCGTGAGTAGGGGAGCCTGAAGCTCGGCAACGAGCACCGGGAGCAGCCTTAGGGCGAGCGGCGGTGGTGGAGTCGCAAGTCTGAGTCATCGTCAGCTCTGCTACAAGGCTAGGTGGTAGGTGGTAGGTGTTAGGCTTACACCTTCTTGGGTACTCCGCGGCGTAGGAAGCCTGGCGGTGCTGCGAGGGATTGCTTCGGCCTTCTGGACGTCAAGATTCTTGGAGCGCGCTCTATCCTCTTGCTTCTTCGGACCAGTACGACTGCGCCGAGCACGCGTACTACTTGAGCTACGCTGGGCCTTAGCGGAGCAGGTGCGCGCTGCGCTAGGAGGCGTCTGGGCGACAGTCTTCACCTCCGTCTGCACGATTAGCGTTTGCGGCGTGTTTGAAAGCGAGCTTTACGTACCGCACGATACACCTGAGAGAATTCACCGCTGTCGCCAATGCGAGAACGAATGGCAGCGTGCTCATTCTCACCGGGGTCGTCATCGTCTCGAGATCTCTTCCCGGTAATGGGCGCGAGCTGCTCTGGCTGCTTGAAGAGCCCCGCGAGGGCACTGAGGATAGCCATAGCGAACGCGCGGGAGTTCGAGGTGGATGGAGAATTGTGGGGATTGTTGGAATTTGCAGATGGGCCAAATGATGGTGAGGTCTGCAGTGCGTCGTGGGGGGGAAAGAAGAGAGAGTGAGTCGAGGGAAACGACAAGAAGACTTCATAGACAGGCTTGGCATTCGTGGGTGGCGGTGCACCGCGGAAATTGGCTCTTGCCCTCTGTTGGGAAATTAGGACGCGGCGGTGAGAGCAGGTGATGTTGAAGTGACCGCCTTCACCGCCCCGCGCGAGGTGAGGGGAGGTTTCATCCCCGACTCACTCACCTCTGAGTCAAGGGGACCACCGTCTTCAGGCACTGGAACGTTTCTGTCCTGCGAAAGAGCTAGCCGAAGGACTGGGAGTAGCTTTAACGTCCCCGTTCATCCTCGTCAAGCTTGAACGCTATGCCTAGTTCACATCTCACGACTATCTCACGACTACAATCGCACTTAGAAGCTATAATCATAGATACAAGCCGAAAAGAAACCACGCTGAAGGTGTCCAATGTCCTCGTGCATGATAATTGCAAGCCCATATGGTACTATGGTCTCTCATTGGTCGCATATCAAATTACAGACCCTTTATATCTATCTTCAAAGCAACGCCATACTCGCAGCCAGCGCACACATGGCCGCCAAAATGGCCCCAGAATCTCTGCCCACCGCAGCCCCCGTCCCAGCAGGCGTCTCCGCCGCTCCAGTGCCAGTCGGCGACCCACTCCCAGAAGGCGTAGGTGTTGGCGCCGATCCATTTACCATCTCAATCCTCCCATCCAGCTCGATATCCACTGGACTCTGAGCCTTGATGTACTGCACTAGCACCTCGTCCTGCGTGTCTAGACTAATAAAGTCCGTCGTCGGCGTGAAGAAGTTGTCCCCACCACCAGCCAAGAAGTCCAAAGTGACGAAATGATATTCCGTCCCATTATCCAGCGGTTCGCCGTCAATAGTAACAGCCACAAGCTTCGTAAAGTTCGTGTTCCCGGGGTTGTACTGCACTTTGATGCCGTCGCTGACTTGAAAGAACGAAGTCACTTCCTCCTGGTTCTCGACGTTCATGCCCGTCACGATGCCTTCGAGAACGTTCCAGAGTTCGTCGCCTCGGAGCGCGAGTTCGACGACGGAGTTTCCGAAGGGGAAAGAAGTGAGAACTTCGCCGCGCGTGATGTCGCCTGTGTCGATGGTGGCGCGGATACCGCCCGCGTTGATGAGTGCGAAATCAACATCCGCTGAATCATTCTTGCGGTAGGCGAGCATGGCGTCGGCCATGAAGTTGCCCAAGAGGCATTCCTGTTCCTGGCATTTTGTTTGGTCAAGCACGACGTTGGAGGTACCGAGGACTTCTGCGGCAAATTCCTCGAACGGCTCGCGCCAATCTTCGATCTGGGCTTGGAGACCCTCGTCTTGCTCGGTGGTGTTGGTGATATGGATTGGTGCGCCGTGGTAGGCGAGGATCTTGCCTTCGGGATCGTATGTCACGTCGATGTAGCCGACGTATTCACCCCAACGGTAGGCTGTGACGATAAAGACTTCCTCGCCATCCTTGTTCTTCACGATGGTGGGGTACTTGCCCTCCGCGTCCTCCATGTCTCCGAGCAAAGTGTGACTGTGGCCACCCATAATGAGTTGGAGGCCAGTCGTGGCTTCGGCTAGTTCCTGGTCCTTATCATAACCAATATGCGTGATGGCTGCAATTCTCGTGATATTGGTGTTTGACTTGATCTCATCAATCGCGTTTTGCACCGACTCAACGACATCGGAAAACGTAGTCCCGTCGCCTGGGCTCGAGATACTGGGCGTCTCTTCCGTGGTAGCACCGATGATGGCGATACCCTTGTCCTCAAAGATATGGTACGGCTTGATCGTCTTGTTGAGTTTCTCGTTATCGGAATGAATGTTAGCGGAGATAATTGGGAACGTCAGGTTCACGAGGAAGTCTCCAAGCTCGTCATCGCCTCCATCGAATTCGTGGTTTCCGATAGTCATCGCGTCAAAGCCCAGCTGATTGATTGTTTCGGCAATCTTCTCGCCACCGTAGTACGAGTAAAAAAGCGTGCCCTGGAACTCATCGCCAACGTTCAGCCACAAACTGTCGTTGTACTTCGGTCGCTGCTCGTCGACCACGGTCTTAATGCGTGCATATCCACCATAACATCCCCTTTCAGGCGTGGTACAGTCGGTTCCCGAGGAACTGAACTCGTCCAAATGGGCGTGCACGTCGTTGACGTGGAAGAAGGCTAAAAGTCCAGTCAGCTAAGGTTTGGTTTGAAGAAAATAGAGAATCTTACAGATGTTGTAGTTTCCTTCAGCGTCAATTCCGCGTTTCGCGAGCCTACGACTGTAAAGGACATCCTCCGCTGATACCAAGCTAATGAGAGTGGAAAGTGTGAGCAGGGGAACGCTCGAAGCTGCCGGGACCTTCATTTTCCCAACCCGACAACCGCACGCCCTCAAGTGAGCGCTGGACGGAAACAGAGGCTGGAGGACGAGGAAAATGTCGCGGACGCGGCTCAACGTGCTTTAATGCTGATCCTCCGTGGCGGGGTCCTCCGACTGAAGGTGGTACCGGCCTTGGCGACATCTGGGCAACATCTGGGCGGTCGCCTTGGCCCGTGGCTCACATTCCTAATGCGGCAAGAGACATTCGGCTGTGATAACGTCTGACCAGTGAGCGTTGCACGGGGAGTGCACCTTGTATTCTGCAGGTACTTGGACGAGTACCTGGACGTCGGGTATCGAGCAGGTTTCCGGGAGTCCCGAGAAAAGTCGAAGCGGGATAATCGAACTTTCTTGACATTAGAGGTTCATTGTTGCTGGCGTTATCCGCCCATCGATCCATCCAAGTACGGTAACTCTTAGTTAGGCTACCATCATTGAGACTAACCGTCTTCGCGAAGCACTGACTCCCTAAGCGACATCTCCACTGTAGACTGTGAGTACAGGGGGGTGCGGAGGGTACGGAGCGTACGAGATTCCATTGGTTACCTAGGTACCTTTTTGGGTAAGTTTCCACCTGGGCAGGAGACATCTTTTCAGAACACAGAAGAGACGACAACAAATTGCAATCGGACATCCACCATCCTCCGTCAGTCTTTCCAGCCCAACAGTAATATCGAATTCATGGGATGGTCGGAGTCCCACCACACGCCCCGCCCTGGAAACCAGGACGCCCCGACTTTATTTATGGAATTATGCCTGTAGGATACGCCAGTTACTGCACTCTCGAAATGTGGGGAGGGGAACGTTACCGAAGTCAATGAAGGTCGCAATGAAGCGAACCAACCCCAAATCCACCATACCGTCATACAACCCCGCCGAAACCATATACCGTTCCATCTTCCACTCGGGCCGAATAGGTAGCGAGAAACTTTGATCCAGGATGCCATGAGCAGGATACGTGCTAGCAGTAGCACTTCGATGGGGAAAGACGACTTCCCGTCGAAGGGTAGTGCCGAGATCCAGAGGGGACGAAAGGATCTTGTAACGGGGATGTATCCACACCCATTGAGGAACGAAGTCTTGGCAGCGAAGGCAAGGGCTGGTGACCGCGCTGCGTCCTCATCCTAGTATCCAGAGACCCTTAGCAAAAGGAGCCGAGTCGCAATGTGCGAGTGATGAGTCTTGAGCCGCATCCCGCGATGCAGCTTGTCTAGGTGTCGAGACCGCGCGATCGAATCAGAGCCTCGCCGGACTTTACCATCGCCAACGCCAACCCGATGTTGGTATTCGGCCGTGGGAGAAAGTCTCCCGGGGCTCGCGTGCCACCAGTCTTGTTGCAGCTCGCTGGCACAATAGACTCCTCAAGCGGTGGCGGCACGTCTCGAGGAACCCGACAGTTGATCCAAAAGGGAAACTCGCTCTTGATCGTCGGGCTTCCGTAAACGCAGTACTTCTCGCCAAAGAGTGCTGTTGTCTTCCCGATATCGTCGAGGGTAACGAATCCAGTCGCCCCAAGCTACACCTTGTATTCCGCGTTGCCGTACTCGCGCTGGGCGTGCAACGGCTTCTCTGCCTCAACCTGCTCGTGCTCCTCGATCAGCCGCCGCTGGTAACGCTGCACGGCGGTGAAACGGGAGAGGAAGGCCTTCTGGAGCGTGATGGAGCCCGTAAGAGGGTCCCGAGCGAACATGACCTTGCTACCAGTGCTCTGCGTATCCCTTTTCCGCTTGTTGACCATCTGCCTGACTGACGGATCATGCTCTGGCTGAAGCGAGACCAGCAATCGACTTTCAGAAGAATCGGTCGGGAGGATGAAAACATGCTGATCGAAGCGGACATCCTTCTTAAGTGGCGATGTATCAGGCGAAAGGGTGACAGACGAGGCGGCAGAGGATCGACGGTCCGCGTTGGCGGCGAGACTCGCGATGTACTCATCACTTAGAAGGGGCGGCCCGAGAGTGTCCTGCTCAGCCGAAAATGCGTCCAAAGCTAGGGTGCAATTAGCATGTTGAAAGGCATAGAGAGAGCATGAGCGGCGATTGGATTCCTCAAATGACTTACCTTGCAGAACGTCGTCAATATCCCGCTCGAGCTTGCGGGCCTTAGATAGGTCACGCTGCCTCGCTCCACTACCAACGAGCGGCTTTGGAGCTTTGCGAGTCGCGGTCGGCTTGGACATCTGAACCCGGCGACCAGTCTTTGGGGGCAGCTGGGCAGACTTGACGTCGTCCTTGTTGACAGTGCTGACAGCACGCTTATGTGCAGGAAGAGCATTGCGAGACTGAGCAGGCGTCTGTTTTGTCTTGTTCCGGGCGGTAAACGTAGTCTTCGCGCGAATAGATGTGCGCCGACGAATACTTGTCGCCTCAAGCTCAGTAGATGCCGCAGTTCGAAGCTTTGACGGCTTCGACAGTCGACCGGCGACTTGCGGCAATCTAGCTGAGGTTCGACACTTCCTAACCATAGTCTCCGACTTGCCAGGAGTGCGGCCGAACTTGCGCTCCGTCATCGACTTCTTCTTCCCTTCCGCGGGGGCCTGCGCGCGTGCGTTCTCGATCGAGCTCTTGTTCGTGACGGCGCTTGCGGGTTTGGTCGCGAACGTTCGCACGGGGATCTTCGACAAATACACCGAACCTGGCGAACAATTAGTAGGATAGAGCTTGATGTGTCGTCCGAACCCCTTGAAAAAGAAGGGCTGACGAAAGATCTCAGCCTCTCCAGCCGCGAAACGATACGCAGCTAGGACCGGGATCTTAGAACTTGACGTAGTAGCCGACTGGTTCGGCGCGCGTGCGAGAGGCGGCGGTCGGGGCCTCTGCACGGGGTTGACAACAGCAATAGCCTCTGCTGCAGCGGCGAGCTTGCTGGGCACACGCCGGGCAGTGTTGCAAGTAGGAGCGAAGTTCTCGCGAGAGAGCTTAGCCATTGTAGCTGTGTGCTGTCAGCGTGTGCGAGATGAGCGGGAAGAAGTTACTTAATGGCACGTACCAGATAAGAGCAAATGTGGTGGAGAGAGAAGGTGGAATGGTGGCGGAAGTTTTAAGTATTCTGAGGGTTTGCCGTGACCGCAGCAACGGACGGCTGGCCTGGCGACGGCGATAGAGTGTTCGCTACGAAGATTGAGGAAATTTTCGCTGGGTACCATGGCAACATCTCCATGAGTTGTCCGGTGAACTGCCCGTGCAAGCCGAAATTCCAACGCGAGGCATTCACGGATTGGCGTGTTGATTGAGGGTCGGTAGGCTTTTATTTGTTGTCTATTGCTGCGTTTCCCACGGGGATATCAGCCAGACAATCTCGAATACTTTCGGATGGAAAAGGAAGACCTGTGAGCACCCCGCCAGCGGTGAGCTTTGGGCCCATTTAAGCTACACGCTTGCCGCTAGCTTAGGAGCAGTGTAAGATCGGGAGTAGAATACACGGGCGCCTGAGCAGGACTGTATATTATTTTGATACTGGTACCAGTCATTGAATGTTGGTATCTTAGGAGGGGACTGGAGACCGATGACATGGCCAGAAAAAATGACAACCGTATCTCCCTGAAAACCCGATGCTGGAATGCGCATGGATACAGCTTCTCATTACCATACCCTTACGTTTATACGAGTAGGAATATACGGCTGGGAAGTGCTGAGATATGCCATGAAAATGCGAAAGCCGCGGTCTCCCAAGTGGGAGAGAGAAAGGAGATTTTTGTCCGCGATCACCGCGGGTCCAAATAGGCGCGCTCATATCCGCCAGGCTCTCATCCATGCGCACTGGAGCAGAAGCATGATCTAACATTTACTGAAAGTCAGCCTATGCCATGCAAGGATCATTGGTGGGGTTCGCTCCGTTTGGTCGTGCGTCGGCGGTCCGTCAACGTCTTTTTGATACGTGCGCCTGGTACAGTCGATCGAAAGCCGAAGTCACCCACCAGAAGCTCGAAGGTTTGGAATCGTGAGTATCACCCCTGTCGGCGTCCCGCTGTCCTTCTGCAGGCCTAGTCATTCGATTTGGGGCCAGTTGGCGCGTGCCTGCTGAAAGATTTTGACATGGCTCCTGAGCCAGTAAAATGACCTGCTGTGGAAGATATCACTCATCCATAGAAGAGTGTCTTCCAAAAGGGGTATCGTTCCGGACAGATCGCCCGTAGGTCTGGTGGAGAGAGGGATCGGTGGTTGTGTTTCAGCTGGGGAACGTGGTTGGGAACGATGCTTATGTAATTCGCGATACGAGATCTTGCCAGGTGACCTTGAAAGACCCACGGCTCGGCACTCGATGCATCCGCTATCAGTGGATTAACAAAGTCAACGTGTGTTGAGTTCTATCGTGATGACCTGAGAGTCTCCCGGATCTTGCCTAGCATCTGGGGCACACCTTTCCGATCACGTGGGCCACAACCTACCACTTATGCATGTACCTAGATAAAGGAGACTATTGCACAACGAACCGAGGGCATAGTCGACGATACAATACTAGAGTACACACCATCCTTATTTCGCGTGAGCTGACGCCATCCGCAAGGCTGAATGATCGGCGGTTCTGACCGGAAAGAGAACACGAAACTTCGGAGCTTACACAGCCCTACCCGTTGAATACACCGCCCCATTATTTCAAATGGGGAAAGAAGAAAGGCCAAGGCCAGCAGTGCTCCAAGCCCTGCCAACCTCATAGACACTCGGCGAGGCACAGCGCAGCTCCAGATAAATATGAGCGGTGCTTCGCGCGGTGCGCAGAGCTCACAGCAGCCGACTTCTTCACTCGAGATCCTACCACGAAAATGGCGCCGATAATTCCTACGTTACATCCCCTTCCACCGCCAGGCCTCACGTTATTCCACGGCTTCACTGCTCGTCAACAAGAAGCCCTCATCGTCAAAGAGCAATTCAAGCATTTCTCGCGTTCCAACCTGCTCGTCGCATTCAAAGGGCCCGATGGCGGACCTGGGCAGATGTTCCTCGAGATCGACGAGGTGAAAAGGCGACGCTGGGCATTTAAAAGCGCGACGACGGGCGAGGTGGTCATGAATCTAGTAAAAGAGAAGCACTGCTTCCACCCGCATGTCTATCATGGGATGGCGCCGGATGGAACGGAGATGTGGACGTTGGTATTGAAGAGGCATAGTTTCAGTGGGACAGAGTACTGTGAGTGGTGTCCGCTCGTGCTCTGCTCTCCCTCTGTGTGCTGACTCCCCTCAGTACTCACCGTGAACCCACCCAACGAGCCCCCCATCAGCCTACCGGTTGAAAACAAAATCCAAGGCCAAGGGAAAGGAATCCTCTTGAACGGAAACGCGGTGGCTACAATGGATCAGCCGGAGGTCTAGTCACATATGAGAAGAGAAGAACACGTGTACGTTGCAGCGGGGATGGACATTTTGCTGAGTGTTGGGGCAGCCTTGGTGCGTATCGATAAGCAGGCCGAGGATGCGCAGGCTGCGGCCGCGAGTGCGGCATAAAGCCGCATATGTAAGCTAGGTGCAGAGTACGCCGCACGGGTACTGCTCAAATATTACTTCACGATTTCTCTGCCTTACGATTTCCGTTTCTCCTTTATACATTAGATTCAATTCCTCCGAAACCCGCGCACGGTACTCCGCCCTAAATCCGCCCTATTCAAGAGCCCCTGAAAAGACAACTTCTGATGTGATATAAGACACGAGTCAATTAAACGAAGAATGAGTGCGTCTATACAGAGATTGCGAACCAAGCAGAGCCCCATGCGAGATGTCACTACATGTGATGGATACTCGTATTTGGCCTAGCTCGCGCGCTCGCACGGACTCTCCGATGAACTGGCCTGACAAGGCTGAACATCCGCGTCCCATACATCTCCATCCACGGCTGCACTTATCTCGTTCCCACTATCATATTACACGGATCCTGCCAGAAGGGATGGCCGAATTGTGACCGCCAGCGTACGGCTTGCGCCTTTGTCATCACGAATTGTCTACGATCCGGCTGTATCATGGACAGGAGCCCTCCTCGACACGGGTCGCTCGTCTACAGAAGACATCATCCCATCGAAGGCACATATGACTCTACCCGAGCCCCGCCGAAACGACCATCCCGACGCCCCCAACCGCTTTCACTCGGCCAGGCTAAGACGCCCCGAACATACGGCGAATCGCAGACTGCTCCCACAGATTGCAGCGTCTGCCTCAGTACTATTCCTTCAAATCCTCTCCTATGCGCCAACTGTCAGATATGGCATGATGCAAGACACGTCTTTCAATGCCTGCGGGACCCTTTTGAATTTGCCAAGCGGAGTTCTTCCACACTCGGCGATCTTCTTTCGCGGGATGGGTGTGTTGTGTGTCAAGAGATCGCAAGGGCTGTAACTACAAGGTTCGGAACCTCTGACCCGGAAATTTGCGATGGGCTTCTACTGGCAAACATCACTTGTTGCGGTCCGTATTGCCTTGGGGAGTCGGCCCATCAGGAGCTCGATCCGTGGTTTTTGGAAAGAGGAAGGCAGATACGGCATATTGACCACCAAGATCTCCGGCTGGATGATCCAAGTGGTACTGCTAACTGGAGTTCACTGAAGGACGAGAGTCGCACGATCAAGGTCGTACTTTACGTCGTCATAACAGCACCACCCAAGTCTGACCTCCCACAATACATGCCCGAGCTTGACTCGCATACCGACATGCCCTTTCATCCCAACATCAAATGGCCACCAGATTCAGCCCGTGGAATCCATAGATCTATGGCGGAGAACGTGGATGGCTTACCACAACCAACTCTAGGTATCCCACTTGAGATCAAGTACAGAACTTCCCTTCATACCTTAGACGCAGTCGAACGTTCTAAGACTCCCTATATTGATATCAAGCTATGCCGGGAATGGTTGCAGCAGTGTGAGTCACAACATGGCACAAAGTGTCAGGTGGATGATCCACAAATGGTCCTGCCGAGGGGTTTCCGAGCTATCGACACTCACCGGCTTTGCATCGTAAACATGGACAGCTCTTCTGATCTATCATTTGCCGCTCTAAGCTATACCTGGGGGAAATCCTCCGGATCGAAAGAAATCCAACTTGAACGCGGGAACCTCGAAGATCTCATGGCAGAAGGCGCCTTGAAAAGTTGCGAAGGCATTCCCGACCTCATTCTCGATGCCATAACATTGTGTGCGGATCTCGGGCATCGCCTCCTTTGGGTAGACCGACTCTGTATCATTCAGGATGATGCATCATCCAAACACTCGCAAATCCAAGCCATGGACCGCATATACCATCTAGCCTCCTTCACCATTGTAGCCGCCGTCCCCAACCTCCCCGGACTAGGTCTTCCCGGCGTCCGAAACCGCCCCAGACAAAGTCCTCTATGGAATCATACGAGGCGATTTCACCCCAAAACCCGCGTCGTTGTCGACAACTTTGACAATACAGTCATGGACTCGAATTGGAATTCTCGCGGTTGGACATTCCAGGAGCGAATCCTCTCGCGACGCCGTCTGTACATCACCAGATTCGAGGCCTACTTCCAATGCAATACATTCTCACGACAAGAGGACCTGGGAGACATTGCAGCTGCTTTGAATCCATGGAGCTGGAATTTGCCACAGTATCTTTCGACCATACCCACGTACACGAGCCGGAATCTGTCCTTCGATTCTGATATTCTGAATGCTTTCGTAGGTATTGGAAATCGTTTCGCTCGGGTTATGAACACAAACATGATATCAGGCTTACCAGAAAGATACTTGGCTCAAGCGCTGCTCTGGGAGAATTCCGAGCATACTCAAAGACGGACAAACACTCGTGATATACCGAGCTGGAGCTGGGCAGCCTGGAAAGGTCGAGTCCACTACGAAAACAATTCGCTCCTTGATAAGCTAAGTACCGGAACACTGGTTCAGTTCCATTACCAAGACCCAATGCATGGACTACGATCAATAAAGGAAGAGCAAGTCTGGTTCTTCAAGGGAGTCGATCTCGAAACCTTAGAAGACCTACCGACGACTGACGAGGAATACCCCGAGATGAGATTCATGCCCGAAGCCGACATCTCAAATCGCGAATGGAGAAACTGCCCCCATAATCCCTGGGCGGTTCCTGCGCAATCACTCGATAGCGACGGACGCGACATCGCATCCCGACATCCCGGATGCCTCGTGTTCTGTACAACCATGGCACTTCTCCATTTCCAAAAGTATGAGGCTATCGATCGCGCATGGGACTACTTATTCAACCCCTCCGATTTTATCATGTGCGATATCCTCGATGGCGAGGGCTGCAAAGTTGGAAAAGTGTCGAAGCTTCACAAGTCCTGGGCGATGCAGAAGTTTCGCGATCGTCGGAAGAATGCCGTTATTGTCCTGTCTGCTGGAATCATGTCTGAACCTTCAAGATACGCACAGACACATCCAATACTGCTCAATTTGGGTGAACGGAAGGAACCAGACGCGAATGCAAGCCCGTGGTATCTACATGTCATGGTTGTCGAGCGCGACGAACCAACGGGAGTTTATCGTCGGCTTGGAATCGGATGGGTGGAGACGCGGTTATGGAAGCAGTGTAAGCCCACATGGACAACAGTTGTTCTAGTATAAGCGCCGAAGGAGAGAGATAGTTACGAACGGCTAGCTGTCACGACTCAAGAGACTGAACGGTCGTCGCCATGGTTATCACAAAACATACGTGTATTTCTGTACTGTTGTTGAACAATCGAAATCTTAGAAAGTGATTATCGGTCGTCTGTTCGAGGCTAAGAACACCCCGGAGGTATGATGACCTGCACTAGCTCAATCAAAAACCATCTTCTTTCCCTTGGGCGTCATATCCACCTTCTTCTCCTTAGCCGCCTTCGCCGCCTGCCAGCTCGGATGCAGTGAACCCGTATCATCCCTCTTCGTCTTCCTGGCACCCAATGGTATCGCATTCTCACCGCTCGATTTTGGACCTCTCCCTCCTTTCGCGCGCGGCGGTCCGCCTTTGCCTGCCCGCTTGCCTTTTCTACCCTTATCATCGTTCACAGCGCCTCTCTTCGGATCCCAGCCCTTGTTCCGTTCCTGCTTCGCAAGGTGCTTTGCTTTGTCTTTGTACTTCTGTTCCCAAATCTGCTGCCGTGCTCTCTGACCTCTTCGGTTCTTCCTGGGCGCGAGGTCTTCGAGATCTGAAGCTTCGGACTCAGAGCCTGAGAAGTAGGCCGCATGACTCAGGGATGGGAGAAATATGGATGTGGAAGGCTTCTCCACATCTTGCGCTTTACGCTTCGGCTTTGGTATAGGTATTATCGCTTCGTCCGACTCTGACAACGACTCCGATTCCGACTCTGATCGCTCCAATGTATCTTCGTCGTCCTCGTCGTCCTCAGACGGCGGGGCGATAGCAACCCCGCCGTTTGAGAGGTCCTCCTCGCTTTCCTCGTCGCCAAGATCCCACTCCTCACCGTTGTCACTATTTTCTACGCTCGAGGGGCGATCGCCTTCTGAGAGTGAATCTTCGCTGTCTTCTTCCGCCGACGACGGCGCAGCAATGCGCGCATCAAATGCCGCAAACACGTCGCTACTCTCGTCATCGGAACACTCCGCTCCATCCTCACTGTCCGCCTCTTCCTTCAGCTTGGCCTTCTTCTGCATCTTAGGCTCATCGTCGCCATCACTCCGGCGCTTCTTCGCGCTCCCATTGCCCTCACTCACGCCCGCGAGCGCCTTCAACTTTTCAATAGCATCATCCACCGCCTTCTGCACAGCCTGCACCTTGAGTAGCCTCCCTTGCACATTCAGCACCGACTCACTCTTTTTCTCTGCATCAAACACCTTCAAGCCGTTCGGGACAGCCTCACTTTCCCTCAAGCTCTTGACCTTCGCAATCGTCTTGCGTAGATGCTGCCCCGCCAACCTGTGCAATCTCATGCGCTTCAGCGCCGCATATTCGGACTCGAGGCGGGAAACGGTTTTCACATCGCGGATTGATAGGGCGCTTTTACGGCGGCGACTGTATTTCTGGCGTTCGAGGCCGGCGGCCAGGCGGAGGGAGGAGAGGACAGATCTTTCGGCGGTGGTGGAGAACCATTTCGTGATGATCCTTTTGCGTTGATTCGGTCCGGTCTCCGGCGGAGGGGGAGAGAACTCCGGGCGCTTTCTTTTGACCATTGTGGGTGGTTCGAGTGTGAATTTGTGGTGCAGTTGTGCGGAGGAAAATTCCGAGCGTAATTTTACACCCAGAAGTGTGGTCCGTGCGCTTCCATCAAATTCTCGCCCCACCTCAGCCTTAACATCTACCTTGCGCACCACGATCCATCACTTCTGCCGTCGGCGAGATGAATCACCGTCACCATGGAGTAACTGACAAGGGCCCGAGCACCCGGGCCATCGGACCGCCTCGTTCTATGCTACGCAACGAAAGAAGCAACCTTGACAATTTAGTGTGCGAGACGCCCTCAAAGCACTGAGCGGCTGAGCTCTCCCTAGTTGGCCTGTTCCTCTACTTACCCCTTCTCGTTTTCGCATTGTCCACCTCCTCTGAATCCGCCTCCCAGGGCGCACCCCCTCTCGCCTTCCCCTTCCCCTTCCACCCCGAACCCCCTTCTCCACGACCTCCACCACCACTTCCACTTCCGCCGGCTCTACTACGCTCTCCTCTTCCGCCACTCACATAAGCCGTTGGACCTTCCTCTCCCCTAACCCGTTCCCCCAGCCCGGTCATGCCCTCACGTCCCGCGTGATGGTCCGTCTCACCCCTCCCTGGCTTCCGTCCTGGTCCCATCGTATCGGGCACTTGTGTAGGCAGTGGCTGCCCCACGCCTCCGAAGCGCGAGAAGCGGGAGGGTGGGGCGTTGTGCCCACTATTTTTAGATTCTGAGTAATTGGAGTAGGCAGAGGGCGCATATCCACCTCGGCGATGGGGCGCTGGGCCTCCCGAGGCCGCAGAGCGTACGCTAGGAGAGTGAGGGGAGCCAGATCCCTCGTAAAAAGAGCTATTGCCAGACCTAGGGGTTGCATTGCCCCTCGGACCAGCTTCATCTTCTCCGAAATTCCGATTATGGTCGCCGTTATGACTCGTGCCTTCGAAGCCTTCCTGGCGGTGCGGCAGTGGCTCATGGAAGCTTCCATGATGAGAGGGCGTATGAGGATGTTGCTCAGGGTCATGATGCGCAGGGTCATTGTGCTCTCTGCGTTCTTGCTTCTTACCACTCATTATCTCTCCTAGGGATTCCCAGTAGCTCTTCTTATGGGGCCGCACAAATGCTTTGCGGGATCTGTCCAGTTTTGTCATTGTTGTTTATTTTTGCGTAGCTTTCGTGTTGGTGGAAATTCTGAGAATAAATGGAGTATGTTGATAGCTAGTACTTGAGAAAGTCTATTTAATTGTACTTCGTAAGCCCATTAATTCCCGTTCAGATATGGAATTACAGTTCCTATGCGGGATTGCTTGGAGCGCTAGCCGACTATTGAATGAGGCATGGACGTATATTGACGATCCAAAATGTGATTACGAAGATTCAGCCAACAGACTCGAAGAATACCAGCTCAGCAATTGCAGAGAAGCACGTCGATGTTAATGGCACTTATGCCACTTCCATATAAGTATTGAAATTGCTTATGAAATGAATAGAATTGGTGCATGTCTCAATTATATACATGTGAACCGCTCGGAAGCGGGCCCGCCGACGCCGTTTACTCATCACTTTAGATCCACCCAAGACCCTCCTTCCTCCTCGTGAGCACATGCATTACGACATAGATTACCACACCGAGGCCTAGCATTCCAGAAATGACACCGAATCCCATAAGATACTTCGGGCTATCATCACTGGGGAACAGATATGCGCCGTAGATCTGTGCCAAATTGCCCATCGCATTGACTAGCGCAAGCGCAATTGCCCTAACCTCGGGGTGCAGTGCTCCGAACGTCGCGCCAGCAAAAGATAGCGAGATGGCGTTAGACGCCCATAGGCCGGCAGCCATAAGAACGAGAAGGATGTAGCGGGCGGTGAAGTTGTAGAGGACGCAAACTAGGATTGAGGTGATGAGGGAGAAGGTGAGCCAGCAGGCGATAATAAGGCCGCGGTGTTGAGGGATGCGATCAGCGAAGTATCCGGTGACAGCGGTGCAGACAAAGGCGACGGCGTAGATTGGGACGGTCATGTATTGCGCTTGCACTGTCGAGGTATAGCCCAGGCCGTGAACGAGCGTGGGGTAGAAGTAGGAGAGGGTGGAGGAGCCGACGATTGCCTTGGTGTTTGTCAGAACCGCCACGAGAGGCAAATACAGGATGCACATACCATGTACCCTAGGATGAAGCCAATTGTTCGCCAGTCCTTTATAGCGACGAGAAAAGACTTGCGTTTTCCGAGCCTGGGTTCATCTTGCGACCGCGTGACAACGCCGCCTTCCTGTAAGCGGGCGATAGCAATCGCCCTTTCCCGGTCGGTAAACCTCTTGGTGTTGGCTGGAAAGTCGAGAAGTAAGAAACCTGAGATGACGGCCCAGCCCACGGTTGCAGCACCTTCCACAATGAACAACCAGCGCCAGCCGCGAAGTCCATGGGCTCCGTCAAGGCCACTTGTGATGGACCCGGCTAGGAGTCCGCCAAAAGCTCCGGATAGAATAGCTGCAGATATGTAGACCGCGAAGCGTTTAGACTGCTCTTCTCGCTGATACCACGATGAAATAATGAGGAGAATACCGGGAGCAAAGCCTGATTCGAAGACGCCGACGAAAACACGGAGAATGACGAGGTGTGAGTAGTCCTGGACTGCCGCCATACAACAGGTCAATGCTCCCCAGATCGTCATAATGACTGGCAAATAAATTGAAGGTCTTGTTCGGACTAGGACCATGTTGGATGGAGGTTCGAAGACGACATATGTGACTGGACTGGTTAGTCCATGAAGCAAGTAGGGGGTGCTCCTGCTACATACCGAAGAACACAACCAGAGAGACACTATATTGATTAGAATCGAGCTTGAGATCATCGGCCATGCCAGCGATCTTTGCATTGCCGATGCTTCAAGGCCATGTCAGTGGCTTGTTTCGTTTAAAATGCACGGAGGACTTACTTCGTCCTATCCATGTAGGATAAGAGATACATGAGCCATATCGTGGGGAGCAGGTAGAGATCAATCTTCCGCAACAGCTTCCTCTCTTCTTCAGATGTCCATTGAAGGCCAGGTGCGACCTCCAAGTGCTTCGTCGTATCCATCACCTTGGCATCAATATTGTGAGTCTCGAACGACTGTGGTGTCGAGGACATCGTTGTTGGATGGGGTCCGGAACAAAGGTTCAAGGTCCCAAAAGCGGATTGAGTGAACGAAGAGCTGATAACCCGAGCGTCTGGTCGGTGCCCATGATGATGGGATATCGGTGGATTTTATACAACTTGAAGCGTCGTCTAGTGGTAGTCAATGAAAGGAGCTTAGAGGGCCCGGATTCTTTCCGGCCCTACCCTCGCTTACCCCATCTTATGCACCTCCGCACATGGCAAACCCTGTCGCCTTCGAAGTTTGCGTGCAAAAATCCAGAGCGGCGCAATAGCGGCCAGGATCTGCTGCGCTACTTAGTCCTAAGACTAGGATGTGTCATCTCGGGCTCGAACCGAGGCGAAGGGCGAATCGTACCTCAGCCGACAGTGTGTCTCGACGCGAGGTCGCACCAATAAACGAAGGTTCGCCCGTACCAGAACCTTTCCCAAAGGCTCTCAAACGCGTCGCCTCGGGCACATGCTCGCTTCGGGCACAGTTTGGCCGGATTCCTCGCGGTTCCTTGTGAAGGGTCTTTGTGACCTTTCAGTCCGCTAGTTCGCGAGATAACACTCCAAATGGCCCCTTGGACTCCTTCCCAAATTGCCTTCTTGCCACCCGGTATAGTTGGAGTCGCTGGGCCGTCTATTAAAGGCCTTGCGGGCCCCGGTATGGTGTTGATCAACCAAAGCCCTCACCTTCTCCAACCTTGCTTCATTTTCCCACGCTTTTCCAAAGCCCCTCCTCACAATGTCCCCTTCTGCGATCGCACTACAAGAGGCCCCAGTGGCATCTAATGCCGTTGCAAACGGAAACGGCGCGCAAGTCGAGCAATCAGTACCAAACCCAGTCTATCTGTCGACAGAACCGGGCTCCGACCATGACTGGAAGATTACACTGCGCAATAAAGTCATTGCCATAACTGGCGCGAATCGCGGTATCGGTCTCGGAATTGCGACAGTCTGCCTCGCCAACGATGCTGCTGAGATATACTCACTCGACCTCTTCGAGCCCGGCGAGGAGTTCGAAGCTCTCCAAAAGGCCAACCCCAAGCGACTGCATTACCTCCACTGCGACGTCACATCAGAAGAGAGTGTGACCAAGGCTGTTGATCAGATGGTTGGACAATCGGGCCGCATAGACGGGTTAGTTGCAAACGCGGGAATGACGAAGCACCAGCCGGCGCTAAACTTCGATCGGCCTCAATTGGAGCAGATATTCAATCTCAACGTCTTCGGTGCGTATTTCTGCGCAACAGCTGTTGCCAAGAAGTTCATTGAGCTCGGCATCAAGGGGTCCATCGTCTTCACAGCGTCCATGACGTCGTACCGACCAAACCGCGCTGCTCCCTCTGCTCCTTATGGCGGCACGAAAGCCGCCGTCCGGAACATGTCGCACACGCTTGCCATGGAGTGGGCCAAGCATGGCATCCGAGTGAACTCCATCTCTCCCGGCTTCGTCAGGACTCAGATGACCTACTACGTCGAGAAGGCGGCGGACTGGAACCTCAAGATGCAATACTATGGTGGGATGCCTCGGTTGGCGGACCCTAAGGAGCTCGGTGGCGCATACGTATATCTGCTGTCAGATGGTGCTAGCTATACGACCGGTATCGATATCCCAGTGGCAGGTATCGTCGGTGCCTGGTAGATGTCGGTGGTGGTTGGATTCCGTCCAGGTTCCAAGTTCGGACTGGAGAGGGGGCGTTCCGGACTTTTGGTGCAGCTTACGTAGCGACAGATAAGGACTAAGGCGTGTCCTACAGTGTCAAGATGAATCCTTCCTATTTGATGATGAGTGTTAAGGTCGAAGAGGGTTCGGAGGGAGGGGAGGTTAGCTGGAGCGGTTTAAGTTTCGGATTGCTGACTCAGCAGCTCCGGACTGGAAATGTGGAGGCTTTCGCACCCATCCAACTCTCTCATGTCGAGGTCTACACCAGCGTCTGCAATGAATGTTAATGTGCCCAGTATCACGCGGGGTCGTTCCGCTTGCGAGTGCCGCACTAGAAGTGCCGAGTCTTCGACCTCGGCCCGCATCGGATAGATGCCGCGACCAGAATTCCAATGGACAATGGATCGGCGCCAGGTCTTTCGTCTCATCCTCCTCGAAGCGAACACTTCCGGCTTCCTCGTCACGAAGACGAAGCAGTATGTGACATGCGTGTTACGATGCCAGCACCACCAGCAGGCGTTCATAAGCCTCGCAAGCCTCGTCCTTCCCGCGCACGCGGTCTCCGGACCACAACAGGCTGGTAAGCTCAGCCTTGCCGCTGCAACATGCATGCGCGTCAATGTCTCCAATCCCGTCCCTAGATTTGTCTTTACAGTTCCAATAGCAAGATCGTCAAGGGAGGTCCGTGTGCTGACATGAGCTAGCCTGACATGCCGCAAGAGAAGGGTCAAGTGCGACGAGAGCAAGCCTCGTTGCCGGCAATGCTTCAAGTCCGACAGGGAGTGCTTATACGACCCCAGCATCGATATCACAGCGCCGCCTACTGCGAGCAAAGAAGCCGCTTCCCAGCAGGCAACTCCTGTGCACGCTCCTACATCGCATAGCCTTACCTCTCCCGGGGCCCAGAATTCAATCGCAAAGGGTATTGACCCACAGCTGTTCATCCACTCCCCTGAGCTACGATTTGACCTTTCGCCGTTGACGTTTTCGGCCGGTCTACCATCACCCAACTCCGCCCCCTTCGAATGGTACGACCTCCTTGCTGAGGACGCCATCAACAACATTGAGAAGCACAACTTGGGTTTCGACCAAGTTTGTCTTTCGAGAAGGCAGAGCCCAGCGCCGGAGTCCCACGTAGACCCCACACTTGAGTCACCGGACCAGAACCATGCATTGGAGTCGTCTTCTCAGGAGCCTTGGAACTCGCAAGACGTCATTACTCTGAGTAATGATGAGCTTGGGCTCTTCCAGCATTATATCAATCTGGTCGGGCCCGTCTTGGATCTCTTCGACCCGTCCGCGCCTTTCTCAAATGTCGTTCCTCGGCTCGCGGTTCATAATGTTGGCCTATTGAAGTCTTTGCTCGCAGTTGCAGCTCGGCATATGGCGCTTCATTCGGAATCCCCACCACAACAGGCGAACCGTCTCAATGCTGACGTTTCACACTCCAGTTCCGGCGCGCACGATTCTAATGGGATAGAGACTCAGCTTTCCCACGTCGCCACACAGTATTACTACGAGACACTCCACTATCTATCGCAAAACCTTCTATATCCGTCATACACGCGATCAGGCGAGATAATTTCAACAGCAATTTTAATCAGCACCTACGAGATGTTCGACGCCCAAGGAAAATACAGCGATGGAGGATGGGAGAGACATCTGAGAGGCATCTTCTGGATTCAGCGGTCCCAAGGCAATAATGGCGAATCGGAAGACTGCTTACGAAAGGCGGTCTGGTGGGCATGGCTGCGGCAAGATATTTGGGTAGCTTTCCGAGAAAGTCGACGAACGCTTACTATCTGGAGGCCCACGAAGCGGTTGATGGATTTATCTCCGGATGAGCTGGCCACGCGTATTGTGTACATCTCCGCTAGATGTGTCGACTTCGCCGCGACTGAGAAGCACTACGATATGAATATCCGAATCGACCAAGGTGACAAACTACTGCAAGCACTTGACGACTGGTATCAAATCCTGCCACCAGCTTTCAAGCCTATATACACATTGTCTACGCCCGAGTCCGGGATGTTTGTACCAATATGGATCCACCCGCCCTCGTATGCTGGGGCCATACAGATGTTCCACTTCGCACGGATCGTCGTACTCATTAATCAGCCGTCCATGGGTGGTATGCAAGCCTTCCGACAGCGGCAGCGCTTGCTAGACGAGAGCGTTGAGACGATCTGCGGTATTGCTATGATGCATCAAGAGAGAGACTTGCCGAGCGCATTCGTGAATTATCAGGCTCTGTATGCAGGTAAGTCTATCCAGCGGACTGCTGCACATCATTGTAGACACGCAGCAACCCTTCTGTGCCCCTGATGCCTTCTTCTTCCTAGTAGAAACAATACTGACACATTGCATCAGCGGGACTTTGTGTTCAAACGCCTTCCAAGCAGAGGGCCATATTGCAACTTCTCGAGAGGACTCTCCAGATCACAAGATTTCCTCCAAAGACACTGCTGGACGACCTCGCAAACTATTGGAGAGCAGAATCGTAAGCGGAAAGCGAATCCCAATTCAATCACCAGGGCGCTCAGGGGATCCCCGAGGCGATGGCACAGCCATTGAAGTCCTATCAAATAGCCTGTCGTAACATCGGTAATGGACCCGCGATCTGCGCTGCCGAGTTGCGAGCGTCAGCGCAGGGTGTTCGCAACGTGGAACCCAAACACGAACCATGAGCTTGTTACCACGAGCTGAAAGACGAGTCAGTTACAATGCGGGGCCTTCGGATGGGGTTCGAGCGGGGAAGGCGATCACCTCGCGTGTTGGCTCATCCCTCGTCTCGACGCACTCCCACGGCTCACCACCGACTATCCCTCTTATCGTAATCCGGCGTCGGAACCTGACAGGCCGCCATTCCGGCGTTCCGCATGCATTCCGAACTTCTGATATCATGCGATTTTCTTTTTGCAATTCCGCTGCCGTTACCACAACTCTTGCTTCCCACCCTCTACCGTTTCTAGGTTCCGTAACACTGTCCGACCACGCGCAATGGCACCCTTAACGGACAATCGCACGCTGCTTATTCTGAAAGGTGCCGCACAGGGCAAATATGGTGTCCTTGCAGCAATTGCGTACGATGTATCTCGCCATCTTCCATACATCTGCTGATGCGTCTAGCTATAACATTGAACAACTTACGGGTCTCGTCCGCGCCGCAGAAGCAAAGCGCTCACCCCTGATCATCCAGCTTTTCCCCTCAACCCTCAAACAACTTCCGACCCTAGCACACGCTGCGGCTGCCGCTGTGAAGTCTGCATCTGTGCCTCTTTCGTTACATATCGACCATGCGCAGGATGTGGAGCACATCCGCGAGATTATTGCCACGTTGCCAGTGGACTCGGTGATGGTGGATATGTCACATTTCGGGGAGAAAGACAATCTAGAGAAGACGAGGATCCTAGCGAAAGAGTGCCACGATAGAGGAATTGCGGTAGAAGCAGAGAGCGGCAGGATAGAGGGAGGCGAGGACGGAATTGCGGATACAGGAGATCTGGAAGGTAAGTGGGCAGCATTCGATGTGCTGCGGGAGGCTTCCAAAGGCTAGGTGCTGACCCATCACAGCCTTATTCACCTCGCCCGAAGATGTCAACAACTTCGTCGCTGCCGGTATCGACATCCTCGCACCCTCAATAGGCAACATCCACGGCGATTACGGTCCTTCAGGCCCCAAGCCCGGCCAGTTGCACTTTGATCGTCTCGCCTCCATCAACAAGCAAATCAACAACCGCGTTCTCATCGCACTACACGGCACGAACGACTTTCCACCGGAGGTGATGATGAAGTGCATCGAAAACGGCGCCATCAAGCTTAATGTGAACAAGCTTTTACTGGAAGTCTGGAACGAGTTCCTGAGAAAGAACGCAGCGGCTATGCCACTTGTGAAGTTGGTTGATCAGGGTATAGAGATATTGCAGAAAGAGACGGAGAAATGGATGGATATCTGTGGAAGCAGCGGGAAGGCGTAAGAAGTTTCACGACGAATATAGACGGTGCCAGCTAGGCAAATGCAACGGACTTCATTTCAAATTCACTCTTCTAGAAGGTAACGAGCGTATCCAACGATGCCATCATCTTGTCGCGATGTTCATTTATGCTAATCCGAACAGTCGCCCGGTCTTCTTCGGCGATGCGCAGCTTCCCCGCCCATGGCTTAACCGCAACAAGAGAAGTCCTACACAATCATCAGGTTCTTCTCATGCAGCACTCTCTCATGTAGCGAACTTACAACGCAGTTCCCGAGGTCGCAGCAGTTCGTGCAGCAATTAGTGCGGCAGCAGGGAGTGCATTGGCGCTCATCAAGTGTCTCTAGGACGAGGCCGGCCGGGGCTGGAGGAACGGCAGCAACGAAGGACGCTAAGGCGGCGATGATGGCGAGGGCTTTGAGCTGCATGGCGGCTGGGAGGAGAGTCGAAAGGATAGGAGTCTGTTGGAGCGATCGTTTGCAAGATGAGAAGAAACTGTGGTTGATGGGGCGAAGAGAAGAATCACGCCGACTTTTATATGCCTGGTGTGGGGAAAGCGTGGGTAGTCCCTACATACTTGCGAAGCATCCGTTCTGAAGGTTTCCAGTCGGAAGCGGCATGTCTTAACCCATACGGCCACGTAACTCACTTCCGCTGATGGTAACTCCCGCCTTGGCGCTTCGTACAGATGCCTCCATCGAGCAGTGTCCAAGGACATCTCTACTCCGGCCCCGTTGATCAACAGCATCATTGGCATTCTGGCATGAGGTTGAGTAATGGCAGTCTCATATCATAGATGGCAGAATTCAGGTGGAAGAGAGTCAGCACGTTCAATATTGAGGCGCTGATGCTGACACAGGCGGAAGATCCTGGGCGGCGAGCGGATGTAGCTGATCTCCAGCCGTTCGTGGTCATGAAGAACGAGGGAAGTATAGGTGCTGATGTCAGCTGAATAGGATTACCGAGGAGGCCGCGATACGGGCATAAGTATAAGTACTTATCATTCTACAAAGGTAATAGCCGACTTCGGGCTAGCGAACCGCGAATACAGATCCGTATAGTCTCTTTCCCCAATCTCTAAGCTAACATCGTCAGGATCAACTACCATGAGCGGTTGCGGCGTCGATTAGCCATCGGCGGTATCCGGCCGAGCATAAGCGCACTACCAATCCATTTAGGCTTAGTCACGACAATATCGACGGGGACGTCGAAGCCTCCCATTCAACACGTCATACATTGTATTCGAATACACGCTCCATAGGTGAGCGGCCGATCCGGCTGTGCGACGACGCAGAGTACGTACCCACCGCCCCGGTACCATATATCTCACATTCGGCACTTGGGCGCTTGCATCGGCCAGAGTGCCGAGATCTTGGGGCCATCACTTCCTTTTCTGCGAGGCGTATATTACACGGCACCCGGGATGCAATGCGTAAATGCGGGGAATTGATGGGCGCGTCAATGCATTTGATGCAAGTGTGATCATGGGATAGATTAATGCCCAGGCATGGTCCCCGATCCGGTCCCGCCAATGAGCACTGGACTGAGAGTCACGCAGCGAAGAAAAGAAAACAGTGGATTTTCAGGCGAAGCAGGTGAATGGGAAGTGGTATTAGTACTCCTATGCTATGCTGAGGTTCGTAACATCGTTCGTCATGGCCAACGAGAAAACCGGTCATCAACGCCATATGCTGCTCTTCGTTGCGCAGTAATTCGCGTTGTAACACCCTTATCGTACGCTCCAAAATCGTCAAGCTCGTGATGCAGCTGTTTCTCGACTTTCTTCCTTGCTTCATCTGCTCGCGCCTCGTCTTCGAATAAGAAGGCTAGTTCCTCCAGCGTACGGCCGTACGTTTCAGGGAACATGAAGTACTGGATCAAGGGTCAGGCGTGTATGGAATGGTGGTGAGGAAGTGACTTACGATGAAGACGATCTCGAAAGCGAGCCAGCAGCAGTACGTTATGAGCCACCGCCACTTAATATTGTCGAGGCCGATCGGATTGACGAAAGTGGTGAAGAATCCGGCGCCGCGTCCAAAGAACTGGAAGATCGTAATCCCCTTCGCACGCTGAGCAAACGGGAAAAGCTCAACCAAAAATGCTGTCCTCATTAGCAAACCTGCCCTCTCAATGCCCCCTCCTGGGTGAACTTACTATACGTCAACGCATTATAGCCAATATTATAACACGGGGAATACGCAAAGATAAAGAAAATAGTGACCTTCGCCGCCGCCGTTCCCCCACCGTCCAGAAACTGCTGCATGGCCACCGTCCATCCGACATAACAGCACAACAATGCCGTCGCACACGTCAAGTACATCTTCCTTCTGGGGAATCTCCTCACCAACAGCGATATCAACACCGCGTTGAACAGATTCCAGCTATTTAGCCCCACGTTTAGCTTGCCTTTGAAGTTGGGGTCCGTGTAGCCGATGAGTTTTAAGAGGTCGTTGAGGTAGTAGGAGATCAAAGTGTTGCCGGACCATTGGGTGAAGAGGCCGAGGAAGGAGCCAACGAGGACGCGTTTCCGCATGCCCGAGGTGGAGAGCATTTCCCACCAGCTGCGTTTGCTGTGTTCGAGCTCGATGCGGATGGTGGATTCTATTTGGGCCATTTCGGCGCGGACGAATTCGCTGTGCAAGTCGCCTTCAGCGTGGTACTTTATGAGGATGTGGTAGGCTTCTTCTTGTCTGTCCTTGGATATCAGGAAGCGAGGCGACTCCGGAATGAAGCTATGTTTTGTCAATAGAGTACCTTGGAGCACTTGGCTTGAGACTTACAAGATGAAGATTATCTGGAGCATGGACGGCCCGCACTGCAGGAGGGAGGGGATTCGCCATGCCCAGTCGTTGTGCACGGACTGCGTGCCGAAGGATATTCCGGCTGCAACCAGCGCTCCGATGAAGTAGAGCGCGTTGAAAAGGGAGGTCATGATCGGCCGTTCTTTGGGATATGCAAGTTCGCCCATGAGGGAGGAGCCGGCGATGATGCAGAATGGGATCCCAAAGCCGAGGATCCATCGTGCTACGACGTACATTGCCGCTGTTCCGCGTTAGACCACCGTTGCGAATGTGATGGGGAACAAGCTACCGTTGATGGCAAACGCCTGGATAAGAGCTCCGATGACCATGACCCATGATCCCAAAAAGATAGCCCATCGTCTTCCAAACGTATCGTTCAGCCATGGTACGAAAGGGAGTGCGCAGATAGCGCCCAAGTTGTATGCGGCCGAGATGATGCCTAGCAGGGGTCCGTTTGGGTAGTTGAAGTCTAGTCTCGTCAGTGGAACAGCTCCAAAGGTAGATAGGTGTACACACAAGCCTGCCACGTCGGCGCAATCTGCACCGTGTTGATCATCTGCGAGTCGAACCCGGAAGTCATCTCAATGCCAATACAGGTCGGCAGCAGCAACGCATACAGCACCCTCAAGTTCTTCTTCCTCCACCACGGCACCTTATCCTGCTGCACAATCCTCGTCAGCACCGGCTCGGCCTGGTGGGCCTTGGCCGCATTGCCATAGGGCGCCATCTCGTCTTCTCCCTCCTCTTCACTTCAACTTCATTCGAGAAGGCGGTTTTAGTCGTAGACGGAACGGATCGAAGCGAAGTTGGAAGTCGAATGTCGGACCCAAGCGTTCGTCTCTCCCAAAAGAGTCAAGCAAGCGCACGCACGCAGGCGGGGACCATCCCTCTTAATAACCCTTCCTCCCCAGTTCTCGGGGGCTGGGACATTGCCTGCACGCACGCGCACCTACACTCTCGCATTCACCATGCCGGGGTTCCCGTAAATATGGACCAAGCTGGATCTACGCCAGGTAGACAGTGCAGAGTGGTCACTGCGAAACCCCGCGCATGTCAGCGCAATCCTAGCTCTAGGCGCAATATACACTCTGTGCGTCGTATTGGCCAATCAGGCGCCGGCGACGCCGCGCGACTGTATGCGGATAAAATGCAGCTGTCGTATGGCGACGTTGACTTAGCGGCACGGTGGGCAGGAAAACAGGAATGCATGAGCGGCACAGCAGCGACTCACGGCTCAGACGACTCGGAACCCTGGGGGAGCGGGGTTAAGCTGCGAAGAAGTGATTTCCGACAAGAGCGAATACGAAAAGGGAGGTGTTGTGGTTACGTGCAGGATTCGAACCACGAGGGTACATGTCCGGATGCGAGGACCGGGCTCCGGCCTCGGGCGAATCAGCGGCCTCGTCCGCGCTCGACATGTCAGCAGCGCGCCAAGAGTGATAGATGGACCACGTACGCTATTCCGCTTGCGCTGAGGGAGTCCAATGTACCGGGCCGTCATGTGTCGGTGGGGCCGCCTTTGGGGATGCTCGCGTGCACCCCCTTCGCCATGCCGACACGGTTCAGCTGCACCACTGCACCGCGCCGGGTAAATCCAACGTGGAAGGTGCTGAGATGCGCCAGGCTTCCCCGCATCCGAAATCCGAGTACGGGTGCCATGTCAATGCTCCGTGCGGGTTTGGGGGAGTCTTCACGCGAAGCTGCTACGCCGCAGGCCGGTTTGACACCTTTTGTGAGCTGATTGCATGAGGAGCTCCATCCTGTGAAGCCCGCATCTCCTTCATGGCCCGAGGAACACCTGTTTCAGGCGGCCAAGTAAGATGCGATGGCGAAGGATCTGGAGCTCACGTCATCCGTTATGTGCGTGCTCGAGCGGCCACTAGGGTTCGGTGCGGCCCGTTTCGTGACCCTGTGAGGTTTATACGAGGCGTCCTATGGCTCGAAGTGAGGATAAGCACACGAGTCAGAGGATACGAACGGTAGCCGAACAGTGTCAGAGCTGGTCCATGGTGTAATACGATGAGACCGTCTTTTACGGGGCCGGCCCTTGACTGTAAAGGAAGATTTTGGAATGCCAGAGCCAACGTAGATTGACTTAACCTCGAAAGAAGTGAATAGGTATATACCGAAAAAGTAGATTCGAAGAACAGAAAGATGGCCGAAGAGCGCAAGGCAACCATAAGAGCCATCGCACAGCGACCTCCTCGAAGTATTGGGCGAAGGGCGATTTCTTATTTGCAGTAGCCACCCTTGCAGGTCCAGGGCTCCTGGCATGGAACTGTAGCAGAGCAATCCCAGCCCCAGCATCTGCACTTGGTCAGCACTCTCCCTCAACATCAACTTCTCGCGCGGTAACACCTACCCCCAATCGCATGTCGGCTCGGCTGCCGGTGCCTTCGTGGAAGTCAGCTTCGTTCCCGTCGTAGCATTCGGTTCGGGAGTCCCGGTAATCGGTATCGTCCCATTGCCGCTTCCACCACAGCTTTCGTTTCCACCCGATAACAACATGTCCTTTGTCTGCTGCAGAGTCGAGTCGTCCGTCATGACAATCCGAAAGTCCGCCTCCTTATCGAACTCAAACCAGCTCATGGATACATAATTCGGATATTTCGTCTTATCCTGGCTCACAAGCTGCTTCAGCCATCCCTCCTTCTGCCCCGTCCCCGCACCCGTCTCGCCAATCGCAAAAGGCTTTCCATACGGCGCAGAGTACGTGTTGTAAAAGTCGCCATAAAGTTTCGCGAACAGCGCATTCCCGGAAGTGTCGTCGCTAGACTTGGGATAGCAGTCGATGCCGACGAGATCGACGTAATCGGGGCCGGGCCAGTATGGTTCGAGATCGCTCATGCTGCCTGCTTGGTTCGGACTCCAGAAGCACTTGACGTGCTCATTGTTCTTGCAGTTCGCGTCGTAGATATTCTTCCATGCAGTGATGAAGTCCTGGGATGTGCCCTGATATGTGCCGTCTGTGACATACCAGTTCATTTCATGAGCGAAACGTAGCCAGACCTCGACCCCAGCGTCAGTGAACTCCTTCATGACCTTGGCGACCTGACTCGCTACATCCGGTGAGATCTAGTTGAAATTGACGGACGGCATGACAGACGCTACGAACACAGCGCCTGACGAAACGATGTCATCCTTCATAGCGAGGAGCTGCGAGCCGTCGAAGGAGGAGGACTTGATCTGCGCATACCAGCCGTAGGTGGAGGACTTTGCGCCTAGTTTGTCATTGATTTGCGCCATCGTGTAGCGCGGAGAGGAGGCGTCGCCTTCAGAAGGAAGGAAGCCGATGGAGATGCAGTTAGCCTTGAGCCCATCATTAGGGAGACCAAGGCCATCGGTGCCTGGGCGCTGTTAGAGGCATGCGTGATATAAGGGGGGAAAAGGGAACATTACCTGTTTTAGTGACGGAACTGGGGGTGATGCGTGGAATGCTGATGGCGGTGCCGTGCTGGCATGTTATAACCGCCAAAGCAGTAGCGTAATGAGCGTATTTCATGATGAAGGAAAAAGGAGTGCATTGCAGAAAGAACGGCTGAAGGCGAAAAGCTTGTGATGCTGGAGTTAAGCAAGCCCTACCCTTATACAACAGAAAGAATACCCGCCCCTACCTGTCGAACCATATTCGAACTCCGCCACGAGATCGTCGCGTTTCGTTCGTTTTAAACCTGGTGTTTTAGTCTTAAAACAGTAACTGGGGCTAAGAACCCTACGAGTCTGCTCCTGACGCAATCTCGGAGCACAAGGCTGAGACGCGCAAAAACTATTTTCCCTTGCATTGTCCAGTAGGCTTGTTGCAGTAGCACATTGATGCAGCTTAGTGATGCTTCTATGCTGAGCTAAATCAGGGCACGAGGCGGAGTCCCCGAAGTCCATTGTGGAGGGACGTGGGCACGTGATCTGCATCCCGTCCCGTAAATTTGCGAAAAGTTTCTAGATTAGGCATGCTGGAGCGAAATACTGCGAGAATCAGAAAACTTGATGTCATCGTGCGAACGGCATCGGGAGAAGTTCCTGGAATAACGGGTTCATCCTGGGATACATTGTCGGACGTCCGATGCGGACGGCATTGCGGATGTGGGGATGCGAACCTACAGCTTAAGCAAACACGGGCCTAATCTTCCCGGCAACCCTTTCCATAACCCTCTGCGGCAACAGACTCTCATACACATGGCTAACCCACTCACAACACACCCTCCTCGTATACGCCGGATCAATGATCTCTTCGACGCCGAAATGGTTCGCTGTCCGCACAGGGTTCATCAACCGCCTATACTCATCTTCCAACTCTTTATACCTTTCATCCCGCTTCCCCTTTCCTTCTTCCTTCTCAATCTCTTTAAGCTCGAACGAATGCCCGACTTCGATGCCGCCTTCTAGGGGAAGCGAACCCCACATGCCACTTGGCCAAGCGACGCGCATTCGTGGGTCACGGCAATCGAGCATGATACCTCCCGCTACGCCGTAGACGCGGCGTACAATGACGGAGAATATAGGCATGGTAGTGCTGTAGTACGTGGTCGCGAGGGTGACACCGTGCCGCATAGTCGCGGTGCGTTCAGCGACAGTGCCAATAGCGTATCCCGGTACATCCACAAACTGCACGAGAGGGAGATTGAATACGTCCAGGAACCTCAGCATTCGTGTAATCTTCTGAGAGCCTAGAGCATCGAGCGCGCCGGCATTGACCTCGCAGTTGAGCGACACGATTCCGACGGGTCGACCATCGAAACGTGCTAGGCCAACGATAGCTGTCGTTCCCCAGAGCGCGCCGATCTCGAAGAATGAACCTTGGTCAACCACCTCTGTTATGATCCTGCGGGGATCATACATCCTGTTCCTAGCTCGTGGAACGATAGAGCGTAAGGAATCGGACATGCGATCTATAGCGTCGGAGCATTCAATTGTCGGAGGAAGCTTCGTACCTGAGTCCGGGAGATAGCTAAGCACTGTTCGCATCTGCTCGAAACAGGCCGCTTCATCCGGAGCAAGATTGTCGATGGTACCGTTTGTGCAATGCATTGCTGGGCCTCCGAGATCTGTGAAGGACAGCCCTTCCTCGAAGGTTGCGTTCTTGACGACGTTAGGTCCAGCGTTGAATAGAGACCCGATATCCGCAGCCATAACGGAAAAATGGCATGCGACGACGCGTGCTGCTCCAAGGCCAATGGCTGGGCCCAGCACGGCGCCTAGGTTTGGAATGCCCATGTTGAGCTGCTGGACGACCTGGGTGAACGAGGGTAGTGGAGGGACATAGGAGAAGCCTGTTGTGCGTATAGTCGTTACAGAGCCTCCGCCCGATGAGCCATCAACCAGCTTGATGATTGGTATCTGCAGGGCTATTGAGAGCTTCTCCATGTATATCTGCGAAGCCGTTAGTCGTGTTCCCCACCAACGACATGATTCCTCTACCGTCTTATCCATCAATGCCCCATCTGCATGACCAGCTCTGATGGAGAAATCATCCGCCGTAAACACAATCTTCCGTCCCCTCAGCCTCCCAAAGCCTTGTACATTGTTCGACGGCACATACTCTACGGGCTCCTCCTTGACGGGGCCCAGCTGCTTCCACTTCACCGTCCCACTGACGCTGCCAACCTCCTGAAAGCTCCCCGGGTCGAGTAGCTGCTCTACCCGTTCCCGCACCCAAAGCTTCCCTGCCTGCTTCTGGCGCACATATCCCCTGTTGTTCGGATCGGGTGTTGCGGCAAGCTTGCGGAGCGCTGAGAGCTGGCCAAGGATGTCGGAGTAGTCGGCGGGGAGATCAGAATCCGCGCCGCTTCTTCGCCGCTTCTTCTGCGCGTTGGGTGCGATGTGATCGGAGACTTGGGCGAGGCGGCCTTTCGCGGTTTCGGAAGGCGTTTGCGCGTCCGTGGGCGCTGGGGGGCTCGCGTCGTCGCCTGCCATGGCGGATGGGGTTATTTTGAAGTATCAGAAGGTAATGGAAGCTCCCCAGGAGGAGCAGATGAACCGAGCTCACATCGCGATGGATTCGGGATGGGGTGCAGTGTGTGGTGGAGAAATCCGGGGCAGCTGGGGAGCCTCGGCTCTTTGAACCGCCCCCGCGGCCGAACCTCGTTCATCCCACTTTCTCCCACGGCAAAGTACCTGTCGGCATGGCGACGGGAGAAGTGGTCAATTCACGCGCGGAGTATCGTCTGAAAACAGACATTGAGCCTCGGAAGCGTCTTCTACTGCTTTACGGGACGTAGCAAAGCATTCGAGCTGCGCTCTTCGCACCGCAGTCTCATTCGAGCCATCTACCAACAGTGCAGGCCTCTTGCGTACATCAATCTCTTTACCGCGGACATTAGGGACTCGTAGACATCTTCGGGATTCAGCATGTCTCGGCCACCACCGCGCCCCATAAAGCGCCTCCTTGTGGTCAACAGGTCTGCGTTCTCCGCTGCCCCGTCCGTCACCTACTAATCCCGCCTCAGAGGCGAAATCGCAACGCGAATCATCTCTACAGCCCGGGAGCTCGACATAGAAACCTACGCCATCCATGTCCTCGGGGATTCCTCACATGCCGTGAGAGCGGCCCTACCAATCGAGCTGCCTTCTGCAGCCGCCTTTATGAACATCGATGCACTCATCAACATTGCGAAGAAGCATGGCATTGATGCTGTCCATCCGGGCTATGGCTTTCTTTCTGAGTCAGCAGTGTTTGCGAAGAGAATGTGGGAAGAGGCTGGGGCGGTTGTGGTGGGACCTGGATGGGGGATTTTGGAGAGTACGGGGGATAAGCTGAAGGCGAGGCTGTTGGCGGGAAGCTGTAAGTCCATCGACCCCGTCTCGAATCGATACACGCTGATGCCCTCGCCCAGGCAACGTCCCCGTATCCCCAGCATTACAAAGGCCTACCAACAACGCCGAAGACGTACGGCAGTTCGCTGCCGAAATCGGCTACCCCATCATGGTTAAAGCGGTTGATGGTGGCGGTGGACGAGGCATTCGCCTCATCCGCAGCGAGGAAGCACTTGCATCATCTGTTAAGAGAGCAGTAGAAGAAAGCCCGTCGAAGCTGCTCTTCGCCGAAAAGGCGGCAGTCGATGGCTTTCGGCACGTCGAAGTTCAAATTATCGGCGATGGACGTGGCAACGTGACGCATCTCTGGGAACGAGAGTGTAGTATTCAGAGGCGATATCAGAAAATCGTGGAGGTTGCGCCAAGTACAGTCACGGATCGCAAGCTAGTCGCCAGAGTTATTGATGATGCGATAACGATGGCGAAACATGTAAGTTACTCCTGACCATATCGTGTCTACGAGACTGATGAGTGTCGGTAGATTCGTTACTTCTCCCTTGGGACTTTCGAATTCCTCGTCAACCCAACGACAAAAGAATACTACTTCCTAGAAGTGAATCCTCGCCTGCAGGTCGAGCACACAATCACAGAATCCATCTCGACGACAGACATCGTAAAAACGCAGCTCCTTCTCGCTCAGGGCGCAGGCCTCAGCGACTGCGGGTTACCGACTGCTCAGCGAAACCCCCAAGTGCCTCCTCTCGCGTGCTCTATCCAGCTACGAATTACCGCCGAGAATGTGCAAAGCGACTGGACACTATCTATTGGCAAGGTCACGTCCTTCCAATTTCCTACAGGTAACGGCATCCGAGTCGACACACATCTTGTCAATGGTCACTCTTCCGTCGTGTCCGCCGACTTCGACAGTCTTATCGCGAAACTCGTTATTACCGCGTCGTCCTGGCCGGACGCTGTCAAGAAGGCTCGACGGGCATTAGACGACACACAAATCTCCGGCGTTAAGACGAACTTGGATGTGCTCCGCGCCATCGTCGCGCACGCCGATTTCATGGAAGGAAAATGCGACACGCAATGGCTAGAAAGCAAACAACAAGAGCTCCTGGCGCAAGGCCAACGGATATCCGCCGCTAGCTCATCCGTACTCTGTGCAGAAACCACGACGTCCTCTGGGCCAGTAATTGCGACTGCGAACACACTCTTCCGAAAGGGAGATGCATGGTCCATCACTCTAGCCTCGCTAGATGACACCAAGACCAGCAGCAGCCAGACTCTTCCACCGTACCACCTTGAGCTCACACGTGTTCTTCGCAACGACTTTCCAAGCTCTCTGTCCGCCGAGGTACTCTTCACTACGCCTTCCTCATCAGCGAACACTCACCCCAAAACAACACCCTACGCCATCACGCTCACAAGCACATCTGCCAGCGCGTCAGCAGCGACATCACATCACCGGCGCGCTCATCCATCCAATCCATCGCATATCGGCATTCCATTCCCGGGCAAGCTAGTTGAGGTGCTGGTAGACGAAGGCGATGTGGTGAAGGAGGGAGATGTAATTTGCGTAGTTCAGCAGATGAAGATGGAGCTTGAAGTACGAACGCCGAGAAGCGGGAAGGTTACGTGGATCACCGAGGCTGAAGATGGAGAAGAGGTTGGTGAGGGCACTCTGGCCGCGATCGTTGAGAGCGAGAAAGAGGCTCGACTGTGAGCGAATTGCATATACATTATCAGGCCCCTGTCACTATCTATGCAAGTGCCTTATGCTGCGGGTGAGGCGGTGCAGCGCGAATGCGCTCTGATTGGCCACGTGCCGTCCACCACTGCAACACCAAGGATCCTCACACATCATCACCATGGCAAGCATCATCTCGGTCCTGCCAGCGAGCGACTGGTTCCGCGTCCAGCTCGACGTTTCCGACTCCATTGCCCCGAGCATGGCACGCTGTTTCTTGCATTCGGCGCGACACTCGGTCAACATCCTTTCGCACGTAACAACCTTGGGACCTTCCAAGGTTTGGTGGCATACCAAGCCCACGTGACGTTGGAGGCATACCGCCCGAGGTAGCTGCATAAATGTCCGTGTTTCTCTAGCAGACGACCTCGGCAGGATTGATTGGAGAGTGAGGCGGCATCTTGAGCTGACACTAGGTAGGCGGCCAATCAACACCAACTGTGGCGTCGGTATGCCTCAACACCATTGCTGCCTCGCTGCTAACATCACCCACGACCTTTATCATCGGCCGCCTTCGCTTTTGCTCCGGCGCAATCTGCCACTTCGCGGCTCCTATGCGACACTCCGTTCCGAGGCGCCGTTCACAATGGCGACTCCATGGCCCACGAGTTCGTCCACGCTGACGGGCTTCTTTGCCCCCGACTCAACGTTGCAGACAATGCCTTATCCGACCAGCGAGGACTGGCAGGCTTCGTTCATATCTCTCGTTTCCGCCATGGCTACAACTACAAGCGCGAGTCCAGCGCCATCAAATACAACAATGGCAGCTGCTCAAACGGGCCTTTCAACTGGCACCGTCACAGGCATCGCAGTAGGCGCAGCCATAAGCTTCATCCTTGTTGCTGTTATGGTTGCTGTCTTGTGCTTGCGACGACGAAAGAACGGCCTAGGACGACTGCCATCTTACCAAGAAGTCTCGGGCGATGCCCAGGCCCAAGGCATACCTCGTCGAGCCGTTGAACTGCCTGCTGAAGTTCCAGAGGAATGGGCCCAGAGAAAGGTGACGCCGGAAAGAGTAATTGGCGCAGACAAGAACTCCATTCTACGAGAAATCACTCGTCCAGGTAAGCTCTAGATTCCGAATGCACAATACACGAAGCTAAGAAAGATATAGGTGAATCGTCAAGGCTTAATGTCGCTCCAGCAAGTCTTATAAATTTAACTGGAAAACCATCTGATGTTGAGCGCCCGCGCTTCATCAGCCCAAGTGCAGTAGAATACAGCCCAAATCCCGTCATTTTCTCACATCTTCGAGGAAACCAGCACGAATACAAGGTCATGCTTCCTGAGGACGAGGTATTTATGGCGAAACCAGCCCCCGCCCCATACACCCCTATGTACACCAGTGAACGACGCAAGTCCCGCTCGTCTCCAACGCAGTACCCATGTTACGGTGTCCCGGATCCCGGGTGGAGATCAGAATCGTTGTACGCTGGCTCGGCGTTCCGCGCTGAGGCTGCAGAGCACTCTGAAAGCAGACCCTTATTAGATAGGCCTGCTCCCATGGACGTCGAAACACAGAGCGCGAGTACGCGGTCGCTAGGTGACCCAGATGGCAGCACACATGCCCCAGAAAGTACTCGAGGTTCGCCATCAAACAGTATGTCAGCCACTGGATCAACCCCGCCTTCAACCATCTCTTCAGCTTCCGTGCGACCGATGTATTCCAGCAAGGCACTCCAGAAGAGGTAAGTCAGGATTCCTTGATAAATGATGTGAAGCTAATGTATGCACCTACGCCTAGCAAGGCGGTGGACGTCTACAACTCGCATTGCTCGGCCGTATCGTCGCCCTTTGGTGATCCTAGTACGGATCTCCATGTCCTGACCGGGCAGATGCCGCCCCAGTCATCGTCCATTCGCGAGCACCTGAAACCAGACCACCATTACTCAAACGGGAAGAATGAGATGGTAGAAGTCCCACGTCCAGAGAGAAGCCCCTTCGTTGTTCCTAGGAAACCGTTCCCCAATTCCTCGTCACGTTATGTCGCACCTCCACAATCGCCCCGCTCTTCGATGGAGACGTCCAGCCCTGAAACAAGGGCCAACGTTCCGTACGCAACGCCAACGGACATCCATCCATCCGCTTCTCCGCGTACACAAGGCCAAGAAGCAAACGCAACATCCCACACCTGCCCCGAATGCCCGCTCAGCTTTCCCACAGCAGGCCAACGCAACAAGCACGTAAATCGGAAGCACCGGCGGCGCTACATCTGCCCCATATCCAGCTGTCAGAAGGCCTTTTCGCTCAATGCGGATATGGAACGACACAAGAAGACCGTCCATAAGGAGCTCTTCAGCTTCAGCGACTCGATGCTGAAGTGCCCGCTTTCGAAGTGCAAGACACCTGAGAAATTGTACTCGAGGAAGGATAATCTGGACCGACATGTCAAGAGGTGTTTTGCCAGTGCGAAGATGGAGAAGGGGAAGGGGAAGGCTGGGTGAGAGGATTCGCGCATCACTTGCGTGGAAGTGTCGTTCCGCTATTAAGGGAGATTCGCACCGAGATCAGGCCTCATGGGAAATGATGGCGATGTCTCTTTTCTTTCAGGACCACGTCGGAGATCCCCAGATGCTTTATTCACGATACGCTATTAGGGCATGAGAAGCATTGGAGCAAAGAGGAAACGTTATAGCCCACGGCTAAGCATCATCTGGTAAGCGCTCAAACAGTCCACCTAATTCTGGTCAGAGGCTAACAGAAGTGGTTTAGCTCCGTACAACACTCCTGGCATTTGTGCAATATTACGGGCTAACGCGAGAGGGTGGCCGCTCGACCAGAAACGCTTCTCTCTCAACCTTGTCTCATTGAAGATGACGGGAAGGCTCCACGACACTGCGCCGCTCTATAGCGGTTTTGGACGACGCAGGCCGTCAGGTAGGGAAGTGAGGAGCCGTACCATTGCACTTGAAAGCCTGCATGTAAGCTCGATGTATGGGTCGCCATCCAGACTCAGCCAACCGAGGCTCGGATAAACACCCTTGGATCCCGCCGCTGAACGTGGGTAGGGTCGTCGCGGAGAGCAAGAAATAAGAACTGGCGTGATGAGGTGAACTGGTACGCATAACGGCGCACAAAGAAGAATACTCGTAGTGGTTTTGACGATGAGATCTCCAAACAATTCATAGTAATGACTTTTAACCGTGTGCTATGGATAACTCCGATGTGCAACGCTCGTCGAGGCCATCGGCAGACCCGCAAACGTGAAAGGTCGATGCTGGCATCGCTCCCTTCTCCTCACCTAGTTGAAGTTAGCGTAGGAACATTTGATAAGTGATCATAAGAATACCGTGCTTACTTCTTATCTGATACAGCTTGAGCTCGGAAAATGGGCCAGCGTAGGCTCGCTGCAAGCCATTTGCAGGCGGAATATTGATTCCACTTTGCCGCTTTTTGAGTCGTTGGGCACAAATGCCCGCTCAATGGTGCCCGTTTCCACGACATGGGAACAAGCGCGATACCGGCAACCACGGCGCAAGATCCAGCGAGAACGCAAGGATACGCATATGCTGGGACTGTGGGCCCTTTACTATGCCATTTCCACCAATACATAACCACAATAGGGAGAAACATCGCGACAGACTGCAAGATTACGCCGATGGTTGCCTATAACCGGAGTCCTCTGCTTGTGATCCCCGTGTCGGCGTTGAGGGCAATATTAGGCGCCTGAGCAGATAATTCTCGAATTCTGTCTCTGTTTCTCGGCGCATATAAGGAGTCCTCATCGGTAACGCTGGACTCTTTGAGCGAGGTGGCTGTTAGAGTCGAGGAAGTCGCGAGGCTGAGGCTCAATCATTCAGCCAATCAGAGACTTACACATCGTAAAAGCAGAGAAAGAGCAGGAGGTAGTCACTCATTCATTCATAGATCAGTAGTCAATGGTCTTCTTTATAGCATCGTAGACCCCTGAATTAGTTAGCAGTGAGCACAAGCCGCGCGAACAATAACAAGAACTTACTCGTAACGTCCGGTATAATGAATTTCTCGAAGATCAACCCTGTATGCGTCGCCCACCCCGTAACTCTCTTTACCGGAGCCTCTAACCTCAAGAAAGCCCTTTCCTGAATCGTAGCCGCAACCTCTGCTCCCACGCCTGCATTCATCATACTCTCGTGCACCACAATTGCTCTCCCTGTCTTCCTCACACTTCCCAAAACCGTCGCTCTATCCCACGGATATATTGTCCTCAAGTCTATCAGCTCTACACTGCATCCAAAATCCTTCTCTGCTGCCGCAATTGCCGCCGAACATGTGTACAAAGGTGTGCCGTACGAGATTATAGTCACGTCCGTTCCCGTCTTGAGGACGTCGGCCTTGTCGAGAGGGAGGTAGTACGGCAATACGGGAACTTGCTCGACGGCGGCGCGGTAGAGTACTTTGGGCTCCATAAAGATGACGGGGTCGTTTGCCCGAATGGAGGACAGCAGAAGACCTTTTGCTTGTATTGGGGAGCGAGGGATTACGACGCGGAGGCCGGGGGTGTGACTGAAGAGGGCTTCTGGAGACTGCGAATGGTAGCTGCTTGGGTGAGTATATTCGTCTGTAAGGATGGTGTAAATGGTCCTTACAGCGCGCCATGTCCAACTACTCCTGTCGGCATTCGGATCACCAATCCTCCGCAATGGACGCCGGTCGTTCCTGTCCTGTACCTGTACTTGGCGGCCTCGTTTACGATCTGATCGAATGCAGGGAAGACGTAGTCGGCGAACTGGATTTCCGCCACGGGCCTCATGCCTTCGCTCGCAGCTCCAATGGCAAAGCCGACCAGACCTTGCTCCGTCAATGGTGTGTTGAAGACACGCTCGGTGCCAAAGTCGGCGGCAAGATTCATGGTGCATCTAAACACTCCTCCAAACTGGATATCCTCTCCAAAGACAAGCACCCTCTCATCTGTTTGCAAGGCATGGCGTAGGGCTTCGTTGATGGCTGTGTAGAGGTTTATGCGTTTCGTCTGTCCCTTGCGGACGTCTTCGGGCAGTTCGGGGTTCGAGAGGGCCGATGGCGAAGTATGATGGAGGAGCGGTGTTGTATCGTATTCTACCGTGCCGTTGAGGCGTGCGCCGGCAGCCGCTGCGGAGTATCGTTTGCTCTGGGATTGATGCTGACAGCGAGGATGGAGGAACGGCCGGGGTCGGAGAAGGTACCGCGAGAGGGCTCGTATTGAGGGAGTTCTAGCGGCCATATCTAGGTCATTAACAGAGCACTGCCAGCTCAACAGAAGATGGAAGGAATTGCAGGAATTGAAGGCCAGCGGCGTGCAAGCAAAGTGTGAGCGGGCTGTTTGCTGCATTACTGGCGACGGCTACAAGCGGCTCTACCCCAGACCGGCTTTAGAAGGCCCAGTCGCGTAACTCCGCGCATCACGACCGGGATGTCGTCATTCGAGTGGTTCGAGCCTGCGCACGTGACTGCGGAGCTTGGGCCCTTGCATCCTGCGCAATGACGATCGTTCGGCGGCGGTTGGCCCGTTTTCACCCATATTTGCACAGTCGAGACAGAAGCCCAGCGCTTGGCCAAGCTGATTGTGTGGTCGCGGCAGACCCTACCGTATCCCGCCGCACGGACCCCACGTGCATCCCACCCACACATATCTGCCACGGACACCCTCAACCCCCCACCCCCCCAACGGTCACTCTGACAGCCGTCCACTGCATCGCGTAGCCAGCTATGGCAGCCGCCATCAGCGCCGCGCGCTCCTCTGCGGGCCGCGTCAATGGCTTGTTTTCGCCCCGTCAAGCCCGCCTCAACACGGTGCTCGCCTGTCTCCTCCACAGCTTCGCGCCCGTCGTCAGAGCTCTGCCTGTCTTCCAGCGCGCCGTCCACGCCTTCGCGGACGACGACCTGCCGAAATCGCCCCAGGATGCGAGCTTGTGGGTGTACCTTGGCACCGCGATTGCCCTGGTCTTGCTTGGAGGCGCCTTCGCCGGCCTGACCATAGCGTAAGTTGCTTCTCTCCGTGCCCTCGATTATCGAAGCGCTGACCGCCCGCCCCACCAGGCTTATGGGCCAGGACGAGATCTATCTTCAGGTTATCGCGTCGTCCGGCGAGGGCGCCGAGCGGAAGCATGCGAGGAAGGTGCTACGGCTCCTCAAGAAGGGCAAACACTGGGTCCTGGTGACGCTGCTGTTGAGCAACGTCATCACCAACGAGACGCTGCCCATCGTGCTCGACCGCTCTCTAGGAGGAGGCTGGCCTGCTGTCCTCAGCTCCACCGTCCTTATCGGTACGCTTGTCCTATCGCCACGGCTCCTCTGGCTGACCACAGGTAGTTATTTTCGGCGAGGTCGTCCCCCAGTCGATATGCGTGCGTTACGGATTGCCCATCGGCGCCTGGATGTCGCCCGTCGTCCTCGGCCTCATGTACATCATGGCCCCCGTCGCATGGCCGACCGCGAAGCTGCTCGACTACCTCCTCGGCGAAGACCACGGCACGACATACAAGAAAGCGGGCTTGAAGACTTTGGTCACACTTCACAAGACGTTAGGCACGAGTCCGGATGAGCGACTCAATGAGGACGAAGTCACCATCATCACCGCCGTGCTGGACCTCAAGGCCAAGGCTGTCGGCAGCATTATGACGCCTATGGACGATGTCTTCACCCTGTCGTCCGATACCGTCCTGGACGAGGGGATGATGGAATCCATACTATCTGCCGGCTACTCCCGGATACCTATCCATACTCCCGACAACCCGGAAAATTTTGTCGGCATGCTTCTCGTCAAGATGCTCATCACGTATGACCCCGAGGATGCCCTGCATGTTCGCGATTTTGCCCTGGCCACTCTTCCGGAAACCCGTCCCGAGACGAGCTGCTTAGACATCATCAACTTCTTCCAAGAGGGAAAGTCACACATGGTGCTTGTTTCCGATTACCCCGGCGAGACGCATGGCGCCGTTGGCGTTGTTACTCTGGAAGATGTCATTGAAGAGCTGATTGGGGAGGAGATTATCGATGAATCAGACGTGTTCGTCGACATCCACAAGGCCATCCGTCGAATGGCCCCCGCCCCGCGAATGCGTGTTCCCAAAGGCGCAATCGTGACTGATGCGTCGGTGCGAAAGCAATCGGAGGCGAAAAAAGATGGCGATACGGACGCTGATCAGGCTGGAGCGAACGGCCAGAGGAAGCTGTCTCTGCCGGAGACCCCTGGAGGGAAGCCGACCACATTCCTCGTCCGGCGCCGTAGCAGCGGCACCGGGGGCTCGCTGGATCGAGGCACTCTGACCCTTGCGCTCCGCAGCGACGACCCTGACTTCAGGCAGCATTTGAAGCATCTAGGGCCTTCGAATGTAGCCACAAGGCCCAAGTCTACCCGTATTCCCACTGTCAAGATCAAGCCCGGCATCCCGAACACAATTCCCGAAAATGCCCAGGGCTTTGTAAAAGGCTCCGACGTGGCCTCTCCACACGCTCCCCAGGGCGGAGTCGGCGAGGGCTTGCTAGACTCTGCAGGCCTTGAAGCCAGTGATGGTGTCCATAGTCTCGCAGTGGGTTATGGTACCATGGCGTCTGACCGTATGTCCTGGAAGAATGGCAATTCAAGGCTAAAGCCTGCAGATGACGATGAGCCCGCATCACCGAAGTCATCAACGGCGGTCGAGACCACAAGGATTATTATCAACAGTCGGGACGAGCCCTCGCGTTCCCGCGGGCGTTCGCGGTCCACTAGCACGCTTGGCTCATTGCACCCTGTTCCCTCACATTCTGGCAGCCCGCCGAGGAAACGGCACACAGCACGCAGCGGCAGCATCTCGGAAAATATCGTTGACGTGAACGGAGTGAAGAAGATCGTCTTGGAGACCACCAGTTCAAGTGACGATGAGAACAGAGGCATTACCCAGACTGACGGTGCGCAAGATCACAAACAAGCTTCCGAGGCGGAGAGTCATGGTACGGGTAGTCATGGGGGCGGTGGCAAGAAGAAGCGGAAGAAGCGAGGTAAGAAGAAGAAGAATGCTGGAGGAACTGGAGGCGAGTCGCAGCCGCTTTTGAGCGGTGAGCACAGCTAAACGTGAAATGTCTTGTTGATGCTTTGTGTCCAGGCGTTGTCAGCGAAGCTGTGTTATTCTTGTTTCCCGGCTTCAAAAGATTTTTCTAGGCATCGATCGCAAAACACGGCGCAGTAATGGGAGGCTGTCCTGTTATCTGTATCTTTGTATTATACATCAGCTTGGCCGTATGAGAGCCGATCAAGCAATCAATATTCATGGCCAACTGGAATCACGGGCAAGCCTTCAGAATCATGCAACCCTCTTCTCGTCGGTACCCGCCCAAACACACTTGTTGTGTCAACGTTCATTGCCGCAGCACAAGTGCTTACGTGAGTCAGCAACAGCACTCCAGATGCCACTGCCCAATGAAGAAGGGAAGTCTTCTTGCTGATGATAGGCACACTTGCCTGGCGGGTACATAGCCCCTTGTCGCACGAGCGTTCCCACCTACCGTTGGTAAGTAAAGCTGACGATATGGAATCAAAATAACGCTCAGATACGGTTAGCGCCCACCAGCGCTCAAACGTTTATATTGACCACACTCCACGCACTTCTTACTTGAAAGTGCATTCTTTTTCGTTACCGTCGCGCGAGATGCCTTCTGCACTAGTCCATGGCCTGGGGGCGCTGACTACTTCCATACTTTGTATCATTATCTACCGACTCTCCTTGCATCCGTTAGCCAAACTTCCTGGACCCAAGCTCGCTGGAGTATCGACGCTATGGCTAGCATGGCACGTGCGAAAAGGAAGAAACCACATCTTCATGCCAGAGCTGCATAAGAAATACGGACCAATTGTGCGGATCGCACCGAACCAAGTCCTCGTCTGCTCGGAAGATGCAATCCGACAAGCATACGGTACAATTCCCACAGTTCAGTTTCCTTGCGAAAGTAGCATCAGAAGGCTAATAAGGTACAGGCGCAGGAAGTCCCTTCACCAAAGGCCAATGGTACCAAGTCTGCGCGGCCCCCGACTCCCGCCGCAAAGGCGAGAACCGCTTCGATCTGCTCACCGAAACAAACATGAACCGGTACAAGCACCAGCGACGCGCCATTGGACCTGCATACTCCATCAAAGGCATGGAGAAGCACGAAGCGCTGCTGGACTCCTACATCACGCACTTCATTTCCACCCTGCATAGCCTCAATGAAGAGTTCGTCGATCTGAGCGAGTGGATGCACATCTTCGCTCTCGACGCGCTAGCCACTGTAACGCTATCCAAAAGCGTCGACTACACCAGTAAACGCAATGACGACGGCAACATGTCCGCAAGCGATAAGCACTGGGCGTACTTCACCGTCGTGGGGCTGTTCCCGTGGTTAGTCGAGCTCACGCAGAGTATCCCGAAAATCGGAATGTATCTCATGATGCCCATCGCGCTCGCCTTCGGTCTGCCAATCCCGACCGGTCTCCCGATTTTCAAATTCGCCGTACCGAATGTACTGGATCGGTTGTCCAAACTCGATAGTACGGCGGGGATTAAGCCGCCCGCGGATCGACCGGGGCTTGTTACCAGCGTAAGGGATACGCAGGAAGGCCAGGAGGTGGACGAAGATCCTCCGGGCGAGGAGAAAGATCTCTTGGCGAGCTTGATGAAACTGCATGCGGATAAGGAGGCGAGGTTCCATCCGGCGTGGGTGCTGGGCATTTCGTTAACGAATTTTGGTGCGGGACATGATACGACGACGATTACGCTGACGTCATGCGTGTGGAATATTGCGAAGCATGCGGAGGTTCAGAAGAGATTGCAGAGGGAGTTCCAGGAGAAGAGGATAACCAGAGAAAGTTCGTACACCGACATCGTTGGAGAAGTACCGTATCTATGGGCCGTTATGAAGGAGAGCATGCGCCTATTTCCGGCTATTGGTTTCATGATGCCCCGCGTCGTTCCCAAAGACGGTGCCAAAGTTGCAGGCAGATATCTCCCCGCCGGGACGACGATAGGGGTCAGTCTCTACGCCACGCACAGCGATTCCTCCATGTTCCCCAACCCAAAAAAGTTCCTACCCGAGAGGTGGTTAAGCGACGGGACAAAGGAGAAGAAGAGGGAGATCGGACGCTTGGATGCGTGTTGGATGGGCTTTGGCGGTGGGAGCCGGAGTTGTCCGGGGCAGTATCTAGCACGCTTCCTCGTAGTTCACTTGTTAGCGAGGCTAGTGCTGGAGTTCGATATGCAAGTGAAGGGGTCGCCGGTGCTGAAGGGGTGGTTTTCGGTGCATTTGCATGGTGTGGATGTGTCTTTTCGACCGAGGGTGTGAATAGAATTTGCCTAAGATCGAATTCAGTATGAATGGTGTCGAAGAAGTATCGTGGATTCCAGTTTACCAGTCTTTGGATATGCCCGTAGAAGGTAAAGAATGCAGTCGCAGTCCCAGAAGCCAAGCTGCATCGATGTGACGCATGTCTGTCTCTATGTCCACGTCCTGCGACGAACTGGTCAGCACTGATTGATTTAATCATGAAAGTACGTCCTCTCAAAATAGTCAACCAAAAAGTCTCCCCGGGCGAGCTTCAGAATGGATCCAATACCACTGCCAACGGCCCTAGAATATTGGTGAAGACCGTCCCTTTGCCATGCGCCAGGTGAACTGGATTGTGCCCTGTACCAAAAACAGACCATCGGCATATTGTCTTGCTGAGACTGCTCCAAGGCAGAGTCCATCATGGCTTAGCGTTGCTCATCCATCCAGTGTCGAAATTCAAAGAGAGTTGCCGATTTAATACCATGTCTACAAGTTTCTCTAGAATGGCCAATGAAAGTGATTCAGCACGGCCCACCGATCAAGCCGCTCCACAGGCGGTTCCACGAGCGACGGCCAAATTAACAGAACTCTGCTTCATCCAGCGTCTACCTCGAAGCTGTAATGCAGGCAATGATGTTTCCTTGCCGCCACGCATCCGAGTAAAGAAGGAAGCTAAGGATGCGTTTCCTCGATCGAGTTCCGGAACGCTTCTGTGATCTGTAGCCATTCCTTTCCCCGCGATGCCGCCCATTCGCGAACCTCCCGAATTCCGGTGAGGTCTGCCACCATATGCTCAGCAGACGTCGTCCCATTCAGCACTACAATTCCTTGATCCATGACCAGAGCATACAGCGCTACCGAGCTGCTCACCTCGGCCGACTTCGCGAGCATCGCGACCGGTTCCGACTTCAGCAAGCGCGGATTCCCGGTCAAAGTCCAGAAGGATTCATACATGATCCCGTGCTGAGCGCAGAAGGCGCGAAGTGGAACATCATACCGGGTCTGCGGGTAGAAGCGGTTTTGGACCACAGAAGGCTTGACTGCAGAGTTCTCGTGGATGGCCTGGAGAATGGGTAGAGTGACGTTGGAGATGCCCAGGCTACGAATCTTGTCGGGCACATACGACTCCAGGATCTTCCAAGCCTGGAGGGTTTGCTCGATCGTCGGGAGAGGTGAGTGCAGAAGAAGGCAGTCGATATAGGATCCTTCTTCAGAGTCATTCTTCAAGCGTAGATTCTTGAGCGAAGATGCCACTGAGGTGTGGACTTGGGTCTCTAGCGTAGCAGAAGGGTCATACGGCATGTTGTTCTGGTCCTGGCCAGCCGGAGTGGTGTACTTCGTTTGGAGCTACAAATACGCGTTATGCCTGGTGCAGGCAGGAAAGGACCCATAGACTTACGTATACATGCTCCCGCTTCACAACGCCACCCGCATACACCTCCCTCAAACCTTCACCTACGAGCGCCTCCTGATAATGCCTAGGCTGAGCCGCCGTATCCACCTTCCTGAACCCCTTCTGCAAGGCCTGCTTCACCAACTCCTTCGTCCTCTCCCTCTTCCACGCAGTCCCATAGATGAACAGCGGCTCCCAATGAGGCTCGCTCGAAAGCAGCCGCGAGGGCGCCATAGATGATGTGGCTACAGATGCCATTCTGCGATTAGACGAGGAGGCGATGCCCATGCGAGGTGTGACGCGAGGGATAGATGGCAGAGTCCTCGGGCAAACTGAACATGCGCAGGGTGAAAGACCAATGGATCTCAGCCAAGCGCATCTCCATGTGAATTGGCCATGAGATGCGACTCAATAGCCGACGTGCGTAAGGTCTTGACGAGGCGCTGACGTCGCATAAGACTGGGCTTACTAAGCAACTCGGCTCGGAACCGGAATGGCGGGGCTCGAAATTCCGAGCAAAGCTGCTCGAAGGCTGCAAGCTTAACCACCACCCCCGATAAATTTATACCCCAAGCTCAACCTGCCTCTCCAGAGCCTCAAATCCTTGACGAAGAGAAGAGACACAATGGTCCACTCCAACGGTCCCCGCGACCCAATCGCCGGCCCCTCCACCGTCGAGCCACCCTTTCCCATCAAGCTTCGAGGCCCAGTCATCAAAGGCTTCGGGCGAGGCAGCAAGGAGGTATGCCAGTCCAACCAACCACTCTCCAAACATTCATGGGGAACTGTTCTGACCTTGCCCGCGCCAGTAGCTCGGCATCCCCACCGCCAACATCCCGCTCTCCGGCCTCAGCGTCGGCGGCCACGACAACCTCACCTCGGGCGTCTACTACGGCTACGCCTCGCTCGACCACTCCACAATCCCGCTGCACACAACCGCGACCTCTATCCCCTCCGCCGACCCCTCTAACCCCCTCGCCCCCATCCCCAGCAAGTCCTCCAACCACGCCGTCGCCGACCTGGAAGAGCCGCCCACACAGCCCCCATCTCGTCCCTTGACACCTTCCCACGCCAAACCCCTGAAGATATACCCCACAGTGCTAAGTATAGGGTATAATCCGTACTACAAGAATCCCACGCGGTCGATCGAGATTCATCTACTGCATAGCTTCAGGGAGGACTTTTACGGCGCGACACTGAGCTTGGTGATTCTGGGATATATAAGGCCGGAGTATGATTATGTGAGTAAGGAGGCCTTAGTGGAGGATATTAGAGAGGATGTACGCGTTGCACAGAGGAGTCTGGACCGAGAGGGGTATAGGAAATGGCAGGATGACCGGTGGTTGTACGGAGAGGGAGAGGGCAAGAGCGAAAACGGGGAGGCGGTGCTGCCGGGAAAACAAGGGGGAGCGGGACAGAAGGATGAGGTGGCGATGTGTATGATGGAGAATTGACCCCAAGTCGATGACGGATCGATTCTGGGTGACTGCAATATCAGCATACGTCTAGATATAACGTGCAAACATCTCCATGCAAGTAGTCACTATTCAACTGAAATATCAATAATAAGCTAGGTAATCTCATATCTCCCGCATACCTCCCCCTTACGCCACCGGGCAAACACCCGTTCACGACCACTCCAGCCAATCAAAGGCTAGAAGTAAACTCCCATTAGCCATTACCCCAGTTTTTTTTTTGGCGGGTATCCCAACGATCATCGCTTCCAACGTCAAAATGTGAAGACAGCAAACCAAGGCAAATCGACAATCATCGCTCGTCAGCCAACACACAGCGTACAAGTACAACTGAGAGCGCGAAAGCATGAGCAGAAGGGAAGAAAAACAGGGGGGATGCGAAAAGGAGAATTAAGCCCATATGCAAAGTAGACAGGAAAAAGACTTTTTGTAGCCGCCAGCGCGTGTCGTCGTTATTCAGTGCCTCGTGTGTCCGAAGTTATGCTGCCCAAGATGCCGAAGGGAATATCGCGGAGGTAGAAGAGATCATAGGGAAAGGAGATACAGCCGAGGTAAATAGTCGATATGCATCAAGGCTTGAGCATGGGCATGATCTATTCGCGTATTAGCGATCCGCATGTGAATGCGAGGGGTAAGGGGCACTCACATGTATGGTGACCAACAACGGCATATCGAAGTTGTCGCGCTTGATATGCCACATGATCATGCAGTCAATGAGGCCGTTGGCGCTGAGGTTCCTCATTGCCGCTTCGCCCTGATGTATCGAACCATCCTCAAGCTTAACAGGGAGCTCATGCTTTAGAGGCTTGCCGTTCTGTGCCGTCTCTCCCATGCGGCCCATATCTTCTTTCGTAAGGTACCGAAGTAGATTGGCGCGGCGATGGCCTTTCCCCAGGGCGTCGCCGTACGCGAGGTCGGCAAAATCCTCGAGGTATTGAAGGGATGACGGCTCGTCCATGAGTTCGATGACGTTGACCGGATGCAATGTGTTGTCCGGTTCCTGGCCGGCCATGAGCGGCGTGGTATTTGTTTGAGTGGATAGCGAACTGTCGTTCGCCCGATCGCCATCACTTGGCCCCATGTTCGCGTTGAGGTTCGGTACTTGCCCCAAGAGGATGTCGCGCCTCCAGCCGGTGAGTATCTCGAATTCCTTGTTCATGCCTACAATCTCCCCTGAGCGGCGACAAATCAGATATGGAACGCCAACCTCAGCGTAGTTTTCTTGGAGAGTGATGAGGGACCGCTGCAGATTCTTTTCCGTGTATACGAGATCGTCGCGCGTAAGTTCTTCCGCCATTGACAACAATATAGGTCGGAAGACACCCAAGGCCGTAATAGCTCGCTTCCGCGAAGCTCCTGAATATCTGCGCTTTATCAAGTTGAAGAGCTCATGGAACGCGCGGGTATAATTGTGAGGCTCTCTGATGCCTTCGTAGATGGCTTTGTAGTCCCGACGCCGTTTCCTGATTGCATTAGGCTGCAACGGTCTCAGCGGACCGCCCGGCAGACGGTTTTCCTGCTGCGTGCGATTCACCGTGGGCGAGTGCTGCGGGTGCGGCTGACTAGGATTGGCGAAGAAAGCCGCGGCGGACAGAGGATTATCGTTCTCATAGCCAGAGTTCACGTCTGTCGATGCGGGACTGGCGCTCGAGAGGCTGGATGGACCCTGGCCAATAGCGTAAGCGTGCGGGCCGTTGAGACTGTCATGCCGGTTGTTCGCGTGGTCTATAGTAGTTGTGACCGGAGTATTGTTCGGGGTCTGTATCTGAATGCTGCCATGGCGAGAGTGCGCATTCTGCCACTCGGCGGTGGGTAAACCATCGGGACCAAATGGCATGTTAGTTGGCAGACCGTGATTTTCGTACGTCGCAGAGGACATTTGCGGGTTGTACAGATGAGCTGCCTGATTGAGAGGATTCATGGTGGTATCGTTCGCGTGAGCGTCGCCAGCGCCTGCCGACATGTGACCAAGCATACCGAGTTCCAAAGCGCCATAATGGTTGCCAAAGTTAAGGCTCGAGATGTCAAAGTTGAACAAGGCTGGGTCGCTGGGGTCGAAGAGCGGCCCGCCAAACTGGTGCATTTGGGACGAGGACGCTTGGGAAACCGTGTTCGGGTTAGTTGCAACGGCGTTGTGGTTCGTTTGACTGTAAGGAGGCGATATTGGAGCCTGTGGGTTGCTGAATGCCGGTTCCTGGCTGACCGGCGCATGGCCCGGTATGGAGTTCGTTGCATAGTATGTTGTCGAAGGAGCCTGCGTATAGTAGCCTCCCTGCCCGCCAGAGACGGCTTGTGGGTCCTGACTAGGGATGGGCACTGGACGGTTGCCGTTCATATGAGGATAGTGTCCACCCACACCAGGCATCAGCGCTCCGTCCGGCGCATCGTGGAGGTATTTGGCCTTCTTGCGCACGCCATCCATGCAATGATCCTGAAGACCACGCTTGATGCATCGATGGCAAGGCCGCTCGTCGCCTACATTGGTGCGTTAGAAAAGCCATGCACCGACTACAGGAATGGAAACTGTCTATGCTCCTATGTGCATGTTGAGGTGGATGCGCGAGAAGGGGGGTTTTGGAGGGCGTTCATACTCACCGCATGTCAGATGTGCTCGCTGGCAAGCAAAGCACGCTCTCCGCGCCTTCTTCCTGCGCGGTCTCGTCGGGTCCTTTGCATTCGATGCGGGCTTTTGGCCGTTGGCGGTCTTCTGGTCTGGCGAAGCGGCGCCGGAGTGCGGCTCAGTTGTCTGTTCGGCGGCCATGTCGCTCCCGTCTGGATCACCGCTGTATTCCGGCGAGGGAGATGCATCTTCGGCGTCTGGGGTGGTCATAATAACCCCTCTACGATACACAGGGACCACGGCTGGGACGGACACGGTCGCGAGCTACGGCCGGTGCTGCAGGCGCACGTTTCTCTCAGCGTGCAGCCGTCAATGTTGCGTCGGGCTCCTCCCAGGGCAACGGGTCAGCCAATGCGGGCAGGGCACACGGCTGGCGGCGTCCCAGCTGCGTGTTTCGAGGATGCGATCACGCGTGCGCTGGCTGCTCGAACGGGCGCTGCCGTGGCACACTGACAGGTCCTCTGGCGGCGTCGAGGGGACCCAATGGGCGGTGGCGCCTTCGCCTGCTTCAATCCGGCGGACAGGAATGGAGCAATGCTATTGTGACACAGAGCTGGGGTCCATACAGTCGAGGGGGCATTCGAGGAGCTCGCGGGCGCATCATGGCAGACGCAGAAACCGGTCTCTATCAGCGCGCGCTTCCCATGCTGCTGGAAGCGAGCTGGAGGGGGGGCGAGGCTCCGTGTGGGCAGGGAGATGCGGGTGCAGCGAGGTGGGCGGGAGGGAGGGCGTTCGAGGGCTGGCAGGCAGGGCAGCAGAGAGCAGGCCCTGGCGACGCTGTGGGACGGCGCTTGGGAGGGCTGTGTCGCGCCGTGGAGGGTGCGGCGGCGCGCGTCTGGAAGCGGCAGTGGCGACGGGGCGGCGACGGCAGGCGCGGGTTTGGAGCGCGCAGGGACTGCAGCAGAGACGAGTGCGATTGCTGTTCCCAAGTGCTGGCCCGCGCCGTCGGAGGGTACGGGCGATGGAGGGGGAGGTGGAGATGGCGGTGGTGAAGGGTGTCGTGCGGGCAAATGCGGGGAGCAGCTGTATGCGGTCGAGGGTCGCAAAAACTAAGCCTCGGATAGGCGGCATTTGATTGGTGCTCGTGAGCCCCGCATAACCGAAAGCCGCAGGAGCGCACCTGGAGCCCAGTCGCCCACTAGTCCCAACCGGGGCGAGCTCTGGCACGCGTCGCAGCGACGACACCCCGTCGTTCCATGCATCCGCCTCCCGCTTCACCGCCCAGTAGTCCGCCAGCTGCATGCCCACGCCCAACAGTCTGGCCTTTGGTGCAGAGGAGGTGGGCGCCCGCTTCACGCCCGCTCCACGCCCGCTTCACACGCCCAGCCTCCACCGCGCGCTCTCCTCCGCCACGGCCCAACGCCTGATCAACTCGCATGGCAGATCGAAAAGCAAACATCCGCCGCTGCTCTTTCTCACGCGCTGCGACGACGACGACTCGCCTGCGGGCGTGCATGCAGGATGTGATCAGGGGCCTTGGCAGCGAGATCCCATTAGCTCCTCGCATGCTCCGCGCGCCCTGTGCTACCGGCTATCACCATTCTACACCTCTTCCTCGACTCTCGCTAGCCTGCTGTGTCCCCTCGACTGTCTCTCTCCCTGTGTCTCTGCAATCCGACCACGTTCCCTCGCGCCGGCGCGCCGCTCCCCTAGCCAACGGTATCATCCGCAACCGCATCGGGCCCCGCGTCTCCGGCAACCCTCGAGCTGGCCCGGCTTCCCTCGTGGCGCCCAAGTCGCGTTGCACAAAGGCCCGGCCAGCCTGCTTCAACTGGTGTCACGTGTGGGCGCAAAAACTTGGTCATTCAATAAATCATGGATCGCATGCAACTGCCGTGCAACCTCTCTATTCTTAGTTCCTTTCCACTCAAATCCGCCACATACTCTTCTCCCCCGTCCCGCTCACTCTATGCTGATGCAAAGCGACTGTTGCCCCTGAGTCTCTGGCCAAATCGAAAGAAGAGGATGGGGAATCTAGTGACACCACGCAGTTAGCCACTTCCGCGACCGCACTGCCGGGACGCCTTCTTACGGGGACATGGCGAGGGCCAGGAATGCCAGCAGCGTCGTCGCCCATTGGTAGCCAACATCTTTCCCAATCAGTGACCGCCTTTTCATCAAACTGTCGCGCTTTCAACTCACTGTTGTACATCTGCACACCAAAGAGAGGGAAGGCCGCGGCAAAGTACGATCGCGCAAAACTGTTGGCTGCCAGTGCGCTTGCCGCATACAATGGGTACTGGTCGGCGAGGTCAATACTGGGTCCAGATACTAGGTCCGACTTCGGCCAACTCACGGCTTCGACCAAGAAGGTAAACACTCCAGAGTACACCCAAATGACGCTACGTCAGCAGAGAGAGCGGTCAGCACATTGTCCATCGATGACACCTGCATGTCCAGAAAGGGGAACAATACCCTACGCCAAAGACGGCTGAGAAGATTATTGGAGCTGCGTAGCAGGTGATCAGCTATTATTGCGACTCGCCAATATGCGGGTTGCTGCCGTACCTATCCAGTGCACCTGCAAGCCAAGGGTATCAGAAAATCTGAAGCAGCCAAGTTATCAGATCCTTTACTCACATGCGGATACGTGGTCCACCCAAACCCTGCATGCATCGCCATTAGCAGCATCCTAATGCCAATGGCCTGCAAGAGCTTACCAAAGAGTGCAACTGGGACGAGAAAGGCGCCAAATATCGTTGGAGGGAGCCGAAACTCTGGTTCAGAGCCGCCAGGCTCGCCCCCTTGCGCCTCACGCTGCTGCACGAGCCTGCTGTAGCTCTTCCTCCACAGCGGATCAGCCGCGATTCCGGACAGCATACCTACGAACAGTCCGAGGAAGGAGAGCCCGGTCTGGGATATGGAGAAGCCGTGATTGACCTCGAAGACGAGGGGAAACGCCCCGAAGAACAGGTACAGGATTCCCAACAGAATCGCGCTCAATATGCAGAGGTTGAGGCACTGAAGCACCGCATTAGTCCACCAATCATAACCCCAACCATAGAGGACGCGCCCACCATTGGTTCGAAGAAGAGCAGTTGAAACGGCCTGATGCAGGACCAGAGCACCGTCTTTGCGATGGACCTGGTCATCTTCTCGATTGGCGCTATCCACTCGGAGTTTCCGGTTTCTTTTCGCAATCGGATAGCCTTCTGGCGCAGAAGCACTGGGTGGTAGGTCTCAGGCACGAAAAGGACGATTAGGGCAAGCTAGAAGCGTTATTAGTCTCCAAGTCTCCGAGAGCACTTCACTGCCTACCTGAAGCCCAGACCAGATGGTGAGCAAATAGAAACACCTGTCACCGTCAGCACACCGTTTCCCAATGATAGCGCCAATACAATGGGCGCCGGAGGACGCGAAAGAGACCACTTGAAGCGATCACCGGAAACCCCTCTCGGGAAGGAAGCAAGATCTCCAGTGGCCCCTGGTAATATGCAAGATCGTTCAAGGGTCAGAGGCTCCCCTTACCATCTCCACGTAGTGTTTTGCACAATAAATCCCCCCACGAGAGGGCCGATCTCGGGCCTGGTTAGGCGTCAGCCGGCGAAGCAGGGCAGTCGAAGGGGGCGTCAATACCCCACGAATGGGCTTGCGGTATACACCATCATTGGCGCAGACAGCTCCTTCAGAGGCGTCAGTATCAGGCATCAAGGCGCAGGAACGTGCATGCATAAACTAACGTGTTTCGCAAACATGTCTCCCACAGTTCCGCCAGCCACACTCAGGAAAGCGCTGCCGGCCAATCCGTCGAGGAAGCGTGCCACTAGCATCGTCTGGATATTGCGCGCAACTGCGCACGGAACCATGAAGATGAGGAAGAACGAAAAGGAACAGATATAGATCGGCCTGCGGCCGTAGAACTGCCCGCGCGTGTTAGTCTGCAGGACATGGAGGGTCTTGCCCTGCACGCTGCGCTGCCCGGACGACGCACCTCAGAAAGGGGAGAAAGAATCATAGGTCCTGTTCCTAGGCCTGCGACGAAAAGGCTGAGTCCCAAAGTGCAGATCAGCCGCGAGGTGTGGAACTCGGGTATCAGCTGACCGTAGGTGCTTGTATATAGTGACGACGTGCAAGTCCTATCGATAATCGTTAGCTTGTGCACTCATCTATTTTAGATGCCGTGTGAGAGTACGTACACGCACAGCGAACTAGCACTGACGATGAGGACAATGGCCCAGCGTCGTAGCTTCGTCATACTCCGCGGATTCATTGGGTCCGCGTCTCCATCCCACTTGACTAGGAAAGGTTCATCGGCGACAGTACCACCTCTGGATATGTTCGGTCGTTCTTCGTCGAGGCAGGTGTATCCGTCTGCTCCAGCGCGAGACTGGTGCGACTTGATCGAGCGTAGGCTTCTGGCATGAGGCAACCCGGGTCTGTCGGAGTCGTGCGAATGGGACGAGATTTCGTCGCCGTCCAACGCTTCTTTCCCAAAGCCATCGAGTCCAATCTCGTCCGTCTTCTCTTCGTCGAGGCTTGCATTCAGCTCTTCCCTGTTCTCAAAGTCAATTGATGAGCTGTCTTCCAGCCCGTCCCTAGTGGCGCTCTCGCTCCTTCTTGGTTTCTCAGTCATATCTAACGTGTAATTGGCCACTCTTCCCGGTCAGATTTCGTTCAGCGACGTCTGTAATCGTAGTCTGACACACCCTTCACGATGCCTTCGAATCCGTCGGCGTTATTTTAAAATTTATTCGTCTCTACCCCACTCGGATTTAACTCGCTTTGGACCGGCCCTAGCAAATTCCCATTCGATGACAAACGCGCTCGTCATGGGAAATAAACCCTGCGGAAGATCCAGATTGACCCGGAAAAGTTTCCGCGCAGGCCGAAGCCGCCGATTGGGAGAAGACCATCACAATCCGAGTTTGACGCTCCACCCGGGCACAGCTAGTGGCAACTTTCGTAGGTGGGGGTCCTATTCCTTTGGAGATAGACGCCTGTGCCGCTCGGTCGGTCGCGTCTTTCGGCTCGCGAACGCGGGAGTGCTTTACCGAAACCATCGAGAGCCCCAGATCTAGTAAGCCCTTCCGCAGCCTAAAGAGCACCGTATATCTCCGTTATGTCCTGTAGTTGCCGTTGAAGCTCGATTCTGGATACTTCCTCGATTGCTAAGACCAGCAGGTAAACTTCGGCCGTAAGTGAGGCTCCAGTCGGATACGCCAGCAAAGGGGACAGAGGGTATTAAGGAGCACAGGATCGGTGCTGATTTTGGGAGACTTAGAACATCTGAGTTGAATTAGCTATTGTATTGTTTGGAGTCTGCATTGCCGAGTGGGAATTTTCCTCTCCGCCAGAATATCTCTCACAAATGTCGTCCGGCAATCCGGAAAGAAAGGAACGGCGCGGACACCACAAAATCCACAGGTCCAATAGCTTTCTCTTCCTCTCCATGCAGAAGGTTATCATGACTGTACGGGAAGCGTCGCTCCATCGTCCTTCAGCTAGGAAGGAATTCATACAAATGCCTCGCTAGCAACAAAGCGAGAAGCAAGACGATGTGGAAGACATCGACTCCGCTGACATATCTCTAAATTAGCACCTACTAAGTAAAGCAGATCCTCCAGGTAGTTCAGCTCATCGACCAGCCAACGAGGCTGGTGTAGTCAAGCACCACTCCCACGCACAGAATCATCATGAGTAGCCAACGATCCCAACCAGTTCCTTTCCATCGAACGGATTCGAGCCAGGCATGACAGAGGGCGCTGGTAGTTTAAAGACCTGCGTCAGCAGCGGCATCTCTTTTTGGCTGCTTTGAGGTCCGATCCTGGGCTTCGCGCATGCACATCCGTGCAGAAATCGAGGAAGACTCCGCCGCATGCAAGCTTCCATAGGCTAGTACAAATCTTCAGCAGAAAGCCGTCTACGCCTTAGGACCAAGGCCATTGTTCCAGACTCGATACAGTGTTCATGGGCTCAACGAGAAGACCTCCCAGGAAACCAGCTGCGGCAATGAGCACGAACCACCCTATTGTGCTCAGAAGAGAGGCGTGCGGCAGACCATGCACATATCCCCAGTCAGACTATTGTTGATCCTTTGAGGAAGCAGACTTTACCGAAGAGGTGGTTGCATGGCAGGATCCGGACTGCGCATGTGCCCTCGTTAAAAATGTCGACGTGGTTTGCTAGGATGATGCGGGCTCATAGGAAGGTTAGCTTCGAGATTAGTACAGAGGCCATAGCAGAGTTGCAAAAGGAAGTTACGTGAGAGTCGAAGGATGGTTTGCGGAGGTTTAACCGTTGTGCTAAAAAAGGCGACTCGTCCTCCGTTGTATGCGTGAAATGCGTTTGTTTGCCCTGTGCGGTGACTGGATCAATCGCGGATGCGTTCTGGCTGTGTACGCCGATGAGGGGAAGCACGAGTAGAACTGGATCAGAGACCTTTACCAACCGCCCAAGGTGGTTATCACCCTAAACAAAGGTGAATCTTGATCTGGTATTCCCAGCGTCCTTTCCACCAAAAACATTCGAGCTTCAACAACCCCGCGTCCTGGATTTCTCAGCGTCTTGACTCAGTACCATCACCTCAGGTGCACTCACTATATTTCTCAATCTCAATTCTCTAAACACCTCCACCCCACCCTAGCACCACATAGACCACAGCACCCAAATTCCCATCCCAACCTAACGCCTTCACGGCTTGACCACCGGTCCACAAGCCCCTGGCAACATCTCTCCACCCGGCGGCCTTCCTCGTTATCACTAGATTTGCCACGACGAAGCCTCCTGAGATCGAAATGCTCTGCATGACATCGGCACCGCGCAAGCTTACGCGACCAGAATGCGGAAGGAGAAGGATGACCCGGGTCATAAGTACCAGCGGTATGAAAACCAGATGATTGCGGAGGCGTGGAAGAGCGATAAGGGAGGCATTTAGAAGGATCGTTGGCAATGTGAGTGAGGTCTTCTTGTAAGTCTTCTTTGGCCGGTTGGGACCGTTGGTGTTAGCAGTGTCGGCCTGTTTTTCTGATGCTGGCGCTGCGCTTGACTGTAGATCCGAAGATGAGAGATGTAGCTGTATAACAAATAGCGATACCGTGAGAGAGACGGGTAGAATCTGGCCGAGCATAATATACGGAAACATCATCTTGCGATCGAATCTGCGCTCGCTTGCTACAGTTCCGTCAGCACCAACGAATCTCCAACATACAATGCTCGAAACTCACCTTTCCCAGCCATCCAAATATTCCAAAACCAAGTGCCCACAATCGCCGCCTGCGTCCACGCGGTGCTCGGGCCATCCCTAACCAACTCTTTCGCGAAGCTTTCAAACAGTGAAGTCTCCAGCATCCATGACTTGAGACTCTCTATCGTCATATCCGTTTCCCAGAGGCCCTGAGGTCCAGCCCAGTTCGTGTACGATGCGATGAGGAAGCCGAGCATGTGATACGAGAGCGTTGCGAAGCTGATGGAAGAGAGAAAGGCATAGATGTTGATGTGGCGTGCTCGGACACTCTTGATGGCTTCCGTTTTTTTATCGTCTTTTGCGGCATTCGCACTGAAGAATATGGCAATGTATTGACGGTACAAGGAGAGCAAAATAGAGGTCGTGAAGTATAGAGCAAGAACGATGTAGGAGAGAAACAGCGTAGATCCCAGAACGTTGTACGGAGGGGTCGCACGCGCGACCAGGGCATCCAAGCCGTACATCTTGAATTTTGACGCACTCCTCGAGCGTTGAGAGGATATTCTTCGTGGTATATATAAGACGCATTGCAAATAAGGACACATAGTCAACAGTGTTCGGAACGCGATGGATGACGTCATGAAACAATTGGTGTCTGAAAGTTCGGGCATCGCGACAGCACCGCAAGAATGGTTCGAGACGGCAACAACAACCGAGGGTTTATGTTTTGCCAGTTATACTTCTTCCTTAGAGGATTCTAGACTTTCCCAGATCAAATTACGTCCACTGTGGCCAACTATTCATCCCCCCATATGCAATACCCTCTTGCGGTCCCTCCGAAGAGACAATATGCCCCGGCTCACACTTGCTGAACGCCACCTTCGGCTGGCTCTCATAGAACGCATCGTATTTCGCATCCATCGCATCGCGCAAGTTCACCACACCCCCCTTCGGATGAACCACAGACCATGGATCCGTACAGGATGAAGCACTGCAGCTTTTGAGCACCATGAGCAGTGCGTCAAGACGGTTTTGGGTTTGCGCGATGGGGCGCGCCAGGAGATAGGTCGAAGCTTGGGTGGGTGCCGCGAGGTTGGTCATCTGGCCGGGGTCGGTCTGGTGGTTGGGTTACTGGGTGCAATGGGATGGTAGGATGTGGTGAAGAAGGGTACTTACGTTCATATCGTAGAGCTCGTGCTCGTTCGAGCACCAGACAGTGTACGACAAGTTATACGTATCCCCAATGACGCGTAAAGATTTGTACGTATTATTTGCCCATGCCACTGTACAGCATCGTCAGCGAAGTCTAAACCACTCGGCAGATCCAGAGCTTGATACTTACTCCCACCAGCAGCATTGCCTCTCACAGCAAACTTCCCCTCCTCAAGGCCCACGCCCCAAAATTCCACCCCAACATGGTCACGCTTCCGATTGCTCATCGCTTTGGCCACCGCGCCGTCAGTGACCGGAATCGGCGTCCCGTCGAACTCGCTTCTCTGTTTGATGCCCGCGAGATCGAACAGCGTCGGCACGACGTCAGTATGCGACGTAACAACATCGATGACTCTCCCTGCTGCAGTACTAGGCCCTCGGATATAGAATGGGACGTTGATATCCTCTTCGGTGGCGCACGTCTTTCCCGCCTGTAGTCTATGCTGTCCGATGTGGAACCCGTTGTCAGAGGTGTATATAATGTACGTGTTATCCAGGATTCCGTATTGCTCCAAGCGCGAGATAACACCATCGACAAGTTCATCTATTGCTTGAAGCGACTGTAGTCGAGTGCGGTAGAATTCGTCCCCATATTCGACAACTGTGTCGTTTAGTTGATCCAGTTGGTATATCCAGCTTGCCATGCTTGGCTATGACCGCGTGTTAGTAACCCAGATCGGTGGAAGGTATGAAGAGTTGGGAACTCACCACATCCGGGTTGAAGTTGTACGTTCTCGGAACACGCGCATCAGGGAACAGATCCTTGTGCCTGGTGGCAGGACTGGGTTGAGTAAATGCCCCGGAACCCGGCCAGCCAGCATGAGGTGCAATAGGAGCGACGCCGAGGAAAAACGGTTTCGAATCCTTGCTCGCCTGCTCGAGCAGACCTAGAGCTCGGTCTTTCACGAGATCGGTGTTGTACTGGCCGGGGTAGGTGACTGGCGGAGATGTATTTTTCTGAAAAGTCGCGTTCCAGTAGTTGTAGGTCCCTGGATCGACAAGGACTGGTTGGCTGGTCAGGATATCAATGCAATGAAGGAGAGAGAGGGAGTGGTACAATCAGACGCCGTCCATCCACCCGGCAGAGGATCGTTCCAATTATTTATCGAGTGCGAGTTCATCAACTTGCCGACGTAGTACGTATTGTATCCTTCCTTTTGCAACCAGACTGGGAGATAATTGTCGTTCAGTCCTTGAGAAACGAATTTTGGGTAGCCGCCTATGCTTATGGTCAATACGTCCAGCTTCTTCGACGATCGGGTGCCAACGTACCATAAGGTGGGTTTACATCCGTAACATTGGTGTTATGAGACATCCTGCCAGTCAAAAGACTCACCCGAGACGGGCAGCAAACGGCGATAGTGCAGTAGTGTTGTCGGTAGAAGGTTCCACCCCGGGCCATGTGCTTCTGGACTAGTGGCATATAATCCATAGACGCGAGGTGCAAGTCCTGATCATCGCTCAGAATGAGGACGAAATTCGGACGAGATTCATAGCTGGAGCTGGCAGTAGCAGTGATAGCAAAGCAGCTGAGAAGCGCGGTGAGACATAGTCGGGAAAAGATGTTGGAGAAGAATATGTTGAATTAAGTCAATTGGGAAGGGAAGTCGCCGGTAAGTCCGCGTGTGGGGAGGCGCCCTGGAGTGCGAATATATATTGTAGATAGCCGGGAGGTGAATGGGAAATTTTCGGCCGAGGGAAGTGAAGGTGAAATGTTCATTATGGCCAAGACCTGGGATACCGCAAACCCCACAGAATACTAAGGCCCGAACGTTCAATGAGAAGTGCCTGCTCTTCCTCTACGATCAGAGCGGACATCACATTCATCCTATCCGTTACTCTAGCGACACCAGCAAGATTGAGGATCGCCATTTGTCCCTGCTGGGTGAGGGAGTTGGGGTCAAGCTACAGCCTCGAATAGGCAGCTCTACCAGTTTTCAACGATTTGCGGGGCAGCTGAGTCTCCTCGAAGAAGACGTCACTCGAAGCTGGGGTCCATGTCCTTAGGAGTTTGGATTGAGGGCAGGTCCCAGTGCCGAGTGAAGAGGGTGATGGCCGAGTCTCAGCGAAAGATCGCTATGAAAAGAAGGGATTAGGTCAAGGTAAGGCGTCATTTTAGCTACATCGTCCTTTGATTAGAGATTTCGATGCGATTGGAGTACGTATACCCTCACCTACGGCTACTTTTTCGCTACCCCACGCGGCCGTTACCGATTTGCGGGAAATGAGATCTGGAGATGCGGGCTGTAATCTGAGAACGTTTTAGTATAAGGGGAACATACGAGCTATCCAAGTACTGATCAAACCAGCTTACGTTCGGCATTAGCCTATCCCATACGCTCCGCGCTCGCCTACCTGTACCGCGTCGGCATGAGTTCTTGCTCATGTCTAATCTAGTCTGGAAAGCCGGGCGCAGTGGGAACGGAGTTCTTCCCGAAAGTTATTGCCGAGAGGCTCTCAGCAGCAGGAGGCCGGTTAGACGACGTCGCCTTCTGTTTTCATAGGTTAAAGAGGATCGGTAACACGCTGCACAAAGGGATTAGGATTTGTGAACACCTCTCCCCTCTCCCCTCTACTCTCCAATTTCGCTTACCCTTCGCGCTTTATCACCAACCGAACTTAGTCTTGCTTCGTCCCACCACGACGACCATATCAGTCCTTTCTACAGTTGTGATGACATCATCCCAACTGTGCAGTTCTGGGGCAATTCGCAGTGACCCATGAAGGATATTATGGCGTACTTTTGAGATCGCAGCGCACAACATTTCGTCTCTTCGGCAATAGTCGTAAAAGCCCGACCACGCGGACTCGAGAGTTCGATATCGCATTTCGGGCTGAGCTTCCCTGCTCGCAGCGATGCACCTCCACCAACGCGGTCTCGTATCAACGTTCTTCCGAAATATCTCGCAAGCCCTGGTTCTTCTCTTTCCACTTCTGCCATGGAGCCCAGGATCAGTAATTCCATCACTTTCAAGAATGTCTGATGGGGTGAAAATTCCAACGGTTATTTGGAATGCGTGGCCGATTCGAGCGTGTAAAGGAACCGGATAGAGGACTTCTTGTCGAATTGGACGGACACGGGCAGCAATCGTGATAGTAGGGTGACTAGTTCCATGACAGTAACGAGAAACAAGAAAAGACCATGACAAGGGCGTGAAGATAAAGAAATGCCCACAGGAGTATCAGAGGCCAACTTTGGGTATCACTACTGCAACCCGCAGCTATTCGGGTGGACTATCTCCTACCTGTAAGAGGGCATTCATGATGAGCTCAACTGAGCCCTCAAACCTCCCTTGCCGACATTCATGGCGCGCTCAATCTCGATCTCCTCCTCGCGTAACCTGCCTCTGCCGTAGGCAAGTTCGCGCTCCTGTTTTCGTCTCTCTTCTCGGACGCGCCTCTCACGCTCCGCAAGAGCCCTTTCGCGTCGCCGCCGCTCCTCCCGCCTCTTCGCCGCTTCGGCTTCTTCCTCTGCTGATGCGGCGCCCCCCTCCGGCGCCCGAGGAAGCGTCGATATGTATGTTTCAATAAGGGCTTCGCGGGTTGATGGTGACAGTGAAATGTATCTAAGGTCAGTTAATACTGCGGAGGGAAGAGTATCGAGTGTGGTCGAGCGATTGAGCGACACCAAGGGTTGCGCTTTTAGTAGTGCTGCGAGATCGGATTTCAGCTCGGAGGACCTCATGCCTAGTCTCTTGATGTGATCGCGGTACAGCTTCTCCTTCTCTTTGTCCGACAATTTCGTATCCTTCATTTCCGGCTCCTTCTTATACTTCCTCCGAAACTCGGGCCAGTAGAGCTTCGGCGTGGCGTATCGGTCGAGGAAGGCTAAGTACGGTCCTCTTGGGTCTAGCTTCTGCTGCTTCGCCTTTTGTTCTTTGAGCAAATGGATCTTTTCCCGTGTCCATTCGTCGAAGCAGTCTTTCCGCGCCTTCATATTAGGTAGCGCTTTATACCGTTCGTCGTCGTATAATATGCCGCCCTCAAGGACCTTCTCCCATGGTGTGTAAGGGCTGATGCGCGTGTCGTCTAGCAGTTCCTTAAACAAGGCCTTGCAATCCTCCTCTGATAGGGGCGGCTCCTCCTCCTCCTCCTCGTCGTACTCTTCGTCGTATCCTCCCTCCATCTCTTCCATCTGCGCCAGTTGCCAAGCAAGGTCATCTTCACCTATGTCCATGGGCGGATGCTCACCAAGCTCCTCGGTCTTCTGTCGCTTCGACGGATGCTCGGCCTCTTCCCCTTCGTCATCCGTGACCTCTACCTCCTCGTATTCTTCCTCATCCTCCATACCCTCTTCGCCCACTACCTCGACTATTTCCTGCTGCATTTCGTCCTCGGCTGCGGCGAGGTCTGCCTCTATCTCCGCCATTGCGGCGTCGTCCTCGACGTCGCTTGGTTCCCCTCGCTCCCTCCGCTCCCTCTTTTCTCGCTCAATGCGGTCGAACTCCACAACAGCCGTCATGACATCCGGCGGGAACTTCCAGAGGCTCTTGTTGGTATCCTTATTCCACACAAACCTCCTTCCGAGCTTTGTCTTCACCAGCACCCAAGGCGCGCAGCCGGGGATATCTTGGCGATGCTTCGGCCGATCTTCTGGCTGTTGCTTCTTGTCTTGAAAGCCGCCGTGGCCCCCGCGAAAGCCCCCACGATGCCCGCCTCTGGCATAGTGTTGGCCTCTGTTGTGGGGGGAGTGCTGCGGCGCACCTCCAAAGATGAGGTTCTCTATCTGCTTCCTGGGGTCGAAAGCACTCTGTGTGGCCGGAGCTTCGATAGGGCGGTCGCTAGCGGTCGGGCCCAGAGCGGCAGACGGCAGTGGCGGGGGAGGATGGGTCCCGAAGCTCGGGGCGGCGGCGGCGGAGACGGGGCGAGTGTAGGTAGATTTCTTCGTTTCGGTGTTGTAGTAGTATGTATGTCCTGTGAATTGTAAGTAAAGCAATGCTTGTGACGCAGCGAGAGCTGGGAACGGTCTACCCGAGGGCGCCTTGTGTTCTGCCCATCCTGGCGGGAGCGGGGGCGGCGGGGGCGGCGGCCGCACGGGTATATCAGCCATCTGGACGGTCAATAGCACGCTGAGGTAACTCGGGGGTTGTATAATCCGCGCGCTGGTGTGGGGGTGGTGTTGCGGCTCTGGAGCTCGAGAAAAGTGGCCGGGCTTGGCGCTGGTCCGCCGCCGACGCGCGTGAAGCTTGTGCCTGGAGCTCCAGGGCGCCCATCAACACCAGTCCACGCCCCAGCTCCATCGCCGCCCGCTGTTTGCAGTACACAGCAGTCCCCTCCATTGGCCCCCTCGCAGCTTCTGAGCTCAGCATAGCTTGCCATCATGTCGCGAAGATACGACTCAAGGGTAACCCGCTGCTCCAACCTCCCGCCGCCAGCCAACACGTCGGTGCTAACGCAGGCTGCAGACGACCATCTTCTCGCCCGAAGGACGGCTCTACCAGGTCGAATACGCGCTCGAGGCTATTTCGCACGCAGGAACGGCGCTGGGCATTCTCGCCCAGGATGGCATTGTGCTTGCGGCAGAGAGGAAGGTCACCAGCAAGCTGCTGGAGCAGGACACATCGGCGGAGAAGCTCTATATTCTGAACGAGTGCGTGGGCCCCGCCATCGCCGCACTCACGAGGCTGACAGAGCGCCCCCAGCAACATGATCTGCGCCGTGGCAGGCATGACGGCCGATGCCAACATCCTAATCAACTACGCCCGTCAAGCCGCCCAGCGCTACCTCCTCACCTACAATGAAGACATCCCGTGCGAACAGCTCGTACGCCGGCTATGCGATCTGAAGCAGGGATACACGCAGCACGGTGGTCTGCGGCCCTTCGGCGTCTCCTTCATCTACGCAGGATGGGATCCGCAGCGGCAGTTCCAGCTCTACCAGAGCAACCCCAGCGGCAACTACGGAGGCTGGAAGGCGACGAGCGTCGGCGCCAACAACGCATCCGCACAGAGCCTGTTGAAGCAGGACTACAAGGAGGATTGCGACCTGAAGGAGGCCTGCGGGCTTGCTGTCAAGGTGCTTAGCAAGACGATGGATTCTACCAAGCTGAGCAGCGAGAAGAGTCCGTATCTCCCACTGCCTGGCCTGGGCAGAGAGCTAACATTCGCATAGTTGAGTTCGCGACCGTTGGCAGGACGAAGTCCGGGAACATCTACCACCACCTCTGGGGAGCCGACGAGATCGATGCCTTGCTGAAGGAGCATGGCCTGGCCAAGGCAGAGGACACCGAAATGGCCGAAGGCTAGACGTCTGAAGGATTCGTGGAGGATCAGCGGCGTTCGGGGATCGCGCAATAGAGATGGCCTGTAGAATACTTGGCCAGGTGAGAGTGCCATAGCCTTGGGCACCCGACCTCACCTTTCGTCTGCAAGCCACTATGTGTCGCTTTATCTCCATCCTATGACACGCCTCTGCCCCTGACGACGCTCGTTGCTTTTCCTCTTAGATGACCAGCCCTGTTTCCTCGTTGCCCTCGCCAGTCGCGGCTTCCTCGCCCGTCACGGCGCCATTTTTGCTCTCGCCAATTTGTCACCGCCCTTCTCACACTCATTCTCCTCCACCTCGCTCGATGCGCCACAGACTGCTCTACTGCATCGTTTAGCCCGCATACTCTACACCCCATCCTTGCATGAGCATTCCATAGTAGCATGTCTAGCCCGTCGCGCCGCATGAGTGGCGCGCTCTCTAGCGGCGGCCCATCTCGCTCCATTCTCCAGCAGCTGCTCGAGGAGATCAATGGCCCTGACAGCACGCCCATCCTCTCTCCAGACGAGCGCACGCCACAACCCATGCCCGGCTCCAGGTCTGGATCCATCAGCCGAGCCCACCACACGCCTTCGGTATGGGTCAACGGCGGATCTGCAGCTGAGGATGCCCGGCAGAAGCTGCGAGCTTTGGACGAGGCCCGCCAACGAAAACAGTCCCAGAACAAATTGAGCGCCACGCCAGACAGTTAGGCACTCTCCGAGCGACGCACATCATGCCGAACCGACGGTCGGCCATTGTCTCGCCCCAGCAGCATCCCAATTAGCGAGCCATTGCTTTCGTTCCGGCATGTGGAGTTCGCCAGCTCTGCGCCTTTGACCACCGCTGATGCCCTCCCGTCACCTCGCACCGAGCATCCGGAAAGCATCTACGGTATGATACTACCTCTTTACGGTTGTCTTTCGTCGCTGACATCGGTTTTTCGCAGCTGGAAAGAGAGAGCGAAGCAGTGCCAGCTCTCCGGAACTATTGCCAAAGCGGCGACGACCGAACGCCAGCCCAGACGCGGCTGCTCAAGTTCGCAAGCTCTCTCTTTCTGACACCGGGGCGAACACGAATATGAGGGGCGGCGGCCAAGTGATCGCTTCACTATTCTCTCGACGCTCAAGCGGCAGCGATCAGACGACGCCGACTCTCACATCATCGATCAGCACCAGGAGGAAGCCTTCTCTTGCTAGGCTTTCGACTTTCAGTTCCGTCGAGGAGCGTCCCAAGCGCTCGCCTCCACCTTCCACGCCGCAAAAACCGTTTTCGCCTGCTAGCGGTATGGGAAGCCCTGCCGCTACCCCAGCCTGGATGAAGCCTCTGCATTTGGTGGAAGTGGACGACGATAAGTCCATTTTTATGAACGTGCACGGAGAAGAATGGCGAGATCATTCGCTCTGCCTTTACTGCTTCCGGCAACATGGGAATTTCCATCGAGTCCAACGCTATGGCTGCGAGGTGTGCGGACGAGAGGAGATCTTGAAGAACCACTACTGGGAGGAGCCGTACTGAAGCGACTCGGCTTCTCTGGGAAGTCTTCCAGGTTTCTGGATGCCATGCGACACAGGGTAATTCTAAAGAGCTGTCGAAGCATTAGTATTCGGTGTAGCTTTGTATTCTTGCTTCTTCTTGGAGGTGTCTCGCCGCAATTAGTCCTGTTTTGTCCCTTCAACTTTCCTTGGAAATTCGCGACTTATCGATTTATCGATACATGGGCAATGACTCCTCTTGGATCGCATCGTGCATGCATTGTTTCTTCCCTGTCTCTCGCATGTCTAGGCAGCACCGCAGCGATCATTGCGCGCCCTATGACATAGAAGACACGCCGTCACGCTTACTCGACAACCCCCCGGGTTCCGTCTCTTTAAAGATACCTGCGTAATACGTACGACATCGCTCAGGAGGATGCTATCCGACCATCAGCCCTTCGTATGGATGATTATCGCAACCTACGCCCGACTGGCTGTGGGCACGCGAGGTATGTGGACTACCACTTCACTCTCAATTTTCCTAGATTTCACATCCCGCTACGTCGCACCATTAAGGTTGACTCATCCCTGTCCGCCGCTCTGTTCGTCGAGCGCTCTTTTCCATCGCCCTCCGTCGCCCTCCTCTCTCCAGAGCCGCCGCGACATGTCGTTCCGCTCCTTTGTCTCTCAGATGTCTGGTTCCCTCGAACACATTCACATTCCCTCTTTGGCAGTTTTGAGTATTTTAGCCCCGCGTTCGCCGTTCGCCGTTCTTTCCCTTGTGCAACCTCAACCCAACTTTGAGCTAGACCACCGCGCAAAAGCGAGCCGTGACCTCAGCCTTGCGCATTCACTCCTTGCACAAACGCGCATAGACTCGCAAAACTCTGCAACCCGTCCGTCGTTTACTTCTCTCCTCATCAGCTTGTCATTCGTTTGGGAGCCACAATTGGAACTGAAAGCCATCTTCTTCACCCTGCGAAAACCTGCCAGCAAACAAACGGCGACACATAAAATGAACGAACATCCGAGAATACCCGGAGATATTGGAGCCTCGAATATTCCGCTTACACCGCCGCAATCGCCAAAGCTGTCGCTCATTTCCGGTCTCCGGTTGCAGGAAGAACCTACGCCGCTCGCACAAGCTGCAGAGGCCTCTGAATCGCCAACGCGAGAACTACAACCAGCGATCCAGTCTCCGCATTCTCCAGCTTCACCACAGGATCCGCCAAACCTCTCCCAGTCCTCAGTACGCTCAATCTGCTCTGCCTCCTCGAAATGCTCTAACCCTTCCTCCCTCTTTTCTCATGCATCAACTTCATCATCCGGGTCCACATCGCCGGCACCGCCACTGCACTTCTACGCTAGCCTACCGAGCACAGAATGGGGGCGGACGCAGCATTTGTATGATAGCGGGCTGGTTTTCGGGACGTATGACCTGGGCAACGGAAGGAGAGGTGGGATTTCCGGGCCGAGTTCAAGCTATTACGAGGGAAAGTACGAGAGGGCGAACAAGGAGGGGAGAGGCGGAAGCGGCGATAGTAGCGGTACGGCGGAAGAGGAGGGTGGAGGCGAGACTGAAAAAGGTGGTTAGGGATTTGGTTGAGAAGGAAATTGACTAGAATGTGCACGCGAACCCTCGTGACGCTTCCAAGAGTAGAAGCGCGACTAAGGGGAAGGCATATGGAGGTGATTTAAGGCGATACCGTGGGTTGAATGTAATCATCAACACACGCATCTGTCCATTTATCGAATGCGACATTTGTGGGCCGCGTTCATACCCTCACTAAGAAACTTGGGCTCTGGTGCATAAGATGCGGTTATTAGAAACTCAGAATTAGTTCGAAATCTAACGAAAGACATGGCGTATGTTGTATCCCATTCTTTCTCAGTCTACTAACACAAGGAAACGCGTAACGTTGAACGAGCCTACAAGAACATCGCCACGGCCGCAGCAACTCCGCCAGCCATCACACCCCCAAACTTGACGCTCGAAGCCGCGCCGGTGAAGTACGGGACGTCATACGCGGTCGTCTTGCTAGCCACAGGCACGCCCGTGCCGGTTCCGTACGACATGGTCATGTTACCACCCTCATAGTGGCAGCCCGTGCGGCCACACAGAGGACTCTCCGCGGGCGTTGGTGGCACAACGGACGATGGAGAAACGGATGCTAGAGAAAAGTATTGGGCGTCGTCCTGGGCGGGCTTGGACGGCACAATAGATGATGGAGCAACGGGCACTGGAGAGGGATGCTGCGCGTAATACTCGCTCGACGGCACGGGCACAACGGAAAGAGTGACGATCTTCGTCGCATACACCGAGGGCGTCGGTGTGAGTGGGAAAGATTTATGCTCGCCATGGCCGCCGTGGGTATACACAAGGTTGGTCGGATAAATATCCGCGCACGTAGAGCAACCTCCGTACTGTATTCCGCTCGCCGAGGAGGGTGTAGGCGTCTCAGCACTCTTTGTAACGTACTCCGTCACCGGCAGCGTGAGTGTAACCGCAACCGGTGTCTCAGCGCAGCCGCTGGCGCAGTACTTGGTCGTGACTGTGTATCCGGGAGGTGGAGGAGGAGCATAGGAAGCGCCAAAGGGGGTGGAAGACTGACAGTAGGTTACAGTTTGGGTGGTGTAGATTGTAGTGTAGCCTGTGGAGCAGATGTCGACATAGCACGTTGTGTAGGTCGTGGTGTAGGTTTGGTGCTCGTAGGAGGGTGCCAAGATGGAGGCGGACTCGTAGGAGGGGATAGAGCTGGGGGTGTATTCGTAGGACGGGACGGAGCTAGTCTCATACTCATAGGAGGGAACCGAGCTGGACTCGGAGCCGTTTCCATATGTAGGAACCGAACTCGCCTTGTAGCCAGCAGGCGTGTATGAAGAGGCTCCGTAGTACTCCGCAGGTGTGGATGAGGAAGCATAGTACTGAACCGGAGTCGAGGCCGAGCTCGGGTGATGCGCTGGTGTCGAAGTGCTGCAAGGCTTGCTGCTTAACTTCGACGAGCCATACTTCACGGGGGTAGACGATGCGTAGCTGGCGTGGTCGACGGATGAGCTGCGGTAGCCGTAGCTATCGGCGGAGCTGGACACGTATCCGACAGGGGTGGACGAGCTGACGTAGCCGGCAGGAGTAGACGAGCCACCATAGGCGACGGGGATAGAAGAGCTCTGTGAGCCGTGTTCGGCCGCTAAGGAGCTTTCATAGGAATAGCCGTAGACGAAGCTACTGGAAGGAGCAGAGCTGTACGAAGATCCGGTGGAAGAAGCAGAGCTATAGGAGGAGCCATAGGAAGCGGTGGAGCTCACGACAGACGACAAAGCAGAGCTAGAGTCATAGGTGATTGAGCTGGCTGCCGTGGAAGAAGTTGAGCTAGAGGCCACGGAGGAGCCGGACAAAACGTGCGAAGAGGTGGTCGGGGTATGCGCTGAGCTGCTCTGGATGGAAGAGCTCGTCGAGCGGGCAGTGCTCGATGCCGACCAAGAGCTCGAAACCGGAGTGTCCGCCTGGTACGTCTTGAAGTAGCTGATAAGCCAATATGCGTCCTCGAAAGCAGATGGATTCTCGGCAACAAATTTGACGCAGGAGTCCACGCTACCAAGGCCGGGATACTGTTGGCAGGAAGATTGGCTATAGACGTTGCCCGCCCAGTCACCGCAGAAGGTCGTATCGAAGATGAACTGATGGTTCTTGAACCTCTCATCCATGTCGCAGGCACCCTGGAAGTTGGCGGTGGGTGTACCAAACTCGGAAATGTCAGGCTTGTCGGCAGTGATGCTTTTCGGAATACTTCCACGGGGAAAGAACCACATCTTGACGGACTCGCTGGTCCACTCCATGGCGTACACTCCTCCGCCGATGCTATTAAAATCCGTTCCGAAAGTCGTGGACTCCTTGGCGTTCACATCACAGCCGGAAGTTCCGGAAGCGCTGTCGAGAGCACAGTCATACAGTGACTGCGTCCCGGTTTGACCCTTGCCGTCCGTCTTGCAGTCCGTATCGGTATGAAGTACCATCTTGTTGAAGTTGTTCTGGTTGACGCCCTCGATGATATCGATCTCGCCGAGCTTGGGCCAGGTATCGCCGACACCATTCGACCAGAAGGCAGGCCAGGTACCGCAGATGCCTCCTGGCATATGCTTGATATCGACTACGAAGAGACCCTTGTTATACGTCTTACTCCCTTCGAGACGTATGGAGCCTCGGCCGACACCGTTGGTGGTTAGAGGCGTGGTGTAGTCCACACCAATGTAGGTGTCCTTTCCGATCGCCTTCACAAGTTTGGCCTTGGACGCGTCGGCCTCGGACATGTAACTGAGGGGTTAGTGCGAAACGTCGTCGTATGACAAGGGAGACTTACTTGACGAAGCCATGGGTAGGATCGGCTCCGGAGTAGAAGTTGAAGCCATCTAGAAACGACGAACCCTCGTGGACATCTTGAAGTTTGTAGGTAGTAGCGAGCGTGGTGGACGAAAGGGCGGATAGGACGGCGGCAGTCCGCAAAAAGAGTGATGAGAACGACATGCTAATATTAGTATAACGAGTGACTAGTATGAAGAAAAATAACGAATGTGAGTAAAAGAGATCTACAACGTCATGAAGACACTGAGAAAGTCGTTAAAGAGAGAAAGCACCAGAGCGACGGGCAGCTGATATGTATCCGGTGACCCCTGGTGCCCATCATGGATGCTTTGCTTTGTTCGGAAGAAGGCGACTGCTTGTTCCTGACGAACGACCGCATACGCAGGCCATGAGCGAGCTTGATGCCTCGAGCTGGATGACCATACCAAATGGAGATGCTCCGGACGCTCGCTAGGATCCACATGGCTGCGCCTCTGCAGGAACACATCTTTATGCCGCTAGAACTTCCCCACTCATGGCCCAATTCGGCCTGAGTTGGATGGCAGAGGCTAGCCTCCCTATAGCCTTACCGAGAAACAGTGCCCTAGAAGCGACGGCAGCGCGCTGTAAATTGCTAGGTTACGCGGTCGTCGCGCGACAGCTGGGAATGCGCGAGCCCACGGTGGCTTGGGCTCACCATAGGAAAGGTTGGCTCGGTTGCGACGGGGAGAGAGGCGGCGGCTAACGCCAAGCGCCCCAAAGCGTTTGTGGCGGGCTGTCAGGGGTATGGTCGAGATCGCGCGCTGAAAATAGGGAAATCGAGGCCTGGGCGGAAGACGGGAGAAACTCAAGCTAGAGACGACGAAATGAGATGCTGTTGTGGAGGAGCTGAACATCCCGTGGCCGCCCACTGGAGGCGGATGAAGACCTGGGGTTAGCATTAAGCTTCGCTCGCTGCTGCTCCTCAGTATGCAAATTCTGCATCGTCAATGTTCGCGCAGCCGTAGCAGCCGGATTCGAGATGCTGCCGATGGTTGTGCTAATGCATCGAGGTATAAAGAGTTGGAGGTTGACTGCTGGGCCGGGGTGGTGTCTCGAAACTGCCACACGCTAACCATTTAGGGAACTACGGCAAATGTAACTTCACCATAGCATACGTGAGCTCAACAAGGCGCGAGACTGATCGGCAGGCCAGCAGTCCTTCCAGGAGTATTGTATAATCCATGTCAACAACGTGAACGCCGATATTCCCAAGATAAACCGCTGGAACGCGATCGTTAATTGCTGTTCCTCTCTTTCTCCATAGTTGGGTCGAACCGTTCCACTTCCAGCAAGATGTCTGAGATGCGTTTCCGCCGTTGCATCTCGTTCGTCTTCTGACTTTGGAGTAACCAAACGGCGTCGTCGTCGTTTCCGAGAAAGCGGCTTAGGGTAGTTGGGTTGCGTGTTTTCGGGCTGAGGCAGGTCAGACGAAGTAGCCAATCAGATGCGGGACGCATACTTTTGCGGATGACGTATGCCATGGCCTTCGTCGTTTCTCGCAGGCATATCGGAGGTATTGGTGTGACCTTCTTCTGGCCTCTAGAAAGTGCCTCGGGGTGCTCTGATGAGATTGATTTACTCTTATGAGCCTCTGTTTGTGCATTCTCGATACTGTGCCGATTTATGTATGTCTTGCGTTCACACCCGTTCTAGGACGTACGCCTTCAGTGAGCAACATCGCAGTCGAACTGTGCCCCTGTTATGATCATTGTGGTTTCGCTGTCTCGACAGTGTTTCCACCGCACATTTGCGTTGCTCGCATCAGCTTCTTGAAACACAATATGTCTCCTGCGGTCCTTCACCACTCGATACTCGACTGCGAAGCGCCGCGATTGGCGAACAGCTGCAGGTGGCTGCATGAACCGTCTGCCTCGTTGCCTGCCTGCCGACAGGCGCAGCACCGCACATTTACGATGGCCGACATTTTCGTCGTTGCCTGATGAGAGGCCGTGGCTCGATATTGTGACAGTCCGGCTCCTGCAGAGACACTTTTCTCGACACTAGTTGTGATATCGTGTTCAGCTGGAAGCATTGGTCCGTCCTGTCTTCGGTTCGCAATGACGCTCCACCGCCAACATACCAATCAAGAAGCGCCGGCAGCCCGCCATCTCCAGAAGGTTGGCATTAGCGGCTCTCGGACATCGTATCCTCCTCCGACCCCTCCACCACTACTACCACCATCGTCTTCCCTGCCTGTTGACCAACGGTCACCAGAGCGAAGTCCTCTGAAGCCACTCCCGAGGAGTGGTACAAACTCGTCCAGAAGATCTGCCGACTCCGGATACGCCTCCGACTGTTACTCCGACCCTGGCCATCGACCCCGCAGCTGGGCTTCACCCACGCGCAAACTCAACGCCGATGAGGAGAATGCTGCCTGCGCGTTCATCGAACATGCCGACGAATGCTGGGACTGTAACTGTCTCGGTAGCGATCGGCGTCTTCGGGAACAACTCTGCGGAATAGGGGCTAGTCTAGCCGGCGAGCTCGGTCGGCTGATATACATCTCACAAGATGGTGGCATCTGGAGCAGAACGGACAACCGCCAGGTCCGGCTAGGCTACAAGCTTGGACTACGATTCGAATCGGTCTGCGGTTGGGCTGAAGCCCTTGAGCGGAGTCTATGTCGTGGTGACACCAGCCTCCTACCTCGTGACAACGACCCCTGGAATCATTCCCGCGGACATGATCCAAGAAGAGCAAATTCGATTCAAAAGACCCCACCTCCGTTGGAGCGGGCTAGACTGGGAAAGGGAGGTACAGAGTCAGCAAGGACGCTTACGAAAGCCCTCGAGACCATTGCCAGCTATCAAAAGGCTCCCGACCTACGCCGGCGAACCATCTTTGAGGATATTCGCAAGCAATTCACAGATTCTGCAACGAAGCGGGCCCTTCCTCACCAGCTACCCGCAGCTCCAGACAAGACAGTGAACTTGGGAAGTTTGCTCGTGAAAGACCAGTCCTCTGTGGCAGATTCCCCGCATGAACCTTGCGCGTTCTTTGTGCCTCGATGGACGCCAGGAGAGAGCACGCAGAGCCGGGAGACAGGAGAGGCGACCGTACATTTCGATAGTGCGGGTAGAGCCGTGGAGAACGCCTTGACGCAATTTGAGAAGCTCACATTTCAGGAAGGGGGCAATCATGCAGCATCTGAGCCTACGGACGGTATAGAAGGCTCATCTCCCTCTCAGAAGCGCCACCAACAAAGCTCATCGCCTCCATCTTCTCGGGCATACTTACAACGTTTGCAAAGGAAGCGTGTACGTGGCGATCGAGACCCCGGGGACGACTCCGGCGACGATGACGGGAACAACGATCGTCCACCGAAGAGAGATGGCAAGCGCCCGGATAGTGCGCCTAATCGGAGATTGAAATGTCCATTTTACCAACGAGCGCCAGAGAAGTGTCCTAACAAAGCATGCCGAGGCGAAGGGTTTACAGACATCGCGAAGCTCAAAGACCATATTAAGAGAGTGCACACACAACCCCTTCGATGTGTCCGGTGTTGGCAACAGGTACGTAAATGGTAGTACCTACCTAGGTATGGCGGGTCACTGTTAATCGGCCTCCTGAAAACCACTCGGGAAGACCTTCAAGGCGTAGAGACATTGACTTTCAGTTGCTCCATAAGCTAACGAATACCACTACGCTCGCAGATGGACTCCGAAGATGCTTATGATGCACATCGGCAGGAAGACATCTCCTGCAAAAAGCGACCGGAACCAGCGGACGACCGTCTTCGGCCCCAAGTACTGAAAAGCAAACTCGACTTTAAGAAGGCCCCTTACACGAATGCAAAGAGTACGGAAGAGAAATGGAGGATGGTGTTTGGGAGGCTCTTCCCTGGCGAGGAAGTTCCCTCCCCTTACGACCAACATGGCTTCACTTCGCGGCAGGAGCGGATACTTAGCGAAGTCCTCGAAGACGAGTTGACTAGGGAGCTCGGACCGGCCTCAGGGATTAGGATACATCGTATCAAAACACAGACCCTTCAGGCCTTTAGGCGTAGGCTCATGTCTATATCCTTGGAGAATGAGGACACCGTGACGCGGAAGAGTAAGAGCATGGAGATCCCGGAGGACAACACCACGGTAACCCCAGAGACCGAGAACGACTATACGCCTACAAGTAGCCAGGCGACTATGAGTAGCGCCGATATGAATAACGCGAGCCACACGATAGCTGGCTTCGTGGAGTCGTTACCCAAAACCAGGCCGGCAAATCCACAACGTTGCCACCCGTCACCTTCCGCATGCAGCACCGAAGGCATCCAGGAGTCTCTCTACGAATCGTCCCCGACAAATATCTTTTGCTCTAGTACCTCGCTGCCGAGTTCATACGCCACTGACCTCACGCGAAGCGAAGTTTATGGCTCTACCGAGGACATTCAGACGTGCAACTACCCACCATCGCTACGGCGCTTCTTTCCGCAGAGGCGGCCCCAAATTCCGCTCTCGAGGACACAATCCTCCCACCTATGGAGTCCCTCGGATCCTAAAGGCAATCCAACACAATATTCGGATGGGGCGCTTAGCTTCTCTAATGACATGCATACAATATTAGAAGAGCCGTTCCAGATGATGGAGTCAACATCCTTGTTCGAAGAGAACGGTGAGGAAGAATGGGCATGGGACGCTTATCCAGTATCAATGGAGGAATCTGGCTCACGTTTGGAATACAGCCCCGCGAAAGACCAGCGTAACGGTTACCAATGACGAACGGGTAATGGATGAGGCATTGAAGCGCTCCAGGGGGCGTTATGCAAATAGATCAATTCTCTCTACTGTGGCATCCTACTACTTATCCTGATCTATCTTACAATGTGATGAAAGGGCCTTCCTTCTCCAACGTCTGTCATCGCACACTCGTGCTCTGGATCATGAACGAGGATCGAATTGAATTGCCATTGGTTAGACCTGAGTGGCTGTGCATGTTGACCACATGCTCTGGGGCGAGTTGTAAGATACGACGCTCCGGTGCTGGAGCTGGATAGTCAAATGCACTAGCCCTGGCTAAGCAAGGTCCATCGGATTACACGGTTCGGACCGATAACCACGACGATAGATCGTGAGTTAGGGTCCTTGTTTCTTGAAGAGCCTGAGCGTACAAGCTCCGCGCGTTACAATACGGATTAGAGAGATCATGAATCAACAGCCGCCCGTTTGTCTGCTTGATCGCGCACTTGTGCTGTCAACCCATGCGTTCTTCTCTAGTAAAATATGTAGACTATTTGTGGATAGGAACAGATATCTCCCCAACTCCGGAACCACAGTTCTTTTCGTCTCCCTCTCAGCACTCCTCCGCTCCCTTCTCTTCCAACCCGAACATGTAGTTCTCCGCCGGTTCCTTCCAAGGCTTCTCCGCTGGGCCCAAGTGAGGGGTAGAAGATGAGGTTCTGCAAGCCGGACATCTCCTTCCCGGGCGTTGTTTCGGTGGATTTGGGACGACACGACTAGGACTGACTCTTGTTGTTTCGCTTTTGCTATTTCTTTGCTTTTCTTTGCTTTCTTCGCGCTTTGCCTTTTATTTGCTTTCCATTTGCTTCCATGTGCGACTGAAGGGGTCTTGTTCTAATCTTTTGGTTCCTCTTGCGCCAGGTTCCTGCCGTGTCTTTTGATCTCCCCATCAGGGTGAGATTTGAGGCACGCTGGGACCTGTAGCTTGAGTTACGGTCTCATCTGAACAGGTACTCCCCGAAGTTATTTCGATGTATGCGTGTGTGCGTTCCGCGTTGTAGTGGTAGCTAGAGGTCTTATGCAAGGATGCCTGGCTTATATGTTCATGGCAAAGCAGAGTAGGTTTTCATATCATGTGCCGGTTTCATTTGTATATGCTTGTGCTCTCCCTACGCAGACTGACCCGCGCCTTATCGATGATGCGTTTGACTGATCCAACCGCGGGGTAATCTAAACCATACGCAACACCCACCTCCATTCCGTCAAAAAGGCAACTACTCCCAAACGTTCGAGAACAGATCATCGCCGCCTCCGAATCCACCCACCGGCTTATTACTTGTCGTGCTGGTGTGGTGATGCGTGGTTGTAGTCGGCGCGGCGCTGCTCCATCCGCCGAAGTCATCGTCTTGTGTCACTGTCGGCGCGACCCAGCTTGGGCTCTTCGGCTGCGTGTGATGTGGCGTAGTAGTGTGGCTAGTCATTGTAGTAGTATGTGTCGAATGGGTAGACCCGGAAGAGGCCCAAGCATCATTGCTTCCCCAAGCATCCATGTTTGCGAAGCCAGAATAGTTGGGTGCAGACACAGGAGCCGGTGCGGGATTGGGCGCAGCAGGTGCTGGCGGAGCAGCTGGCGAAGACAGGTTGAAAGCCGAGCTCATGGAGGGAGACGTCATCGGCGGAGAGACCGGCTTAGGGGCGGAAGGCGGCGCCGAAGGCATAGAAAGGTCTAGGAGGTCGTTCATCCCCGAGGAGGGAGCTGCGGGTTTAGAGGGTGCGGATGGGAAGGCGGCAAAGTCACCGAAGCCACCCGATGAGCTTGTGGTCCGCTTCTGGGAAAAGGTCTGAGTAGTGTGTGGAGACCTTGGCGTGGAGTCGAAGAAATTGCCTCCGCCTCCGAACATGTTTGAGGACGACGAAGGCGGCGACTTGGCGCTTGAAAAACTGTCAAGTCCTGCAAACGGAGATGGTTTTGGCTGGAGGGGTGGGGGCTGTGACCCAAACGAAAGGCTGCTGAAAGCGTCACCCAGACCCCCCAAGCCCGACTGGGGCGATTGCTGCACTGGTGGGGAAGTGAGGCCTCCAAAGGAATCCTGGCGCACATGCTGTTGTGGTTGAGGTGCTGCGGCTGGCTTCGCAGCGTATAGGGATAAAATGGACTGCTTGAGATCAGGTCTGGAAGGGGCAGCAGCAGCTGGCCCTGTGCTAGAGGGTCGGGCTGGTTGTGCTGGTGTAGCCCCTAAGAAATCCAGCCCTAACAAGGAGTCGCCTGCCTTTGTTTGCTTTGGGGGAACCGGCTCAGCCTTCGGCGGAACAGCGCGCGAGGCCGGAGGCCCAGTGCTCGGCCGCGGTGGTGCGGGCGTCTCATCGCCAAAGAGGTCGATGGCGGGTTGAGGTGCTGGCGGTGCCCGAGAGCTGGCAGAGCGGGCAGGCCCAGCCCCACCACTGGCGAGACGCTGCGATGCGGAACGCTCGATCTGTACTTTCTCTTGGACCTTCTTTAACGGCTGCCGCAATGTAAGCGTCTCCCCTTTCGCGGCGTCGTCTGCAACTCACTACGTCGTCGTCTTCTACGTCTAGGGTAGACGGATCCGGCATTGGCCCGTCCATGACCCAGCGCTTGGATTCATACTTTGTCCGGATGAAGTTCTCGATCTTGCTGCGGAGGCATTAGCACAAGAGCGCATAGAGTGCGGAGGAAAGGCTTGCGCTTCAGACGGCACATGTCCCGATGCTAATTTCGCTTCCCAGTATCTACGAATGTCAGCCCGTGCGCCTGGTAGCCTGCTCCATACTGACTTGTTCGCGCGGGCATTGCCCCACTTTATCATGCTCTGTAGCTGTTCGTCGGTCCAGGAATCGAGGTCAACGGACTTGACTCGGCTGATGTGTGTACCCATGCCACGGTGGATGCCAGAGCACCTGCGTAGGTTAGCGCGAAGAATGGATGAGTCTCGAGCGGGTTGGCGTACCGGATGCATATGAAGATGCCCAGATTCCAGCTGGCCCATCGGGGGTCTACACACTATGTTAGCATGCTAGACAGCGGAGAGGAGTAAATGACGGAGCGCACGCTTGTTTCTCTTGCAGTCAGCGCAGCTCTTGTTAGCCTCGATCTTGACCAGGCTCTTGAGCGTCTGGCGGTTCTGCTCAGCGCGGTCGGCGGTGGGATTGGGCCGCCGCGACATGGTGGCGGAGTGAGGTCTGCTCGAAGTGGGTATGTGGTTCCTATGCGGGCTTTGGTGGTCGAAGACGCGGCGAGCTGGAAGGCGAGCGTGTTTGGAGGGCTGTGGTGTCGCGGAGAGGTAGACGTGGTAGACTATGGTCTGGGGCCGACGGCACTATGCTTGTCCAGAGATGTCTTGGCGGCGTCGGAGTCGCACCTAACAGGTGTGAATTCTGATTGGCCGACGCCGAGAGCAACTCCGCTGGGAGCGATAGAACGTTGGCAGCGAACTGGCAACTCGCAAATAGTATTCACAGTAGTGTAGGAGTACCGGGGCGTAGGCAGCAGATGTCGGGCGGCTCATCACTCATAAAAGATGCATGCGTTCATGGGCTATTGCTACAGGTTGAATTCAAATGGTATCATCCCAACGCCATTGACTTTGGCATCGATCCGGCGGTATGCTGCATATGCGCAGATGCGCCATGCCAACATCACGCTGCCCAATGCAATGCAGGTGCAGATGCAGATGCGTGGGTTAGGCTGGACGAAACCGCCAGTCGTCCCAGTCCTCATCCTCCGACTCGCTCTCTTCATCCTCCGGTGGCGGCGGTGCAAGTACGATATCCCCGGTCTTCGCCTGAAGGTGCGCGCTCCGAAGGGCTTCCCTCTTCTCTCGCAGCTTCTTGACCCTCTCCTCCAGGCCTTCCATCTCGTCGAATTCGTCCTCCAGAGCCCGGGCAGCGTCTTCCTTTTCGCCCTCCATTTCCTCGTCCCGCCTGGCGCGCTGGGCGCTCTGCTCTTCTCGTGCCTGGGCGGCGAGTTCGGCAGCCGTCATCGGCGCGGACTCTATGACAGCGCGCGATGGGTATGGGGGGCGATTGCGCCGTGCTTCTGCGGCCTGGTCCATCTCCTTCAGGAAAGCGTCAAGCTCGGCCTCGGCGGCGGGATCGGCTGGTGCTGCGGGCGGTACTGGGGCGTCTGCAGCTTTCGGACGGTGGTCGCTCTGCAACGCTTCGGGTGCTTGCGCGGTGTTCAAGGCGGCCGGGGGCGAGGCATGCTCGTGGTCGGCAGCGCCGGCGTCGAAGAAGCCCGCCGGCACGGCCGCCGCATCCTCTGTCCGTGTCCGCTTGCGCTCTTCCTGTCCGTCGTCTGCGGCCTTTCGCTTCTTCGACACGGGGGCGGCGGCGGGGGTCGGGGATTGCTTTTGCGGGCGGGCTGCCTGCTGTCGGGCTGCTCGCTCCTGGCGAAGCAGAGACCGCACGTCTGCCATGGTGCCGAAAGAGGGGGGAGGGGAGGGGGGTTCTGTCGTTTGTGCAGGTTCTCGGCGGCAGCAGCAGCAGTTGATGGAGCGGCTGGTAGAGCGGGCCGACTATTGCGCCTGCCAAGACGCGCTCGGCAAAGCTCCACCCTCGAGCCGCGCGACTCCTCTCCACATTCCCTCACCCACCACACGACACCTCGCACGACCACCCATTGCGCGCCCTCGCCCCCGGCCTCGGCGCAACTGCTCTCATCTCTCGGCGTGCGCACTCACCGGGGCGCGACTGCTCCGTCTAGTCTCTTCCTTCGGCGCGCGCGCAGCCCGCGGCGGCCGCGCTGGGCTGGCGAAAGGTTCTGCCCGCGCGAGGAACGAGGCAGCTGCCGACTGCTCGCGACGCCCGCGACGCCCGCTGACCAGCATCGGGTGGCAGGGACGGCAAGGACCCCTGGCGCGCTGTTTTCTTCTGGCTGGGAGGAGTCGTCGTTCACCGCGGCCTGCACGCTTCACCGCACCGCAGCCCGCAGCGCCGGCCCGGGCCTTTTCGTAGACAGACCGTGAATTGCTTCGCCCATTGTAAAAGTTGATCGCGTCTGCACTGAGCCCACTCCCGCATGTCCTCCACCATGGCCGGTAAGCACACTCCCTCGCCGCGCGCCGTGTCGGGGAGCCCAATGACTCCCTGTAACGCGCCGCCACTCCACTCCACTCCACTCCACTCCATTCCACTCCTCCACCCTCGACAGCCATGCTGACAGCACTGCTGCAGACGAAGTCCGTCGCTCCGGCCGCGCGAACAAGGGCCACCATACCAAGAACGCCGACGCCCTCGACGAGGCCATCCTGCAGAAGCCCAAGGCGAAGGCGAAGGCGGATAAAAAGGACAAGGCCGCGGAAAAGGGCCAGGCTGCGCGCTCGCAGTCGGCCCAGTCTGGCAACGACCACGACGACAACAATAACGACAACGACGACGGCAACGGCAACGACGACGAGAATGCCATCATCCGATGTGTCTGCGGCGACCAGCGCGACATCCTCAGGCGCAAGATGATCTGCTGCGACAAGTGCGAAGCCTGGCAGCACAACCGATGTCTGAACCTCCCCGAGTCCGATGAGTACTGGAACAAGCGCCAGTACTTTTGCGAGCAATGCAAGCCCGAGGACCACGCCGAGCTTCTCGCTGCCATGGCCCGTGGGGAGAAGCCCTGGAACCGGAAGAAGGGCCAGAAGCCCCCCAAGTCGCGCCCCAGCGATGTAAAAGCGGAGACGAAACAGGAAAAAGCCAAGGTGCCTACACCTCCGGCCCAGCTTCCCGCACCCTCTGCCCCGGCCCCGGCCCCGTCTGCGGCTCAAGCCCCTCCTGCTCCTAGTCCCGCACCCAAAGACGCCCAGCAGGAGGTTACGAATGGCCAAGCAGAAGCAAAGGTAATCTACTCCGCGTTCTTTGCCTTCGACTATACTGACCTCCTGCAGCCAAGCAAGAAAGAATCTCCCAAGAGCCAGCCACAATCACCGCTGGGCGAGAAACGACGGCATGAATCCGTCGCGGAAAAGGATAGCTCCACCAAGAAGCGCAGAAAATCGAGCGCCCAGCATCAGGCCAAAGCGGCCCCACAATCCGCTGTCGCTGCAGATATCAGCGCATTACCTCACAAGCAAAGGGCAGTAGCAGAGAAGCTAAGGGATACAATCGTACCCATGATCAATTCAGCCACAGACTCTCGTGGCTATCGCGTACCAGACGGGGAGACTGCCAAATCCATCGCTACCCGTCTCGCCCTCCAGATCGATCGCGCCGCTACGGAGCATCATGGCGAGCCGGCTGGTCCCGATTCGCCGTTTTTGCAGCACATGCGTAGTATCATTTTCAACGTAAAGAAGAATGCCATTCTAGTCGACCGCTTGCTCTCTGGTAGCCTGACCCCGCAAGAGTTCGCCTCCATGGCCCCCGAGGAAATGGCGAGCGAGGAGAAGCAGCGCGAATACGCCGCCCTGAGAGAGGCAGCTGAAAAACAGATGGTGCTTACCGAGGAATCCGGCCCCCGGCTCCGCAAGACTCACAAGGGTGAGGAAGTCGTGGGCGAAGAAGACAACGCGCCTATCGACGAAGAGTTCAGGCCGCCGCCCCCTCGAGATAGAGACAGCGTGTCAGACGAGAAGGTCCCACCTCAGTCCCCCCGCGACGAGCAGATGACTGTGGAACTTCCAGAGGACATGGGTAAGGAACGACGTGCGCCACTCTCAATAGACACGGCAGACGCGCAAGCCGATGGCGTCCGCCGCCCCTCCACCACGTTCGATATCAATTTGGTTTACGACAAGGTTCGCTCCCCTCAGAACGATCAACAAGCCTTCCTTCAGCGCCGCCAGAGCTCGATAAGGGTCCAAGAAAAGCCATCACAAGGCCCAGGATTTGATGCCGACGTTGATCGATTGCTCAAGGATGAAGACATGGACGTCGAAATGTCCGGTTACTCTGCCGATCCTACCATCGTATGGCAAGGGACAATCAGCATGCAGTCGCTGGAGCCATTTGATGCCGTCGCTCGATTTGTCGCCGGTGGAGACTTCGGGCAGGTCGTTCCTTGGGACAAGCTGCTGACACCAACGTTACCCATCCAAGGGCGCATCGAGAAAAGTAAAGGCGACGAATACATCCGAGGTCTGGCATCAAGCGGCACCCATGATGTGGGTGTGCTCGCCCTCAGCCCAGTCTCTCCCGAAGGACGCGAGGTCATGGACACGCTGTATTCTTATTTCCAGCCACGAGGGCGCTGGGGCGTAGTTCCAGTGGACAAGCTCGGAAATGAAGCGATGCGCGACCTATACGTTATCCCAATCGAGCCCGGACCCGGCAATCTCCCGGATTTCCTCGACATGCTAGAGTACTGCACGATCGAAACGCCTCGTAAAGAGCACATGATTCTTCTAGCTCTAATCGCGAAGCTTCCGGAAACCAAACCTCAGCCACCTTTCGAGCAATATCTGCCACAGGACATTGCAGCCGCCCCTGTCGCCCCACCAGCAAACGGCCCCACCAACGGACCAAGCCCATCGCCGGTCAATCCTCACGGTCCGCAATACTCTCCCGTAGGCCCAAGCTTTCCTCCCAGCCACAATTACGGGAACCCTTTTGGTGCGCCAAACAACAACGGACATGCTCAGCAAATGCCGATGCCCGATGCACCGCCACACCACCAGCCCCCGAAGGCAGTGGAGATCTTTGGGCCTTTCATCAACGTTCCGGTCGTCCAGTACTGTCTGACCAGCACAGGCTCCTCCATGTCAGAAACGCAGATGGAGAACCTCCGGGAGATCGTGGAGCATGTGCCCGAGGTGCGGAACGATTTGACTCTGCTTGGTCGGCACATGAAAGAGAAGGAGGCTAGGGCTAGACAGGCTCAGCCGTGATGGGAAAACCAGGGTAGAGAATCTGGTATCTGGTGAGGATGAGGAATGATTAGGTTCTTTCTTAAAACACTTTTGTATCCTTTCGCTTTCGCGGCGCGCCGGAGTATCGTCGGTGTACAGGTTTATGCGGTGGCTGCTATCCAATCGATACCCCATATGCAGCTCGATGGGGAGGATGGGGGTTCAATTTAGTTTGACTGGATATTTACTGGTTGGAAATCTACATGTTCTATCTTTCTGCTGTGTGTGGACGAGAAAATCCTTTCTACTATTGTTTCCAATGAATGTGTTATCTCGTACTAATGAAATTGCGCTCTGAGCCTCATTTCTTTCGGTCGTCTTTGTAGAACCCGGATAGGAATTGTATAGGAGGCAGTGGTTCTAATGACGGTGGTTATATTGTTGCGTGTACCTATACCAATCAATGTACAGCGGTTTACGCCAAATACGCGCCCAATGCCAGACGCCGGCGCTTAATATTTGTGAGCTTGGCCAAGTTCAACATGAACGCCGGACGAGTATGCATGCCGCACAAAAATGACGCCTCGCTTCTCTACGGTACAATCTGCCCTTCATCGAGTCCCCTCCCTACTTGCCTTCGCTCAAAGCAGATCTCGCGCCGGTCCACTCATATGTCCGTCTCTCCTGGCCAAGTAGGTGTTATGATACGCTAGCCGTCGTTCCACGCTCCCGGTCCTCAGAACACCAGATGCCATATCCAATACAGGATCAACACGACGCCGACGATTATCCCAGCGAGTTTGAGGATCGCGATTTTGTTGCCCGATTGCGCCATCCTCGTCAATCTCGTTGCGCTGCCTTTTACGGAGGTGCCGAGGGAGGAGAAGGTCTCGGACGTGCTGTCGATGACATGCTGGTCCCGCGCGTTGTCGTAGATGTCTATTGTCACGCCGCGGAGGGCCGAGACTTTGGAGGCGAGCTCGTCGAGGCGGGAGTTGTTCTGTCTGGGAGGGGCGTTAGCGCTGTGGGTTGGAGGCGCGGGAGCGGACGGAGTGGAAAAGGGTGGGTAAAGGGTGGAAGGGTGGGAAGGGGTCGAAGTACCGTTCGCGCTCGTAGGCGTCGGACATGGTGACGGTGGGCGGTTGAGACGTTTACGGGGGATGGGAGACGTGGCTTTGTCGTGAACGGTGCGATACGAGTGGGTTGCGCGAGGCTTCAAGGCTTGGAAGAGGAAATCCAGCGGTATCCAAGGCGTACGCGGCTTGGGCGGAATCGTGGGCTTGCTTTTGAAGGTGCCTTGGGGTTGCGGATCTGGTGACGGCAGAGGTTACGGATGCCAAGACTGGCTGGCGTGTGATTGGTTGCTATGATTAGGCGCACAAGGCTGAATCGAGGCTGGTTGTGGGGAAATGTCACGATGCTGCACCGCACTGCACCGCACTGCACCTTCATTCCTCCTTCTCACCTCAATGACGCGAGACGAATCTGCACTTTTGCGCTGTACGTGCCAAAATATCCGGTCCTGGGTATCTATCCATGTCCCAAACTCCGAAGACTCCGCGCGTATTACAGGTCCGCCAGGCGGCCTAAAAGCAACCCCCGTATCAACGAACCAACCATCCAGGATCGTCCCTCTCCCTCCCTCGCTTCTTCTACCACAATGTATAGCCTCCATCGATTATAATGTCCGACCCCGTCATAAACGCACTAGCGTCACTTGCCAACAACACCGCCAAATTATTCAACTCATCTACGCCTCCCAACCTCCTCTGCGGCGTCCTCTCAATCCACATCTTCTTCTCCGCCTCTAGCTCTGGCACACGGTTCAGCGCCGTATCCATGTACCCGGGGCTAATCGCATTCACCCGAATGCCGTACTGCGCCCACTCCGCCGCCAGCGACTTGGTCATCTGGATGAGGGCGGCCTTGGACGCGTTGTAGCACGATTGCTGCTGTGGGTAGTTCACAATGGACCCGCTCATGGAGGCGATGTTTATGATGGAGCCGTGCGTGTTGGTGCGGATCATGGCTTGCCCGACAGCTTGGGCGACGGCGAAGTTGCCGATGAGGTTGATTTCGATGAGGCGCCGGAAGCGGTGCATGTCGTAGGTTTCGGCGGGCATGTTGGAGCTGACTCGTGTATTAGCATTATCTAGCAACCGGGACAGGCAGAAGATAGGGGGAGCGTACTCAGCGATACCAGCGGAGTTGATGAGGATGTCGATGCGCCCGAAGTGGTCCATGATGTCTTGGACTGTCTGCTGAACGACCAGCTCTTGTGTGATGTCGATGGGGTAGAATAGCACGTCTACGCCCGTCTGCTCGGCGAGCTCCCGCGCGGCTTGCTCGCCCTCGGGTAGCAGGTCTAGAATGGCCATGCCTCGGACGCCTGCTTCGGCGAGGGCTTGTGCCATGTTGTAGCCTAGGCCTCGGCCAGCACTGAATTGCTGTCAGTGTCTCGCTTCCTCTGCACCGAAGGGCATTCAAACAAAAGCTTACCCAGTAAGCACGGCAACCCTCTCCTGCAAGCAGAATCTCTTCATCGTCGGCGTCAACCGCTCCACCACACTCTCATCCAGCGGATACGCCCTCTTCTTCACATCAGCGCCCGGCGGCGTAACTACCGGTGGCGACGGCGGCGGTGTATCGATCATCGGGACCATTGGAGCTTCAGACAGTGGCTGTGGAGCAGTCGTTGGCAGGACATGGCTCGCATTCTGATGCTTCTTGCCATGCGTGAAGGACCGAAGACCCGCTCCCGCCGCTGTCCTTGCGTAGTGGTGGTACTGCGTTCCGTGCCGGGCTGGAAATCGGACAGGTGCTGATTTCAGCATGGATATTCGTGGGTGACTTGATGGTCGCGTAGCGTTCGTGTATGTCGTTCGGTGACGGTAAAGTCAAGAAGAAATAGTTGATCTTGAAGAACAAGCATACTCTGCCAGTAGCCGGGACGATTTTATATGGGATGAAAAACACTTGGCGCAAGGGGCCTTGCTACGCGCAGAATGGTGGCTGAGGCGGTCGTGGTGTGAATTACCGCATCCGGTTGTGCACGTGCGGCTCGCCTCTTGCCTCCCTACCGTGACCAAGCGCCCTACTCTTCAGCTCGCACATGCCACACCACATCCTCTCTCCGCATTCACTCGACAGATTTCGCTCAATTGTGGATGGCAGGGCGGGCATAGCTAGTGCGACGACTTTGCAATTTGAGTTGAGAGAATTGGTGTTTTTGTAGGAGGGGTGCAGCGGGGGCATTCTGCGCAGCTGTCGGTGAGGTCCGCACAGGGCGCAGTCGGCACGCGCCGAACAATGGAATGTCATGTGACGCGAAATTCGGTGAGTGGAATGCATGCGGGCTATGAATAGTGGGAGGGGGAGGCTCGCAGTATTGACTGAAAGTTTTGGAGGTGTAGATGACGCGAAGGTAGCGTGGTGTTGAGTGGCAGCGCCAAGGACCCTGCCCAGGTCCCTTTCACCGTCCGAGCCTCCTCAGTCCACCTCTTCCCGCGTCCACCGCTCCAGACACAGCAGCACGTCCTACCGTACCACCTCCCTCAACCAGCTGTTCCCCCGCGCCTCCTCCTTACAGTACACAGCCGTCCTCTCTTTCCCCTGCCGCACGCCGTTCGCGGCACAGCCAGCGCCTCGAGCACGCACTGCATGTGCATGCGTCTTGTAGCGTTTCAAGCTGCCTCTATCCTCTTACAAACACTATTTGCGCTAATGGGAGTGGGAAAGCTTATCAGCCGGCGGTCTTGCGCCTGCAGAGGGGGCCAAGATACTTCCGCACTTGGGGCGAAATAAAATTAGTATCCCCGCGGTGCATGTCCCGGTCGGGGCAGTGCCTAAGTATGCGTCGAAGGGTCGGTGTTGCAAATGTTCAGACTTGTGCGGGAAGAAATAGGGTTTTTGGAAGGAAAAAAAAAAAAAAACAGGCTTGCGATGCGTTGGTGAAGAGAGACGGAACAACGAGGTGGAACAATAGAAAGTCGCCGCTCGCGTCTTGATGAGCCTCAGTCACGCGAGCTGCTTTGGAGGTACAGTACCTGCAGCCCCACGTTTCATAATGCTCCTAGACTTCAACGGAAAAGCGCACAGACGTGCCACAAGGCTGAGGATCGTCTTCCCTGCACCAACACTGTGCTTCTTCGCCGGAACGGGTTACACCCCTCCGCGAGTGAAGCACATGTGTCGCAGTCCCGGCCCCAGGTCCTGCAAAGCCTCCATGTTGCCGGCGGCGCGCAGTCTGGATGCCTTAGTATAAGGATCAGTGAGGGGAGCGACTTGTGGGAGGGGGTTCGAGGATACAAGGCTCTCAGCTTTTTGCTCTTCAAGTTCCCGTCGAGTTGCTGGTGCAACTACCCGTTTTCAAAATGGCGTTGGGAGCTCTCTTGTATTCGTTCGTTCTGGCCTCGTGCCTGAGCTTTGTAGCTGCTACTCCCTCGCCGATGGACCTTGCTGTCCGCACGTACAATGCCCCGGGCAGTACTGTTGAGGATACATACCGAGCTATTCGGAGAGGCCTTGCCGCCGCGAAGCTTGAGAAGAGAACGGACTTGAAGGGAAACACCACCCTGGATCGGAGCTGGGACGGCGCAGTGCTGCTGAAATTGTGAGTACCATAAAGTATTACTCCTCCCATCAGACTCCGTCGTGCTGACTTTCCATCACAGCGGCTTATCTCAAGACATCCCCACGAACAGCAACAATGCCACTGCTTCTGTCTCAGAAAGCGTCGAAATCATCTGCACGACATGCTACGTCAAGGGCCTTGCGAGGGCGGAGCTCAACATCCCTGATAACTTCAATGCTAGTGATGCTCTCGAAAACACCGTCGACGTGGTGGCAGACGAGGTAGGCAACTTCACTGAAGAAGTCCTGGACTATTTTGGAAACTACACGGAGTCAGTTATCGGCAATCTTGCCGATGGATTCGACGTCAGAGACTTCGCCATGCCCACCTTCAACTACTCCTTCGACGTCGATATCCCAGATATTCCTGAGTGCACGCTCAACTTCCAGTTTGATGGCATGGAGCTGTACTTGGAACTGGAAACTATTCTTGGTATGGGCGCCAAGTATGAGCTCAATTTGTTCACGAGCAACACGCCAATTGGCATCGGAGTCGGAAACAGTCTCATGCTCGGCGTCGTGTTCAAGGTCGATTTGATCCTTAGTGTGGACGGAACCATCGATATCAGCAGCGGCTTCCACATCAAGCTAGACGACGGTATCACAATCGACATTGCACTCTTCGGCCAGAATGTTTCCAACCTGGAATTGTAAGCCCTCTTCCACACTTCTCCCTCCCTGATCCCTGACTAACGTCAATCTCCAGCCCCGGCGGCAAATTCGAGTTCCTCCCCGTAACCATCGAATCCGCCGGCGTTGTCATGAGCGCCGTGCTGCGCATCGGCATACACTCCGGGCTTGTCCTCTCCACGCCTCAAATCGGTCCACACTTTACTATCTTCAACCAAGAAGTTGGCTTCCCCCAGATGAGTGGCGGCATTGAAGTGGGCGTCTACGCCAACATCGCGGAGTTCACTACGAACGTGACGCTGGTCCCCGACGACCCAGGGTGCGAACTCAAGGTAGTGCAGGAGTACCAGCTTGCACTGGGCGCTACAGCAGGTGCGAGCGTTGCGATCGATACGCATACGTGGGGTCCCGTGGCCGAGACAAGTATCCCTGTCTTTAAGACGGAACTGGCGGAGGCCTGTGCGATTAAGGGGACGCCTACACAGAGGAATGTTGGGTCGACGATTACAGCTGGAGCGAGGAAGAGACAGGATCTCGAGACCACGGTCATTAGTACGGAGATTACACATACGGGTGTAGCATGCATGTCAACGGTTGTCGGCAACTGCCCGGCGTCCCTCCAGTCGACAACGAGGACTGTCGAGACGCGGACACTTACCACTGCGGTTCCGTCGGGTGAGGAAGCGACGTTCCCGCAGAGTGTGCAAGATATGGTCACCAACACCGTGGCTTTCGGTACTGGCGTTAAGGACATTGTGTCAACGTCTGGTAGCCCAACGAGCTACACACCGCCAGCTACACCGGGAGCGGGCGGCAATGGTGTCGGCAAAGCACTTGACGGCAAAGTTGGAGGCGTGAGTAAGAAGGTTATCATTGGCGTGAGTGTAGGTCTTGGTGCGCCGGTCATCGCGGCAGTGATTGTTGGATTCTTGTAAGTTTCTCTTGTTCCCCTTCGCTCGTTGACAAGTATACTGAAGTTGTGCATAGAATGTGGCGCAGACGCAAGAGGTACTCCGCTGTTCCTCAGGGCACTACTCCGCTTATGGTTGCCGAACCATACAGTTCCCAGGCGAAGACTAAAACGGGTGTTAGCGTCACGGAGGTTCCTCGTCGTTGATGTTGGTACGTATGACGAATGGCTTCGGAGGATGGGCGCTGCTTATGAGACGCCTCGAGATTGGGCTATGACGAGATCAATGGAAGAACATTTCACTTTTGCTATATGATATCCGCCATCAAACACCCCTTCCTTCTCCTCATTCATGTGTCCTTCTCCCAAGACATATTCCCTACTCCTAAGCTCGCCTTCACCTTCGCCTCGAACCTCTCCACCATGTAGCCTCATCTAACCCTGTGGCCCCCTCACTCCTAATACCGCTATCTTCTCTAACCATACTGACCAATTATGCAGCAAATAAGGCAATCAATGAACTGGGCGCCCTCCGTCTTCTCCGGCGTGTTCCCACTTGGTGGACCAAAACTTGAATTAATCGGCCCGCGTGTGGCGGGCTTTGTTCGACCTACCTCCCTTTCACGTCAATCTTGCAAACGGGTGGGTGGGTGAAGAACATGTTGAACCAGGGGTTAGAGCGGATGGGCGTTTCGTTGCGGGTAGATAGACGGAGAGAAGGTCTGAGGTGGAGAAGGACATGTCAATGTCTCCCCTCTCATTCGGTTGCCCGGCTGAGCCTTGGAGAGTGTAGAGCAGCGGAGTAAGCTAGGCGACGAAGTCACAGACGGACTTGGGGTCTGGAAGCTGGTTGGCTCGTGCACATAGGGCCCTGCCGTGGATATTGTCCCACACTTCATGCACATAATCCACTCCGACTTCGCCGCTGTTATTCACGGCGGCACTCTCGGGTTCACCGGAAGAGGGCTTCGCTAAGGGCGGGACTCCTACGAATAAATAAATTCCAAGAGTCTAATGCGCGCTAGCAGCGGAGGATATCTGCGAGGGGAAGGTAGGCGATTGCTATTTCTACTACCTCACTCGGGAGGCCTAGAACTAAGGACTATGGGTGCCATGACGTAAGGCATGAATGCGATGGAGTCAAGTAGAAAGAGGGGGCTTTTTATATAAAGAGACTAACGGTTTACCTCTTCGAAGCTTTGAAAAGGGGAATTGTCACGTCATGAGATTAGCAGGAACGCATGTCTTAAAGCAAGGCATACGAGATTCGGGAAGCCAACTACCCTGTATATAAGAAGTGAAAATAGATTCCGTCTGGATAACACAGTCACTACATCCAGAATTCCTCTTCGCTTCGTTTAAACTTTCCACCTCACCGTAGTAAAATCACTCCTCTTCAGTCCGCTGGCCAATGCCAGGACCGAATCTACTACCCACTCCCATCCCTTTCGCAAATCTCAACACCTACACTCCGATATCTCTCTACTAATCTTTATAGCCCAGACGAAAAGGCTCCACCGCCTTCAGCAAGTGATCCCGCCCGTGATCCGCGTTATAGGTACAACGTACCCACAACCGCGATACGGCAACGCTCCGGCTAATATTAGAGGAAAGGCTAAGACCCCTACTTCGGTAGAATTTCTATCCAAATTAGTTCCATAAATATGGTCCTTCTACATTTTTCTAATCAGCTAGATACGAGTTGAAAGAAGAAAGAGTAAATAGAGGTATATGGCTGGAGAGGCTATGCTCCCAGTGCCTAAACCCAGCGATCCACAAGGCACCAGGAGACAGTATCGACTATACGACTTCCCTATCTACGCTATCGTAGGCATAACTCGTAGTCCCCGCGTAAAGCACGGATGTTGGTGTAAGGTGTCTCGTGACAGCGCTTCAGGCCATCACTGTCGGGGAGAACTAAGGTTGCGGATGACGGCGACGAGGCATACAGCGTAGAGTAAGGTTCAGCCAGCATCGGAATATGCGTGCGTAGATGTCCACCTATGCCGTAACGAGGGCAGGAATTCCCCCAGTCCTCGTTGCTACAAGCACCCAACAAGTGCAGCAGCCCGCATGATGAATATAGCAAGCAGTCCTAACAAGCTGCAGGTCTCTGTCGCGGCTTATTTGTCGCTCAGGAAGCGACGAGAGCGGACTGGTAAGCAGGTCGCATAGGTTCACGGGCCAACCGGGAGCATCATGTGTCTGCTTCCTTCGACTGGGCGGGTAGCAGCCGAGGCATGGGGTTTCGCTTCCAGCACACACAATCTCTCTCGGGCTCGATTCCGTCGAATGATCCAGACAGAAATGCTAAGGGGGTTCTTGGATGGCTTCGCTAACGGCGCTGCATATTAGAAACCCGGGGTACATATATTAAACTAACGGCGAAACCGGGTACGCATCTTCGAAAACCACCGGTAATACGCATCCCCCGCCCATCCCTCCAACAAAAATTCGGCTTTCTCTTAATTACAATGCAATTATCGTTTGCTTCGACTACAGCCTTGTCGGCGCTACCATAGCTCTTATCCTCGGCTCCAACCGTTCCTTTAAACTCACGCGGACCAAATAGCGCCGAGCCAAGCATGACGACAGAGGCTTCGCGTCCTCGGTCGGATTTTCATTCGTGCAATTCAATGCTGGATAAGGCGTTGTAATGAAGAATGCTGTATGCTGCTGCGCTGTTGCCAGATTGGATCCGGCCTGCCTGCTCCGTGCCCTTGGGCGTACGAGTTGGGTATAGTTCAGCTTCTGCGATACAGAAAAGAGAGATATAAAAGCTTGCGATGATGATCGTTACCTATGGCTGCCATTGCAAACCCTCAGCACGTACACGACCCTTCGATACCGAGATCTCTCACGTCTCCAAGATGCATACTTCGGCTCTTCTCCTTCCAGCGCTCGCCGCCCTCCTCGACGTCGCCGCTGCCCACGGTTTCGTCACTGGCGTCAGCATCAACGGCGCATGGACCAAGGGCTCCGATCCAGTGTGGTACTACTACGCGGCGGATCAGAAGCCCGTCACCGCGGGCTGGGACTCGTTGAATCAGGATTTGGGCTTCGTCTCTCCGAGCTCTTTCCAATCCGTTGATATTGCCTGTCATAAGAGCGCTACAGCTGGAAAGGCATATGCGAGCGTTAACGCGGGTGACACGATCAAGTTCTCGTGGAACACGTGGCCAGATAGCCACAAAGGCCCAGTGATTAACTATATTGCTCCATGTAATGGTGGGTTGTAGCGGATCGCGGGAAAAACAAGGAAACCGTTACTGATGACAGAACAGGTGAATGCACGACTCAATCCGCATCGAACCTCCGCTGGAGCAAGATTTCGCAAGCCGGTCTCATTACGCCGGGCGGCACAGGCACCTGGGTGACCGACCAGCTTATTGCAAACAACTTTAGCACCTCGATGACCCTTCCTCGTAACCTCAAGGCCGGCAACTACGTGATCCGGCACGAAATCATCGCTCTTCACGGCGGGAACAGTGATAACGGCGCGCAGGCCTACCCTCAGTGCCTGAATTTCAAGGTTGGAGGAAGCGGGACGGTAGCTCCGAGCGGCGGTGTTGCGGGAACGGCTTTGTATACCAGGACCGATCCTGGCATCCTCTTCAACCTGTACACGAACCCGACTTCATACCCGTATCCGGGTCCGGCACTTTGGACTGCGGCGAACTGACGAAGCAGCTATGGTGGGCTAACGGGGATGCAGCGGGGTTTTCTTCGTGTAAATACCGAGATTCGTGAAAGAACGCATTCGCTACTGCCCTAGGTTGTGAAAGAGTGCGCCGTGGCCGGTTTCCTTTCGATTGACCGCATTGTGCTCACGTGAATGCGCAGCCGTCGACCCGACGCAGAGGTTGAGAATGCACACGGAGTTGGAGTGACAAGGCGTTGGGGAGGTGGCCGTGTCCAGGGATGAAAAGCCACCGCCCCCGCGCGCTAGAGCCTCACGTGACCCTCAAGGACAGCTGCATTCCCCACCTTGGAAGAACCGAACCGGCTCCTGAAACGCTCCACGATCTGGTCCATCGAAAGTTGAGACAGGGGTCTAAGGCTGAGTCATCCTATAGACAAAGCTAAGCCCGCCGTCTTGCTCGCTCTGCAGCACGTTACGCCTGCTGACCTTGGAAGGGCTGACAATGAACGGGCCATTCACCCCGGAAAACATGGTCATGCGAGTCCTAATTTTCTCTTTGACGCGATATGAACGACAAGTCTGCATTCGCGAACCCTTTCCTCGCTGGGCCGAGGAGCGCACCTAGGCATGCGGCCGCCGGAGACCTATCAGGTGACGAGGCAGTGATCGAGGCTCACACAACCCGCTGGCTGGACATTCGCATGCCGGAATTTCAGCGCATTTTCCTACTTTCTTCGCCCGCTATTGCTCGCGAAGCATTGAATTCTGCCTCATCGAATCTCCATACACGCTGAACGGTTCGCATTCCTCGTTCTCGGCTTCGCTTAGAGCACAGCCTCATCTCCATGCGAAGAGGCCCATGATGTGACCGGTGAGGCACAAACAGCGTCATTTTTCCCGCTCAGACAAGCCAATCGCATTGCTGGGCCAATATAACCATGTGCACACCTAGGTATTCGCACGTAAGCGATGGGCTGAGCGCGAATCATGGACTTGTACGTACGAGCGTAGAGTTGGTGCAGTATAAAGCCAAAACCTCAACTCTTTGGAAGGCACTAACTCATCGCAACGCGAGCGCCTATTGATGATGAGGATCTTGCAGGCTCTCATTTCATATTTGTCGTCGACGACTGTCCTTGCGACTGCGTCCCATGGTGACTGCAAATGCGCAAGTGGAATTACCCATTCCCTTCTAGCACGCGAAACTAACCTCGTTAGTAGACTCCTGATAGCCATTGCTGGCCTTCAGACGCAGAATGGACTGCATTGAACAGCACTCTATCTGGCGCGTTGATCAAAGGTGTACCCCCAGGCTCCGTCTGCTATCCGGATCAGCCGCACTATGGCGAGGAAGCATGCGCGTTTGTCCGGTCGCATTGGTTTAACTCTACATGGCATGCAGCAAATCCTATCAGCATCGACTATCCCATCTGGACCAATAACTCGTGCAATCCGATTTATCTAAACGGTACGAGCGTGACTGGCGATGTGAACGCCGGGGAAAAAGGTTGCTCAATCGGAAACTACCCTTGGTATGTGGTCAACGCTACTTCAGCGAAGCAAGTCGGCGACGCGCTGAAGTGGGCCGGAAAGAAGAACGTGAGAGTCGTTGTTAAGAGCACTGGGCATTCGTATCCGGGAAGGTAAGGGTTCAATCACAGTCATTACAGGAGATTATAGTTGTTGATACTTGAGCAGGAGCATCGGCTATGGCAGCCTCAGCATTTGGACTCATAATCTCCGTGGCATCGAATACATCCCTTCCTTCAAGCCCAGCTCTTGCCCAATCAACGGCACTCTAGCTGCCGCTCGCGTCGCAGCGGGCGAGACCGGCATTGACGTCCAGACTGAAATGGCGAAGCACGGCTCGATCATCGTCACCGGCGGGAACCCCGACGTCGGCCTCATTGGCTGGCTTACTGGTGGCGGCCACGGCACACTATCTGGAAATTACGGCATGGGCGCTGACAACCTCCTCGAAGCCACTATTGTGACTCCTAAGGGAAAAGTCTACGTCACGAATCCTTGCAGGAACTCCGATATCTTCTTTGCCATCCGCGGAGGTGGCGGTGGGACATACGGCGTCGTGACCGAAGCTGTCATCAAAGCCTATCCTACCCCAAAGACAACCTTACACACCTTCGCTGTGGGCTCACTGAGCCCAAATATTACGGCTGAATTCTGGAGCCTGATGGGCTTTATACACTCCGAGATGCCGCGACTCAAGGAAGGCGGTATGCAAGGATATTACTATATGGTGGGACCGCCTGCATACCCTGTTCTTGCGTTCTTATGGGGCTTCTTCCTCTATGATAAGCCAGAAGGGACGGTGGAAGTGTTAATGGCACCTATTCAAGAGAGGCTCAAGAGTCAGGCGCACCTGTTCGCATATCAGTCCAACATTACACAAGGCGATACGTATCTCGAGGTTTACGCGCCGGTCTTCACGAACGAGCCAGTTGCTTCCGGTGGCTCCGGATATGGCTCGTGGCTGCTGAGCCCAAGAAGCCTTTCAGATCCGAATGTGACTGCGAAGGTGTTCCAAGAAATTGGACCGAGCATGGATCTGTCGAAACCAAATGCGAGCTCGTTCTCTTTTCATCCATAAAGTAAAGCCCACTAACACGCACAGGGTCCGTCGAATCCGAGCCTCCTAGGGCACATGATCGCATCGCCCAACGCACCGTCCTACTATCCCGAAGTCATCTCCATGAACCCTGCCTGGCGAAATACCCTCGTACACTTCATCGTAGTGGAGACCTGGCCGGATGGGAGCCCACAGTCAATCATAGATTCCGTATACCGTGACATTACCTTCAACAAAACGCAGGCCTTGCGTAATCTCTCTCCCGAAACCGGTGCTTATTTCAACGAACCGGATAGCTTTGAGCCGGAGTGGGAGCATGCTTTCTTTGGGGAAAACTACAGAAGGCTGCTGGGAATCAAGAGAAGGGTAGATCCGGACAACGTGCTATGGTGTCGGCGGTGTGTGGGAAGTGAGGCATTCGTTGAGGAGAGCGACGGCAGGTTGTGTAAGCCGGTTGCAAGCGCGAAGAGGACCGAGGTTGGTGAGGGTTCAGAGGCAGGAGGGGATGCTTATGGCATGGAGAGGGCTAACTGAGACTGCAATAGTGGGGTCCAGCTGTTAGGAGTGTCGCTCTAAATACCGTCGCTATAAGGGATGCTCTTGATTCCGCGATCTAGTCCTGCTTTCTACACAAGGGTAATAGGTTGTGTTGTGACGTCAGCAATCCCCATTACCTGGCCTTCCATGATCCCATGAACATACGCTTCACCCAGAAGTTCTACCACTCTATCGCTCTTTACACATCTGATAACGTACGGTACATTCGCATGCTCAAAGACGCAAACCCGATATCCTACTTCCGTACCCCTTGGAACAAGGGCAAAATATCCTTTCTCGGTCACAGCGAACCGCCTATTCTGCAAAGCAGCTCGGAAAGCCTTTTGCAAATCTTCATAAATCTGCTTGGGTTTCCGCGAGCGAAGACTATCGAGGGTAAAGAATCCCTTCTGTCGGCGCGTACTGTACGTTTGACCCGGAAGCGATGACATGTTCCCCACAGATGAGTCGAGAATCAGGCTGAACACTTCGCTGTAGTCTTTCGGAGCTCTGGCATTACCGGATCCGTCTTTTCCGGCTACGAGCGTCTGCCAGAATGCGTCGTATATGGAGGATCCGTCTGGATAGTGGCCCTGAGTGTGTGCGATGTCCACGTAAGGAGCCCATTGCTTGTTGTTCTGCGCTGGTTCATCGATGTCCAATGAAGCATCGGTGGTAAGGGGTCCGAGCATAGCAATGGAATCAAATATCTTTCCTTGAAGGGTGAGGCGCTTCTTATCGTCACTCAGTTCCAGTCGTATGTGAAAGGCGTTACCTCCTAGATTGTAGCGGCTACCGCCAGCACTGTAAAGTGCCAACGACTTGGTCGAATATCCAAAAGATTCGGTAACTCGTGGGGCGCTCCAATCTGGAATCCAAGACGGCGTAAGTGGTGCGTCGTGATCTACGCAACAGAGGATACGGTATGGGTCCTCTAGGAGCGGCACCAAACAGACTTCGTGATACACATCTCGTACTGATACTTTGGTAGAATATCTTGGCTTGATATCTGTCTCGACCAGCGCAAGGATCCCGTAGACTTTATCCTTTGCCTCCGTAGCTTGCGCATATCGCGTAGAGACCAGAACATCCAATAACACTCGATGCTGGCTCGTCACTGCACGGACGAACCGCTCTTGTTGAAGAGCATTGACCGTAGTACCTCCCGTAGGCGGAGGCAGACTTTTTGTAGTTGTCTCCAGGTTTAGGAGATCGATGGTGCTCTCTACTACTAACCAGTCGAGTAGTCCGGCCTGTTGAAGAGAAGCGCACCAGGAGGCAAAGTCATCCCATGACTCGGTAACTTTACCGCATTTGACGAATATACGAAGGGAAAGAACGGCTTCTTGGATCGTCCATAAACGTGTGAACCACGGGCGACGGAAAAGCTGCCTCACTTCTCTCCATGCAGCATCGTTGGCGTTGGGTAGGCTCAGCCGCGCAAAGTCCGCTGGTGTAACAGCTTGTTCCGCGTATTGCACAGCAGAATACGCTCTGTGCAGGGTTTCAAATGCTAGTGCCGCGTCGTCGTCCCCTTCGTCGCCGAGCCAGATCAAAGTATTCGTGGCGTGGCTGTACACCAACCCCATCAAGGGAATTTGTTGTTCTTTATCTTTTGCGTCCGCTTGATTTATGCAAATCTGGTCCACCCAAAGGAATACACTCTGCTTTTCTGATCTCAAATGCTGGAGCGCACACGCGAGACTTGTGGTAATCTTAATGCTGTCATCTCCAACCTGGATGGTCTCATTGAACTGAGGCGCGCCCCAGACATAGCTGAGCGCAGTATACCAGACTGTACTACCTCCAGGAAGAGATATGCCATGATCTGTATTGCGCTTCCGGACTGGATAGGTGTTGAGAGACGGATATTCGAAGTCGACACTGACCGCATGTAAGATTCCCCGAAATGGGGTTTCGAAATCTCCAGGATATAGTTCCAGAACGCGAATCTCGCCTGGGCATAGAGGGGAATACACCCCGCCTTCAAACTTCTCTTGCGTTTGTGCGAGCTTCACTGCGTTCTTGCGCGCCACGAACTTCCGAATCGCCGCCTGCTCGGTTTCGTGGAGTGATCTCAATGTATGGGACTCATCGGTCGTGGCGGCATGGTAGAGTGTAGTCCGCGAAAGGAAGCAGTCGCAGCTGTCTGATTGCGTTGACCTTTTTGTCAGCATTACGTGCATACCTAGGTACCAGAGCGTGCGAACATGTCGAATACCTTTATCCGGTCCCACGATCGTCGAGCAGCTCGAACTGTGTAGGTATGTAAAGCTCTCTTCAGCCATCCCTTGGAGGGTAGGTTGCTTTACTCGAGGAAGTGGTGATGAATGATGAGCGTCGTTAAAATGACAGCTTAGTGGGGCTGAAACGTCGCTGCTGCGCCCCCGAAATCCCTCATCGCAGGTAACCAATGAAAGTCGCGCTTACGGCAGACCAAAAACCGACGCTATAAGATACTCCATGCTTAACGTCTTCGTCCTTCGAGAATGGAGGATATGCATTACCAGCTGTGAACACTGGGATAGTTCCTCCTTTGAACACCTAGGTAGTAAGCCGCGTGTCAAGGAACTCAACCAGCAATCAGTTCGCCAGGACAGCAAACGCACACGCGCATCATACGAAGATTGCCGTATTTTTTGAGTCACCGATGTTGGTGCAATGACCACCTAGGCCGGTGACCCGAAAAATACGGCAATCTTCGTACGCACCCGAAGGTGTGATTCATCGAAGAACAATGGTAGCACCCGCCCTTTGTCCTGTTCTCTAGATATGTTGTGGTGCTAGTAGCAGGTTTCGTACCGAGTGACCCATAATGTAGAATGGGCTGCTTCCACTTCAGACGGACTCTAATCCAATCAATTAGTGTCGTGCAGCTAGCTCACATTAAAAGTCGACGCCGGTGTCTGAAATTCCACTCTGTTCGTACATTCCCTTCGGCCTGCCTAGCAGGCTTTGATAGTTCGGCAGTTCAGCACTTAGAAGCGCTCTCAACCACCAGGGGGGCCGCGAGAGAAACTAGGACCGAAGTTTGCGCCTCGCACCATACCGGCCCTCCATTCCTCAGTCATCCTCTCTGGAGCCCGCCGGGGCGAGACTGCTCCTGACAGTGGACGTTGACTCAGTGCTCCCCTCCTACTTAACCCCATCCCCATCCCTGTGCGCCTGTCCATTCCTATATCCATGCTCTCTGAGAATGTACTCCGATGCTGTATTCTCTGCATCCTCGGATCTCCGATGCTCCCCTGCTGTGCGTGAGGATCAGAGCCAAAGTACGAGCCAGCCCGGACTGACATCGCTATGGTCATAGCGCCTCAAATTACGCGGCATCTCGTTTGGATGGCGCGGTGGGCTCACATCATAGCGTTCGCGGGTGTCGCCCCATCCGCCGAGTAGAGGGGGACGCGCTCCGGGCAAGGTGCCTCTACGGCGAGGTTCTGCGAAGGGGTCTCGTGGGCCGAAGCGTTGATCGTAGCGGCGTAGATCATCTTGGCTAGGCCCGCCACGTCCGAAGGAGTCTCGAGGGCCGGCATAACGGGGATCACTGAAAGGTCGCATGTCTTTTTTCTCTCTCAGTGTCTAAGTCAGCAGTTGGGGAGCTAACTAACAAAGTCGCCGTAGAATTACCAAGATATGTTATATGTGTGTATACTATGTAGTCCTAAAAGCCGTTTTAGGAGTCCATCTATAGATTTTACGTTAGGGGGTTGATATCGATGCAAGGAGTGAAGGTTCCCGTACCTCCAGAATGTCTCCAAGGGAACGCGATTATGAAACTGGCCTCTTCACTTCATGCCTCAAATACATAGTAGAGTTCCATTGCTATTGGCGGCGCACTTCACATCTAATTGCCTTAGCGCGCTAGTGTGCGTGGCAAGAGAACTAACCACATATGCTGTGAAGGTCACACTGTTGTGACAAAGCGAATGCGATTATGGATAGAGCATCGTGGACACCTCTATTAGCTGCATCTCTATAGTTTTCCTGTCCGAGACTTTTATACTTTGACAGAATGCAAAATGGAACTTCGCGCAGTTTTCACCCCAAAGGCGTACAACATGACCTGGACCAAACTGCGACTACCTAGGTAGCATTGAAATTCCTGTAAGTTTTCGCGAGGATCGTATCAAGACTACTGTGTATGTTTTATATTAGCTTTAATTCTACTGCTCATTTGAGCTCACTCAAGTTCACAGCTTCTGGCTAATCGTAAGACCTTCTCCAAGGCCCGCAGATTAGAAAAGCTCCCATCCGCCAACATGCCGGCCCTCAAAGTTATGGAGGTTAGGCCCATCGCTAACTACGCCCGCCCGTTGCTCTTCCGTTCCAAACTTACGAACTATTTTAGAGGATCACGCTACTCGCATCCCGCCCTGTCCCCGACGCAGAGCATCGCAGGGGCGTGGCCCAAAGCAAGTACCTTCCGAGAAGGTGTTGGCTTGGCGCATACCGAAGGAGTTGGCAACGTGTTGGAACTCACGGACATTGTCGGTATGATGAGGAGCACTATGTGGTGATGAACAATGCTGGGCACTGGTATTCATTGACGAGCGCCGTGGTTGTTCGAATGGAGAAGTACCTAGCGGACTTATATTAGCGTACTCACGATACGTCAGATACCTTCGAGGAATCTCCGACGGCCTACACGGAGGGCTTACGTCGCGGGATCGAGTGGTGGCTGCACGACGAAGACTACCTGTGTCCCGTTGATACGCTGCACGTGGCGCTAGTGCGGACTTTCTGTTGATTTCTGCACGATAGTAATCATGGTAGCCTGATGGTTTGCCAGCTCAGACGTAGAGAATCGTAGAACGTTATATTTCTCTCGTTTTTATCTTTTGCTCTTAATTTTACCTTTACTGCAGTATTCTTCTTCTCTAGTTTAGAGTAACCTCTCTAAAGTAGAAGTCTAACATACAGAGCTAATTATTTATAAATAATTAGAAAGCGTAGTAAGATAGAATAAAAGAGTAGAGCTATATCTAATTAGAAAGACGCTAAGTCTAACGTACTTTACAAACGAACGCCCTACACAAACGAACGCCCCAAAAATGCCAAGCCCCCACTAAATGCCACCATCTTATTTAGATTGCTCTGACTCCGAGCTGCTTGAGATAAATCTGGATAAGCTATCCGACTTATCTGTATCGTCTTTAACTACCTGGCACGTTCGCGCGTTATGCCCTGGCTTACCGCAGCGTCCACAGCGTCGCTGAGCTGGCTGGCCGTCGCGTGCCACCACCCCTTCGCGCCGCTTCTTGCCCTTATTCTAATCCGCAGCCTCCCTTTAAGCGACTAGCTGCAAGCCAGCTTTAATCGTAAGGGTATCCCCTTCCTAAATCCGCTTTCTTTTGCGCAAATTACGCTCCTTTTTCTGTGCGTTAGCCGCTTAAAGCTAGGCGACTTTAGACTCTACAAGCACTAGCTAATGCGCTATTAGCTTATTGCCTTTCTTA